CGACCATTCTCCTTATTCTTTTCCTCCTCCACCTCCTCTCTCTCTCTCTCTCTCTCTCTCTCTCTCTCTTCGTGACCATATTTCGTCTTATTCGCGGCAATAATATAGATAGACACCATTTATTGGAAAACTAAACGACAATATTGATGGAATACCATTGCAAGTATGCACCAAAGTTTCTACAAGTCTTCCTGTCAAAATTGCTTTTGGCTATGACCTTCGAAATTCTTCCAAGAACTGTGAAAAGATTTAATTTCCGAAAGTTCCGACTTTGCCGAAAATTCCGCATCGGAATGGTATTATTATATTCCAAAATTTCGGAATTGGCATCGGAAATGAATATGACTTTCGAATATTTTCGGATCAAAATTCAGAACTCCTATTTCTGATTCGTTCCGGTCGAAGAATAGCCCTACCCCCAACCTATAGAGTCATTTACGAATTCATACCCGATTTTGGGGACATTTACCAATACATAATCAAAGTCGCGAAAACCCTACAATTTGCCCCCTCCGTTAGCAAGATTGCCCCCTACAATTTGCCCCCTCTGTTATCTGTCTACATGACATTTGTGGGAGCCATTTTTTAATTGACGTGGGGTTCCACGTGGACAAAAAACTAATAAAAAAATTTACCTTTAAAATTATTTTAAAAAATTAAACATAATAAATTATAAATTAAAAAAAATTAAAAACCCTACCCAGATTCTCTCTCTCTCTCTCTCTCTCTCTCTCTCCCGATTTCTTCCCCCTTCCTCCCCATTTCTTGCCCCCCATATTTCTTCAATCCCAGATTTGTTCCCCCCATATTTCAACCCCAAATTTCTTCCCCTCACCTAGATTTCTTCCCTCACTCATGCAGAAAACAAAAACATTTTGGCTTTTTTGTTTGCACCAAAAATCAAAACTTCGGAGTCTACAGACTCTCCAATGGTTGAAACTACGGAGAAGCCAACAAAGGATATTGAAACTGATGATGAAGAGGAGCAGACATTCAAAAGCCTCGGATTGGACGGTTGTCTTATTCGTGCCCTAAACAAGAAGAAAATTTCTTGTACAGATCGAGAGAAGCCACATAAAGCTCCTCCTTTTATCGAGCAAAGCCTAAAATTGGGGCTTTTTAGTGTTCTGCAACCTTAGGGTTCGAATTTGATCAATAAATTGACCAAGTACAAATTAGGTTTTGAAACTTGGGGAGGGTGGGTGTTGGATGTTGGGGCTCAGAGACTTGGGGGTGGTGTTAGGCTGGGGTGGGCTAAGAGAATTCAGGTCGTTGGGTAGGGAGGGAGGGTGGACTTGATGGTTTTTTTTTCCTAATGGGTTTTTGGGGTGGGCGACGGGAGAGGTGTGGCTGAGAGGTGGGGTTGAGTCAGGAGGAAGAGAGGGGGTTGGCTCCTCAATGGCCGCACTCCTGCAGCTTTTTTTTTTTTTTTTTTTTTTTTTTTTTTTTTCTTTTTTTTTTTATTCTTTGGTTTTTTGGTTTTTCTTTATTCATGGTGAAGGGAGGGAGGAGAAGATGGCGGACATGGGTCTGCAAATTTTCCCTTCCTATTCGTCTTCATCATCTGAATTGGAACTGGATTTTTCTGGCGGTGGCTGGGTTGGTGGGTTTTGGGAGATGGCTGGGTAGTTCTTTGGGAGGCGACAGGAGAGTGGTGGCTGAGAGGTAGGGTTGAGTCGGGAGGGAGAGAGGGTTGGCTGGGTTGGAGAAGAGAGATGATAATTTTTTTTTCAATTTTTAATGATTTTAATATGATTTAAAAATTATTTTTAACATGTACATAATTTTTTATTAGTTTTTCGTCCGCATGGAAGTCCATGTCATAAAAAATGAGTCTCACTTTTGACACGTCAGCATTTAACAAACTCACTAATAGTTTGGCTAATAGAGGGAGCAAATTGTAGGGTTTTTGCAACGTTGAGTATGTACTGGTATATGTCCCCAAAATCGGGTATGAACTCGTAAATGACCCTATAGGTTGGGGGTTTTACTGGAGTTTGTCCTTGAAATGAAGCCCATATTATCCAATAACAAATTTTAGAATTAGATTCTAAGTTAATTATCTAATGAGATTAAATAATCAAAGAGATGATTATGGACTTATGAACACAAATACATGACACAATGTGATTGGCCAATTATTTATTAAATGAATGGAATAGGTTTGATTATTGGTTTGTAAATTAAATAGGGGCTTGCACTCCTTTCCTATCTCTTAATCTCAAATGTAATTCCCTTAAACTCTATTGGGTTTTAAGTTCTCTATCTCAAGTTCTCTATTCTCAAATGGTTATACGGAAGAAGGAAGATCAAGAGAAAGAATAATCAAGTCAAGATTACTTGTAATATTCATGGGTCCAGCACCCAATTTCAACCATGAATGTTTTAAGTAGCTAAGACACATAATAAAATCAACCTCTTTCCAAAGGCTTTAGATCCGACATCTTGGCTAGATGTTAGATCGAAATCAAGTCCATAATCATCCATAAGCCTATAGATGACTACTTATCTAAACTTAAGGAATTACAAAGGCTTTCCATTAGTAGTAGTACATATTCCCAATCTCAAATAAAAGAGTTTTATGAAATTGATTTGTTTTGAAAAACAAATAGTGGGAGTATCATACAACTACTAATATGATTTAGAATAATAGTTGTCCTAGGCCGAGTAGTTTAATTGAAGCATGTTTATGATGAGACCTTAAAACCCTCAATTAACTAAATTAAGTTGAAAAACGATAGACTTTTTGAAAGCCTAGTCGTGGCCTTCCACCATGGTGAATTCTGAATAGGCTTGACCCTTGTGAAGGCTTTGCCGCAGATATGGGGGCTGACAGGAAGATGTTCTTGCTTAAGAAGAATTCATTTATATATTGGATGTTGCAAGGATAGGCTCAAACATGGACCAACATTCTATTATAACGAGGTTCATGATTGTATCACTATACTTTGCAAGAATGGTGGGCTAATACTTAATTAGTAAAAGGGAGTTGATTTTCCCACTCCTCTTTTATCCACTTACACTCCCTTTATTAGAAATTGTATGTTCTCACTCCTCTTTTGTCCACTTACACTCCTTTTTTTGTTGTAATAAAAACTATTAAAAAACAAAAAGGAGTGTAAGTGGACAAAAAGGGAGTGGGAAAATCACCACCCTTAGTAAAATGGTGTCTCACGATAATATTCAGGGGTATACATTTGCTAGAGGCCAAATTATATGGGAACGCACATCACGATGTTAATGAGTAAAAGGACTCCCTCTTTATTATTTGTGTTATCCCGATCTTATTATGGTGCAGTGATCCAAATAATAGGGAACCTCCTATCCCTCTAAGATCTTACAGAAGTCTCTCGTTGTAATAACCCAAAACTTAATTAATATTTAACTATTAGTTTATTAAGGGAAAATGACACTTTTGCCCTTAGACTATTTTAGTAAATGAGAAGTTGACTTTTTGACCGGAGATGAATTTGGAAATTTCGTTTGCACCGTTGCGTAGACCACGACGAAACGAGTCCGTAGACACATAGTGGGCTCGAATTGGAGTTATAACGAAGAAAATACGGTCAAAATACTTTAAGGGGCAAAATGGTAATTTTGGAGATCAGGATTTTGAACAACTGACTTTCTCTCTCCTGCCTCACTCTTCTTCCTCGCGACACAGCCCCCCCCCCTGTTTCAACCCGCCACCTTCTCTCCTCCATAATTTTGGAGATCCGTTCGAACCGTCATCCTTCCCCCCGTCGCGTCCCGACCAGCCTCAGTCGTCGCCGACCACGGAGCTCATCGGAAACTGGAGAAAAACTCGCTGGTTTCATTCAATTTTCACAACCTTCGATCTCCGTCGTTCGGCCACCAAATCGGACGATTAAGGTATGGATTCTTACCTATTTTTTTGTGACTTAGCTGCTGGTTGGGTAGGATTTTAGAAATTTCAAGCGTAGATCGTTTGATTCTCAACCTAAGTTTCAGCTGATTATGAGGGTAGGATTCCGGCCAGGGTAGGTCCAAGAACAAAAGTGGTTCCAAATGGGGTGTTTTACCTAAGTTAGGAGTTTGGGCCGACGGTTTGGAGTTTTTCCGGCCGCCGGAAATTTCTCAAGCCACCCAAGCTGCCGTGGGCAGTCTGGTAGGGACCACTCTTAGTTTCAGAATGATCCTCGTATTCTCACGAGCGTGTAGAAATTCGCGGATCTCAATTCGGACGTCGTTTGAGTGTTAAACGGACTTTTACATAGTCTACGTCATCCGGGTTCAATAGTTTCGAACTGTTGGGTCGTGATCACTTTCAGATATTTAATCTAGACCTTGCCAAGATTGCGTAGGATTCGAAGGATCGTGAATCGGAGTCTCAAATACTCCGAAATCGCGAACCCTAGGGTTAAGGATTTAGAACCGTCGATCGTGTGATCATGACGAATCTAAGCGTCCGACCGAAACCAGATTCACAAGACGAATGTCCTAGGATTAAAGGAACGTAATGTGGGCATATGAATAACTTTAATTTGATGCACGCACTTCTAGGAGTCGGGGGTCAGGGTTTTATTTAGGGAAATGACCCTCAGTGCCACCCCTTTGATAATTTTAACTAAAAATTCCATCCCTTCCCAATTTTTTTACAACTATCAACTATAAATATAAAATTATTGTACCCTTATTGCTCTCCTAACACTTTTTCTGAAATTTACCTCCCGCCCATCAGCTCCCTCTTGGCTCCGTCGCTCAGTCTCTTCACTCTCTGGTCACTCTGCTCTCACTCTCTCGTCTCTCAGCTCTAACTCTCTCATCTCTCGTCGCTCAGCTGTCACTCTCTCTTCTGTCTTCCTCTCCCAGCGAAATCTATTCATCGAAGAACAACGCCATCATTCACAGCAAACAGGTACTGTTCATCGAAATTCTTTTACGGCTTAGGGTTTATGGGTTTGTTTGAAATTGGTTGACGGGGTTGTTTGAAATTGGTTGACGGGGTTGTTTGAAATTGGTTTAGTGGGTTTTCTGAAATGGGTATAGGGTTTAGGGGTTTCACTAAAATTGGTTTTGCTTTAACTCTGTTTGCTAACTTAAGGGCTTGCATATTGGATATGGATAAGTTCTCTTTGTTTTTCATATTCTCTTGTGATTATTTGGAATTTCAGTTTGGGGATGAATATTCAATGTCTAAACAAAGGGCAAGGAACCATATGTGGTGTAATATGAGTTCTTTAAAAGTTTGCTGTTTTGTGCTTGATCATTGTATGCTTAAAACAAAGCGGGAAATGAGTGAAGATGGGAACATGCCACCAGCAGGTGTGGTTTAGAGAAATGGGGCCATGGATTTTGCTATAAGCTAACTCTTTAAGCTTTTGCTTGTCTTTTTTGTGTATGGATAGTTAGACAACTCTGTTTATGAGGTGAACTTTTAATTTTTTAATTGTACATGTGTAAGAAACATTTTTTTACAGTTTTGATGGTTTATTTATTCATTTATCTTTGAAATTGATAACGCATACAATACATACAAACCTTTGATTTTGTTAAGAAAAAACTGAAGGGATGGTGCCAATTTCATTAATTTCCTTACATTTGAAAGGAGGGCATATTGGAGTCATGATTGTGGTTGCCACTAATTGATAGGATGTTCCATTACATTATACGTTGAAGTCAATAAATTGTTTCCTGATGTCTTCTTGTTGAATTGTTCTGAATTAGGCTTCTGCTACTGCACATTCCTATTGTAGCTTAAGCTGTCATGATTATCTGGTGTTTGGAGATGTGTCTGTAGATATTTAGTTAATTGTCAATGATCATGTAAGGTAAAGACTTAAATCCTTGTGAGACAGAAATTAGAGTGAGAGACAAGTAATTTGAAGGACACATGAAAAACTGAGTGAGAGACAAGTAGTTTAATGGCATTTTTTAGGAAGCCTTGTGAAGAGAAAATATAAAAGAAGGAAGTGGGAAAATATAAGGGGAAATAGCCTTTTATGCCACCCTTTTCATAATTTTAAGTGAAAATACCACCCCTTCTCAAAAATTGTAAAACTATCACCTATAAAAATATATTTATTGTCAACTTATTGCTCAGATATAACTGTTATAGAAATTTTGGTCTCTCAGAGCTCCCTATTCACTCTCTCTCTCTCAGCTCTCTCTCACAGTTCTCTCTTCCTCTCTCAGCGCTTTCTCTCTCCATCGAGCACCACCACTCTCTTTCTCCCTCTGTCGCGAAAACCTAAGCAGCACTATCTCTTTCTCTCTTTGCAGTCAATGTTAGGGTTTGTTGAGGGGGTTCTTGAAGGTGAAAGAGAGGGTTGCTTCGTTAAATGCTCCCTCCCTTCAACAATCTCTCAGTTCCCTCTCTTTTCATGTTTTCAATGGACGTCTTTCTCTTCTCCTCTGCTCTTTTAGGGCCTCAAAAAACCCTAATTCTTGGTTTCGGTTCCGACTTTTTTCACATACTTCCTCCTAATTCTCAATCCTCTCACAGATAGAATTCGAGCTTTTGTTTAGGTGTTTCTGCGATTTCCAATTCGGTTCTGTGTGCAAAACGAGTGATTCTAAGGTAGGTTTTGTATTTGTTATTGACTACTTTGTCTTTTTGTACGGTTTTCATTTGAAAAGGATAATTTCACTAACCTGTGACTGATTTTGTGAAGTTTAGTAATTAGAGAGATTGCAAATTTCTGTATTTTAACTGTGAATTACTTCATGCTTGGATGAAACTTCTATTGGTCTGATTGATTTTGCTCTATGGATGACGAAGTGCCTCAATTTGCTATTTGTCATCTAGGATTGGTTCATTTGTGATGCGTGTTTTCAGTTCCATTTTATGATGCATATTTAGTGTGGGAATTTATTGTGGTTCATGTGCTGTAATTTGTGTTTAATTTTCACTTAATATCCTATAATAGGCCGTTGAATTGTGTATTGCTTGTTATTGTCCAGATTGCAACGGACTGAATTTTTTTTAATAATAATGGCGTGCAAGGAAACATGGGTTCTCCAATTAAGTTGATGATTGGAGAGGAAGAAAAGTTCCAAGGAAAAGCATTGGCGCTATCCCATACAAAGAGTGCAATAAGTACGATAAAAGAGAAATTCAGTGAGCAACAGCTACGAACCTTCGAAGAGAGTTGTTTTGGGCATCTCCTACTCATTGAGGACCTGAAGTGGACGTCGCCAATTGTACACGAATTGTTCCCAAGTGAACGGGATCAAATTCATCGTTGGCAATAAGGTGATCCAATTCACACCGCAGCAATTTTGCGTCGTCACAGGGCTAAGGTTTGGAAACCTTCCCTTTATTCCGATTCCCAGTAATGACAACTGCTCATTGAAAAGGAAGTACTTTGGCAACAATAAAACAGTCAGCCTTTTGGAATTAGAAAAAGCCTTCCGCGACTGCGCTGATGCGGATGATGTATTGAAGCTCGGCTTTGTATACTTCGCTGTGTTTGTGCTGTTGGGCAGTGAAAAACATGTCCACATTGACATGCGATATTTGAAGTTGGCGGAAGACCTTGAAGATTTTGGGAAATATCCATGGGGTGCTGTGTCTTATGCGAAGACAAATGCGTCACTGCTGAGGGCACTGTGTGCAGATTACCAGCGAGTGAAAGTGCCCAAAAAAGCTGCGAAAACAAAAAAATCTGAAAAGCAAGTAAAGACAACGGCAACTGGTAGACCAAGAGAGTACCACCTCAAGGGTTTTGCCTTTGCACTTCAGGTGAGCAAATTTCCATTCCTGTTGAAGTTAAATATCATTTGTTTACAGTAATGGGTTCTAAAACAGTAATGGGGGAGAGAGAGAGAGAAATTGAGAGCTGGAAAGAGGAGCTAAAACAGTAATGGGTTCATGTAATTATTACTTATTTGGGGGATTGATTGGTTTAGTTGTTGAAGGATGAAGATGAAGAAAAGGAACTCTGTCCACTGTTATTGTTTTTTGACAGATTCTTTTGACTAATGATATTGTGTTTGTGTGTGTGTGTTGGTAGATATTTTGTGTGTGTGTGTGTGTGTGTGTGTGTGAGAGAGAGAGAGAGAGAGAGAGAGAGAGCAAATTGGGTGGCTGTTCTGGGCGGCTGTGGTATTTAAAAAAAGAAATCTAAAAAGAAATAAAATAATTCGCAAAGTTAAAAAATTGATGGGAAAGGGGAGAAACATTCAAGGGAGGGGGTCAGGGGTAGAAGGGAATTCAAGAATAGAAAATGAACAGAAGGTTTTATTTTATTTAATTAGTAATATTATTCTTTTTTTGCTGAATATTATATCATTAATATTGATGATGAGCCCCGTGTTTTTCTATCAACAACCCTAAGTTAACACTAATTACCTCATTATAGAAATAAGTTGTCAGAAAAACAAGTTTACATTTTCACCCCTTTATGTAAGTGGGGGATATTGGATATTAGGAAATAATTTTTTTCCTGATTTGTGTTGAATGCTCTTAGACTAATGACTAATGTGGCCCGAACCACTTTTAGCCTCTATGCATCTCTAGATGCCTGTATTTCTTTTAACTTTTGTCAATCATAGGGCAAGGTTTAGACTGCAATTAATACATGCTAATTATTTCTCTTTATTGTATTCTTGGCTTTTCATGCCCTATTTAAGGTTATAGCATGTGATCTCTAAGGCTTTTCTTCCTCAAACCAGATTTGGGCTTATGAGGTATTTTCCAGCGTTGGTTGCACTACATTTGGTGGTGCACGAACATAATGCCTACATCCCTCGTATACTACATTGGAGGAGCAACACTTTGCCGCGTTTTTATGAGCTCATGAGCCAAGTCTTCGAAAACCGTGAGGTTAGTTCAGTTTGTAATGATAATCTTAGGCATATGAAAATATAATTTTATAAGTTTACTGATATTTCTATTGTCTGCGTAAATTGCAGGTTGATGTGCAACTTATCCGGCCATCTGTAATTGACAAGCAGCAGCCGTATTGGACTTGGGGTGACAGTGTTGACAACACTGAAGAACTTGTTGAGTTGGTTGGCGATGACGTTGAACAAAAAACCAGCACGTCTGCCTCTGTAGAAGAAAAAGATGAGGACATTGAAGAAACTGCTAGCCTTCCGTCGTCTTCTAAGGCAAGCATTACCTATTTTCCAATATATATGTCATAATACAATAGGAAATTAACTGCTGTTTTGTTCCGATATATTTTGGAAATATTGTAACACTTGCATTATAACTGAATGCAGGGTAAAATGGCGTCCACTGAGTTACGCACTTTGAAGCGTGACTTTGAAAGGATGAAGGATGAATTCGCCAAAGTTGCCAGTTCAAATCGAGCGCTTCGCAACAGAGTGCATGAGTTGGAAGAAATGGTACGGAGGGAGTCATCCAAAGTTGAAAGAAATAACAAGTGTGTGGAGGATTTGCGCAACACAGTGGCATCAATGGAGCATTATTTTAAGCTGGAGCTAGAGCAGCTGCGAAAACAAGATGGTGGGGTGAAAGAAGCTGGGGAAGGACATGAGGACCTCGGTACTCCTCATATGAATGAAGGAGGTGACAATGAATTGTCGCCATTACATGACAATGTCACTCCGCCTACAAAACCGGCAGCAATGGCAACACAAGTCCCCAGTGATGGAGCCGAACCTTCCGCAGCCATGGTCACTCCAGTTCCTGACTTACAAGTGCATGAAGCAGCTGCGCATGCACAATCCGAGAAGCTGCCTACCCCGGAAGATGTGGCCGGGTGTGACGAAATCTGCCAAAGACTTATGTTTTTGTTAGAAGATTGGAAAATAGCTGACAGTGTGCCATCGGGAGGTCCGATGAATCCTCCAAGTATACCTACAATTAGTATGGCTGCTGATGAAGAAGGTAGTTTGAGTGTTGAAAAAAAAGAAGTGGAAGGTAAAGGCTGTAGACAGAAGCGCCCGGCCCAGACATTATTAAGTCCATTTACTGATCCTTTGAGGAAGAAGAGGACAATGAGTGTGTCGGATGCGACTGCAACCCCGCCATGTTTTGATCCATCAAAACCGCTGCCCATTGAAGATGTGAAGGCAGTAATAGATTTTTGCACTGCCTGGAAAAACGATATCAGGTTCGGATTCTTGACCTTCGAAATCCAATCGTCATCCTATTAATATGCATGTGTATATTTGTCATCAACAAAGTCAGAATTATGAGATGAGTACAAACGTAACCGTTCCAAGTTTGCCTTTTCTAGTGTGCAGGTGCAGCTTGAAGCATTTTCAGTGGGCGCTGATTTTTTCTACAAACTCATCGATGAAACGGCATGGATTAGCTCAAGGGTAAGAATACACAAATCTCTACTTTATTATGATAATTCAATTGTTTTCTCACCTTTTTTAAGTGTACAATTGTCTGAAAATGTGCTGATATTATATGTCAACTGTCAGCACCTGGAAATGGCAACCTTTCTTATCCGGAAACGGCAACTCTCTCATCCGTTGCTATTTGGAACCGACTGGACAACGGCAGATTATGCCTTGCAGGTACACTTTTTACCATGTTACATTCACTGCTTCATTTGCTTTCCCTCGTCATTATGTCATATGGTTTCATTTCAATGTCTGCAGCAATTTCTAGAGCCGTTAAAAGCGACTGGCAAGACACGTGGATCGAAGAAGGCAGCTGCTTCAAACACCAGTGACCTTCCAGCCAACAAGCTGAAGAATGTACTTCACTTTGTGCACGGTACGTGGCAACACGGGTATGCCCAAGCTTGGAAAAAGTCCGCAAAGTCTATTTTCCATATAATCTTCGAGAGTCCCATTGGGTTGCAATCGAAATTGATTTCGTCCGACATACTGCAACTGTGTATGACTCATATGTTGAATATACCAAATCTTCGAAGCTGGTTACACTTCTGCAACCTGTTAGCGATACGCTTGCACGAGTGCTGTACAATATGAAGTTTTATGAAGATTCTGAGGTTGAAGAGGTGAAGCAAAAGGGGCTGCAGATGTCGAGGTTTACGCCTTTCTCAGTTTGCATCATTGGAGGTGTGCCACAACAACGAGATGGGTAAGAATTGTGAATTTAGTTCATTTTTTCAAAATTTTACATAAATGCAGTTGTAATTTCCCAACTTATTGGCCTCACAGTACGTCTTGCGGAATCATGACCGTTCAATTCATCGAGCATCTCAGTGCTGGGCTTTCGGTGCATAAAATTGACCCGTCGAAGATCAAATATTACCGACTGAAGCTTGCAATAGAGGGGTTAAGGGGGGAGGCATATTTATGAGGTAAATGTCTTCATGTGTGTGAATTGACCTCAGTGACGACTTATGACTTGGGAATTCACTTTGCTCATTATTTATGTCAGGAACTCCTTTCTATGAAGATGTACACGTGGAAGCTTTGCTGGGCCTACTTTGGCTCGTAATCCTGCCTTTTTGCTAGAGCTAGTTGGTTTTGTTAGTATTGTGAGGTGTAATATTGTACAATCTAGAAGCAGTGGCTAATTGCCTTACATGGCACACACACTGTTTCGATTTTGAAGGTTAACTATTTTGGACACCTCCATATGTAAATATAGTTGCTGTTTATGGATGCTTTTGTAGTTGCTATTTATGGATGCTGTTATAGTTGCTGTTAATGGATGCTTTTATAGTTGCTGGTTTTGGATGCTTTTTATAGTTGCTGTTAATGGATGCTTTTATAGTTGCTGGTTTTGGATGCTTTTTATAGTTGCTGTTTATGGATGCTTAAGAATGGTTCATTCTCTGACTTGATCGTAATACTTCAGGTACTGTTTTCATACTTTTTACTCTGCGTTGCTAGTGGAACTCGCACAACATTTGTATTTCGTGTTATTTGTGTATGAGTTTTTAATTTTTGTTATGCATTTGGTCAACTAGGGTTTTTATGAGTTTGTTTATTTATTTAGGAGCTTGTGTCTTGTTGCTGAAAAAATTGATGGATTTGTGTTTATTTCTGTTTTGCTTGCTCATTCATTATGAGCTACAGAACCAACCTGTATTCAGCTTGCATTGGCATAAGAAAACATGAGGGGTATTTGCTTTGAAGTCTGTGATGTGGTTCTTCATGCTGATGCCATCCACAGAGGAGGTGGTCAGGTCATTCCCACTGCTAGGACACTCATCTATGCTTCCCAGCTCACTGCCAAGCCAAGGCTCCTTGAACCTGTATATCTTGTTGAAATCCAAGCTCCAGAGCAGACTGTTAGTGGTATCTACGGTGTTCTTAATCAGAAACGTGGGCACGTGTTTCAGGAAATGCAGAGGCCTGGTACTCCACTGTACAATATGAAGGCATACCTCCCCGTCATTGAATGTTTTGGGTTCTCTGGTCAATGAGGGCTTCGACTTTCAGGGCAGGCCTTCCCACAATGTGTCTTTGATCATTGGGAGATGATGATGTCTGATCCATTGGAAGCTGGATCCCAGGCTTCACAACTTGTGACAGATATCCGTAAGAGGAAGGGTTTGAAGGAGCAAATGACCCCACTATCCGAGTTTGAGGAGAAACTGTGAGTAATTTCTTTGATTATATCCAACAATTGGATGACTGAGTTTGTTTGAGACAGTAGTTCCATTGCACTGCCTATTTTTGGTTTTCAGTTTTTTGTTTTTTGTTTAATGCTTGTACCAACCCTGTTGTTGTAGTCACCATCCTCTATTTTCTTTGTTACTTTGCTTGTTTTCTTTTGGCTTGTCATATCTGTGTGCAAGATAGCTGCATTTGGCACTATGAACAGACTCGGTGGCAGTTACAAATTAACAGAGGTCTTAATTCTGGAACTCCCATTCATAAACTCTATCTATGTGTGTCATATGTGTGTGCCAGTTGTTTTTGCAGGTCCGTCTCAACCAAGTGTTGATTGCAATATTCTAAAGAAGATGACCATACACTGTTATTTGATGTAGGCATACGTATGAGATGGCTTAGCTTGAATTGGTTTGGTTGTTCCAAGTTGTATGTACACAATCTCAGAGTCAGTACCGAGTTGGTTTACATTTCATGTATTTCTCCGTGGTTTTTTTCCCCCAATATTATGATTATGGAGATGAAGTAAATATTAATGTGGACCTTATAGCATGTTTAGTTTCTTTTCTGGGCTTAATTGTGTGAGAGATGCCCTTATAATGTCAAACAAACGGTTTTGACATACATGTTTTGAAATAATTGAAATCACACCGTTTATTATTATTATTATTATTTTTGTTTCCTCCTCGGAGAAGAAGCAAAGTGGTTACAAATATGAAAGATTCCGAATCAGTTTTCTTCTGTCAAATTCCGCATGGAGCTAGAGGTCTACGGTACCATCCGATGAGACTTGACAAAAAATTTGTATTTTTCTTCTTACATTTGTCATAGATAAGATTAAATGTAACCACTAATGAACTGATCCCTTTATTTGTTATTTTTTATTTATTCCAATTGCCTGTGCATCACATGGAAATCTTAGGATTTCTTTACATCAAACTGCCTCTTAAGAGTCATGAGAAGAAGAAGAGGAAGAAGAGAAAACAGAAGGACCTAGCTGGAGCTTACAAGTAATTAAACTAAAGTTCATTTAGTTAAAGTCAGGGGAAGAAAACATGTTTATGGCACCATTCCAAATTGACTGCCCCCTCGAATTGCACAATGGCAATTTGGTCTCCTTCGGCGACCCTAAAGCAGGCAAAACACTGGTGTTGGAAGGACATGTAAAAGGGTTATTGTGCATTCCATTGGCCAAGCTTGAATGGATTTTCTTTTCTATTGTATTTGACCCTTCTCTTTTCAAGCATGCCAAAAATCATCCTGGTTTTGTAATATGTGGTTTGAGCCCAATGAATTTACCGTGGCTCTTGCATTTTTGTACCCAATATTTCATAGCTGCCTTATTTTGAAGGACGATTCATTGAGGGAGAGAATTACTTTCCTTTTGAATATGAATCGATGTGCAACTCCAACTATCATTTCAAAGGGAAACATCAATTCATGGTAATATAAGGATGGATAACAATTGTCCTGTCCGTGATATTTGAATTGAGGATTACTTTGAACGAAATGGAGACTGTTATTAGACCAAATGCCATTGACATACGATGTAATAGCAATATTAGGCCAATATACTTCACTGTAGAGGCAATATTAAAGCAATATAAGTACAATACCATAGGCATATGATCACAATATACTTCTTATAGGGTGGCAATATACATACAATATGTATACAATACCAAGGCAATATTAAGCAATATACATACAATATGTATACAATACCAAGGCAATATTAAGCAATATACATGCAATATAACAGCAATATTAAGTGAATCTACATACAATACACACACATCCAAAAGTACGACTACATTTGACACATGCAAACCAAATCGCCTCCGAACCTTAACAATCCTATTCCGCGAAGGAAAAACGAAGGCACCAAAAGATCCATGTACTCGGGTGAGATGAACTGCAGCAGCACTTACCCTTACTACAGGTCCATGAAAAGATCAATGTCTTTGTGCTTTCTCCTCGCTGCATGCACGAGGCTATGATGAGCCATTCCCTCAGCACCCATATTCAGCACCTGCCAGACACCAGGTACATCAATTTCACTCCAATTGTAGTCTGGTGAGATGACCGAAGCATAATCTCGGAACATTTCGAAGCCGTTGTTGAAACATTCAACCATTTCATGGTTATATTCTTCAGATTTGGTGAATTTTTCGACGGCATTTTTCTTTCTCTCTTCCAATTTCAACTTCAACGACTCTAACTCTTTGCTCCGACTGTTTGCTTTTAAAGTTTGCTTCACTTCTCCAGCATATGCTTTGTTCAACTTGTTGGCCAAGTTTCCCATAACTTGGCCATGAATATCACATTTAGTCTCCCACCAATCTGTTGCCTTAGACAAATATTGGAGGTCGTGCTTGACGGCTGAGATTTTGTCAAGCGGATCACTGCTCTCAGCCTCACTTCCAGATGAAGTGGGATCATGATTGGGAGTCGGAGGTGGAGATGGGAATGGCACATGCCATGGCTGGTCCCCCGGGTAACTGCCATGCTCGTTTGGAGGGCGTACATCCGACATCTTGAACTATTGATGGGGACAATTCACAACTGGCGACTGAATGTTTGCATTTGAGTACGACTCATTACCTTTCTGAGGTTGAAGAAGTTGGCTAAGTTGCAATTATTTATAGGAAGGTTGAGTTATATGTAGGAATTGATATGAAGTACATTCGGTATTTAGGTGGTGCATTCAATTGATGGGATTGCAAACTAGACCATTAACTCGTTGGCTGTAATTTACAGCAGTAGAGCATTACATTAACAACAATAAAATGGGCTGACAAACGGAAAAAAGCTAACCTTCATGGGAAATTGGAAATTGTGGATTTGAACCCAAACTAGGACTATGTAACTAAGCATTTATTGCGAATTTCAGAAAAGAAAATTGGAACATAGCAAAATAGCAAATTAGCAAAAGTGCAAACTTGGAAAATGGGAAATAAGGAAACTTGGAAAATTGGAAATAGAACAAAAGGAAAATTGGAAATTTGGAAATTTGGAAAATCGGAAATACGAAAATACAAAAAAATGGAAGCTTGGAAATTTGGAAAAGTGGAAATAGGAAAAAAGGAAAATTAGAAACAGGAAACTAGGAAATAGGATAAAAGGACACTTGGAAATTTGGAAAAAGCCAAAAAGGACACTTCAAAAATTGGGTCATTGGAAAATAAAGACCCTTGGAAAATTGGAAAATTGGAAAATTGGAAATTGAACAAAAGGAAACTTGGAAAATAGGAAAAAGGAAAAAAAGGAAACTCTGAAAACATGAAAATTCGAAAAAAGGAAAATTCGAAAATTCGAAATAGGAAATAGGAAAAAAGGACACTTGGAAAATAGGCAAATTCGCAAATTGGAAAATTGAAAATTGGATAATTGGAAAATTGGACTATTGGATAACTGGATAATTGGAAATTAGGAAATAAGGCAACTTTGAAAATAGCAAAATTGGAAATAGAACAAAAGGAAAGTTAGCACATTGGAAAATTGGAAATAGGAAAAAAAGGAAACTTAGAAAATAGGGCAATTGGAAAAAAGAAAATTGGATAATTGGACAAAAACTGAAAATTGGATAAATGGAAATAGGAAACAGGGACACGTGGAAAATAGGCAAATTGGAAACGAATTGAAATTGTGGAAATGGGAAATAAAACAATTACCATATTGGACAATTTTAATTACTTTCTCAATTAGGCAAAGTAGGCAACTTTTTTTAATTACATAATGGGAAAATAGGAACATTGAAAAATTGGAAAACTGGAAATAGTATAAAAGGAAACTTGGGAAATTGCAAAATACGAAAATGGGAAATAGGAAAAATAGGCAAAAATAATGAAAAATTGGATGACACATGGAAAATAGGAAAATATGAAAAATGGAAACATGGAAACGAATTGAGATTGCTGAAATGAGAAATAAGACAATAACCATATTGGTCAATTTGAATGAGTTGGTCAATTAGGCAAATAGGCAAATCCCTTATTTGAATTACATAATGGGAAAATTACCAAGTTCGGAACATCCAAAATAGAAATATATTACAAAAAGTCATACAGTGAACTGGGTAATAACTCCCGCCCAATACTATCCCGCCTAAGACTCCCGCCAATCCCTCCCGCCAATTACTCCCCCTAATTCCTCCCGCCAATAACTCTCTCAGTTACTCCAGGTCATTAAAGGCTGCCATATAATCACCTAGCTGTTTGAAATGAAAACTTCCATCACATTAACTGCAGCCATTACCTTCCCCACGGATTTCCCTCCCATCGCATTTAGACCCCTTTATTTCCAATTAAGTCGTACACCAGCCTACAATAAATATCGAAGACCATGGACCATAACCTCACACCAAACCAAACGCTTTCAATTACTGAAGGAGGGAAGATTGAAACAGAAGGCAAGTCACCCAATTCACTCACTGCAGACTTGGTCCATGGCATGCAGCAATGTCGAGGCAATACCATGTTTTGGAAAAATCTCCATGCAGACATAGTTTCAAAAATTGTGGAGGGCCAAGCTAGATGGGGTGTCATAAAAAACCGCACAATTCGCTCTCGTTATCATGCCCGCATGCATCTCCTACATATAAAGGCAATGAAAGGAAAAATTGAAATTGCCCCTGCCACTGCAATTATGGTATTCAAGGAATCAGAAGAAATGGCCAAGTTGAAGCAACAAGAAGTGGAAAGCGGATTCGAACTATTTCGTAAGTTTGCAAAAATAGTGGATCCGGCAGGAAACTGGGACAACATGACTGTGGCCGGGGTCATGAATTTCATGGGTCGTGGTCGCCGCACTTGAAGAGTATGCAACTTCGAATTTGTCAATAGCAGGGAAATGGAACTATGAGGTCGCCTCTTTTTGTATTATGTAACGATGGGGTGGCCTGTTGTTGTATTATGTAAGTTTGGAAATAGGATTTTATGGAATGATGATGCCTCTTTTTGTATTTGTGCGTATACAGTTTATCGGTGTCCAGTTGAGTGGCGATATAGCAGCAATAACTATGCAATAAACATGCGTATAATGGCAATATTATGTCAATAAGAGTACAATAGAGTAGTGATAGGGTTACAATATGATCATATTACAGTACGTACTGCATCAGAATGTTTTTAAAATTATTTGGTCCAAAAAAATACAAAAATACAAAAAATAAAAGTAATTACAACCTGGAAAAAGGATGAATTATACATCCCTTAAAAGACATATGACCTACATTACAGACCTTCAAAATGAACTCTATATATATAATGCATGCCTTGTAGCACCATCACATCCCCCCCCCCCCCCTAAATTACAGAAACATGACACCCCAAAACCTCATGCTCCTTCCTCTTTCAACCCCTAAATTATCCATTGGATGCCCAATACTAGATGACTGCTTGGGGGGTGGGATACCCTGCAACTCCATAACAAAATTGGTAGGGGAGAGTGGTTCCGGGAAGACGCAGCTTTGTCTCCAACTTACGCTAGGAGCTCAGCTCCGACCCTCACATGGCGGACTAGGGGGCTCCTCCGAGGTCATATTCACATAATTCAGCTTCTCATTTTTTTGATTGCAACAACTAGGCAACCTTTATCATGCATCGTACCCCAACTTAATAAGGTTGGAGCCATTGGAGGACATATATGTTCGTGGTGTTAATGATGCTCAACAACTCATCCATGTCCTTGGAGACCTAGAAGCATTTATTGCCATTGATCACACCCGCCTACCAGTGAAACTCATTGTCATTGACTCCATTGCTGCATTGTTCCGATCACAGTATCAGAAAACCCCGGCAGATTTCAAACGGCAGTCTGAAATGTTCTTCAACATATCTGGGACATTGAAGGGTTTAGCAAATAAGTTTGGGTTGGCGGTGGTTGTCACCAACCAAGTGGTGGATTTTATCGGCCCACGTGATGGAGTGAATGGGGTGAGGTTGGGAAACTTGGAGTCCCTGGACACATGAGGTAGACGGGTGAATCCAGCTTTGGGACTGGCTTGGGCACATTGCATAAATTCAAGAGTGTTCTTGGCAAGACATGAGCAATCTATTGGGGTTAACATTCGTAATGCTCCTTCAACAACAATATGTAGTCAAACACATAGGACATTTCACCTTGTATTTGCCCCACATGTGGCCTATGCATCGGCCGAATTTGTAATCACAAAAGAAGGTATAGTCGGAGTATCACGGTAACTGTGTCATAAAGGAATTCAAAGAACTTGAATGTTTTGGATCCATTTGGAATTACATTCCAGGCCCTTTAATTTCGCACTCAAATTATAATAGCAATATGGAAGTAATACCAGTGCAATAAAAGTACAATATAATGGCAATCTGGACGCAATACAGCATGCTGTAGCAATGCAACCCAAATTATGCAAATGTAAAAGAATTCCCATTCAACATAACACGAAACCCACCACAAATAAAAGTAAAGTTGACATGACCTACCAAAGCAACAGAAATCATATTGTCTAAGATACATTGCGCACTGGAATAGTGTTTTTACAGGTGCTTTTATTGTGGCCTGCGGAACCACACCTTGAGCACTTTCTTCTAATGGTGCCCTCTCCTTGCGAGGGAATTCTTATCTTCTTTCGTCTGCCTGGCATGACCCTTGCAATGGGAGGCAGCACAACTCGACTTCGAACATCTTCAGGAATATCCCACATTCCGTGAGGCTGTATCGGGTAGATGCTATCCGAATAAGCATCCATCCAGGTTTTCCGAGTGTAATACCGAGAAGCCTTTGAGTATACATTTACTTTCAAGAAGCGGCAAACTGCAACTACATGCTTGCAAGGTAGCTGCTCAAGCTGAAACTTTCTACAACTGCAAGTGTTGTTCGTCAAATCTACGAGGCCATCCATATGACCGTCCAAAACATTAAACTGTGCATTATTTACTTTAACCACATTCATCCTTGCAGCATCCTCCAACCTGTTCCTCAACTTCTTCTCTCCAAAATTGGGGCACAATGTTGTTGTGCACTTCAAAGCCAACTCACGACGTTCGGGGAACCATTTGACAAGGAGATTCATAATTTCCCCTATCAAATGAACCACTGGCAGTGTCCTTGCAAACCTAAGGACTGAGTTGATTGACTCTGCAATATTTGTTGTCATTACATTGTAGCGGCGTCCATCCATGTGAGCTCTAGACCACTTATGTAACCCTGCCTCTTCAAGATATTGAGCAACATGTTCCTTTCGCGTGATCTTGCGAAAATGACAATCAAATTCAGCAATGGAATAAGATTTCGCAGCCTGCTCAAAGTGCATAAGTATTGGATCACGCTTTTTCATCTTGCAAGTGCGTTTCATGTTCCCCTTCATATGATAAAAGCATATGCCATGTTGCGCAGTTGGAAAAACTTTGTTCCACACATTCTGTATGCTAACATTTCGATCAGAAATAATAACAAGATTGGGACACTCACCAATGGCTTCATGAAGTTTAGTGAAAAACCAATGCCATGATGCATCCGTCTCCAAATCCCCGATCCCAAAAGCAAGAGGATATATATTTCGATTACCATCGAATGCATTTGCTACAAACATAACACCCTTGTACTTGGATTTTAAATGAGTGGCATCCACAGCTATCACTGGGCGCATGGAAGAACAAAACCCTCTAATACATGCGCCAACCGCCATAAATAAATACACAAAGTGATTGTTCTCATCAGTTTGGATGTGTGTTTTTGTGCCGGGATTCATACGCTCCAATTCATAGCAATAAGCTGGAAGAATATAATATGCCTCCTCCGCTGATCCTCTAATGGACAATAGAGCTAACTCCCTTGCTTTCCAAGCTTTCGAATAATGGATTCTTAAACCAAAGTTGTGTTTCACATCTCTCATAATGTCACTTGGTGTGTATATTGTCCGAGAATCCTTCAACTTCCTTTTACATGAAGTGGCTACAAGTGCTGCGGTTGCTTGACGATGGTTGTCACTTATGAACCTCAAATCACATTCATGGACAGTTGTACACCTCACAATCATGAAGCTGTATTCTCCAAATCTCGATGCTCGGACCCGCCATGGGCATGGACGTTGACAACAAACCACAAGCAACCTCTTTGTGCAGGAGAATTGCACCTTAAATTCGAAGTGGCCTCTTATTGCCGTCAACTGTAACTCCGTCAACAATGCTTTCTTACTAGAGAAAATTTGCCCAACTGTAATTTTCGGATTCCAATCACTTCGCGAACACCCGCTATCCAAATATGCTTCCCCATCATTTACACCGGCTTCATTGTACCGGTTCTGTTCACCTATTTGATTCCAATAATGTTCACGAATGGGTTCAGATTCTCCTCCTAAACGCATTATTGGCAGTTGGGCAGATGTGTTCAAGCAGCCCAAAATAGGAGGGGCAGAGTACACTGACACTTCATTTCTTTCAGTACCATTATCACCACCATGCATGTCCTCCACCTCGCTAAAATCAATCATATCCATAAAATCTGTCCCTACTTCACCTCCCACATCAGTGCCATTTGTATTATTCCAACTTACTTCATTGCTTTCAACAATGGCAACTGAAGAACGACCCATCCGACTACTATTTGTCGTGATATGCATACTATCAACTACATCATTTGTGAGTCCTTTATCTTCTATACTCACGAGTAAGGGAGCTAGTTTTGAAGGTGTTACCTCAGAATTGTACTTCATAAAAAAATTGACATCATCATCATCCTCAATCTTTATGTGCTTCCACTCATTCGAGGCCACCAAAATTGAGAATTTTAAGCAAACCTTGTCTTCCCTGCTGTTTGTATTACCAATCTGATGCACACGGTCCAACAGTTCAGCAAATTTGATGGTCCGTGGAACTATTAAGCCTTTTGAGTCACCCCCTTCGTATTTGCACATCTTCTTCGAGGTGACCCATTTTCCATTGTAGCACACGAGAATAACAATTGTCTCCATTTCTGACCATGACAAAACAACAGTTCATTAACACAATATAACCACAATAACCATACAATATAACAGCAATATAACAGCAATATAACCACAATAACCATACAATATAACAGCAATATAACACAATATAATGGCAATATAACAGCAACATAACAACAATACGACAGTAAAATAAGAGGAACACTGGTGTAACACATCAGAATCACACTATACAGATCTACTACATCAAATGGAAAATCCCAAGTTTCAAGATTCACATATCCAGACCAATCTAAGTGCAATTGGTACAAACCCAGATGAATCAGCATGGATATTCAACAAAACCTAACCCAAAGCAATTAAAGCCAAAACAAATTTAACACAAACCCAAACAATCAAAATGTAACCCATTTCACATAATCCCACTGATATTAAAAGAAAATAACCATCAACACTACCTTTTGAGGTCGGCAATCCACTAGAGCTTCACGGTTGCAAGCAGCTATAGGGGTTCGCGATTCCAAACAGAGAGCAAGACCGAATATGGGGAGAAAGAGACATAACGAATCTAGAGAGAGAAAGAGCTGTGGTAGGAGAAAGAGAGCAAAGACAGAGACAGAGAGTTGTGCTATAGAGAGAGAGAGCCAAGAGAAACAGAGAGCTGCGATAGACATATACCAAAGAGAAAGAGAGCTGTGCCAGAGAGAGAGAGAGAGAGCTGAGTGAGCTAAGAGAGACCAAAATTTATGAACTTGTGATAAATCAACAATAGGAGGACAATAATTTTATATTTATAGGTTATAGTTTTACAAAAATTGGGAAGGGGTGGTATTTTTAGTTAATATTAGCAAATGGGTGGTAGTGGAGGTCATTTCCCTTTATTTAAATATTTATATCGAGCAGTTTTATTAATATATTTATTATGGTATTTGAATCAGGCACCCGGGCACCAGTTGACCCGCAGGAGGGACCTTCTAAAGGTCCAGCGAGCTCAGACCAGCTGAGTGGACTCTTTGTTTTCATAAATGAATTTATGCTATCCAGTTACAGTATTTGATCTTGAATAAGTTTTATTCAAAGATTAGTGTTTTATAAGTGAAATATGCTTTTAATTATTTTGATTTGCATGCTGCCGAGTGGAATATCCTTTAGGGATATAGGGAAAGAGAATTTTAGCTAAACATAAGATAAATGGCAGCAGAGTCCCAGATTTAACAGAAATTCAGTTATTTATCAGATCTTTCAGAAACTTTATATATTATTTTCTAAACCACCTTAGGTACCTAGATATACATATGTTACCTTCAGATATGATGATGTCCACAGAAATCCAGGTTGCCTTTGGTAAATATGTTGCCTTCGGATTTTATCAGTTGCCTTCGGTTTAGTCAGCATGCTTGGCAGTTGCCCCACGAGTTCCTTGGTACCCGGACTCGTGCGGAGCCAGGAGTGCGGATCAGGTTGACTACGATCCCCTGAGTCCTGCCAGTTTGCGGCTCGGGTTGACTTTGTGTCTCCGAGACCTGCCAAGGGAATTGACAAATTATCAGGAATTGACGACATATCAGGAATTGACGGAAATAGAGGGGTACGCCTAGGTGGTAGTTTTAAACTGATTTCAGTGGTTTTAAAAGATTAATGTTGACCATGAATGTGATTGATATATATATATATATATACAGATACATGAATGCATTAATTTTAGTATGAATATAATGAAGAGAATGATTTAGTTTTGTATAATTGTTTTTACAGTGGGGTTAGTATGTTCTTACTTATTTTCTAAACTTTGTTTTTGGGTCCACACACCCTTTTAATGTTTTGCGCCCCCAGGCCGTAGACGTGCATCTGAGAGCCACCACAGGGCAGTTTCCGCTTCTCGCTCTTCCTCAATTTGATGTAGGGTTCTTGGTTCACAAGTTGTTCCTTTCATTGTAAATTAATATGTATAGTTGCTCTGATGTTGCCCTAGAACATGTTTTACTGGTGGAACGTACTTATCTTTGTATACTGGCAGTTGGTGTATATATTTAAGTGCTTGTTGACAGGTGTAAATTTTGGGAACGTTCAATTTTCAGGGGAAACTCTGCCGAATTTTCAGTAGAAGTCAAACCTGGAAGGAAGTTAAGTTTTTAACAAGAAGGGCAATAGGGTCATTTGTGCTCGGCACCCGCCAGGTGTCAATCACGCACAGGGTTCAGCTCGGATTCCAAAGTGGAATTTGGGTCGGGTCCTGTCACTCGTATTCTATTTTTGAGGGATTATGGAAATTATTTAAAATAGTGGGAGGAGCCATAGAATTTAAAGACCCTAAATATATGGCCTTAACCAAAATAATCTAATTTTATTTATGCTATGTTTGCAGATAAATCTGTAGAACCCTATAATGTCAAAAGGGATTAGCTTCCATAAGGATGCCAAAAGGAAGAAGAGATGTAATGCACATCTTTCACGCACAAGGAACAAAACTTATGACGAGAGCAATTTTGTCCTTGAGTCAGTAATGGTAGTTGAAACTTCCACCTAAATAATGGATTTAGGAGCTAGCAGAAACGTTTGCAATACATTGCAAGGTCTACCAGATCATAGGAAGTTGTCAAAAGAGGAAATAGTGTTGGTACTGGTACCCAAATATCTGTAAAAGCAGTAGGCACTTTCCACCTTAGCTACCACATGGGGAGACACTTGAACTTAAAGAATGTCTTTATCTTTCAAATTGTGGAAAATAGCAACTGCTTGATTGAGATGTGATGACCTAAGAGGCCCAAAGAAAAACTCAATCCGACTGAAGTTTGGTACCTAAAGTTAGGACACATTGACCAAGATAGGATCCAAAGGATGGTCATGGAGGGATACCTTGAATTTTTGGGTTCAGTCCCTATGCCCACCTACGAATCCTGTCTTCAATGCCAAATGTCAAACTTGCCTTTTTCAGGAAAAGGGGAAAGAGTCACTGAGCTTCTTGAATTAATCAACACTAATATATGTGGGCCATTGTGCACTACATCAAGGGGTGGCTTTTCTTACTTCATTACGTTCACCGATGATTACTCTCAGTTGGGTTATGCATACCTAATATAGTACAAGTCCGAGGCCTTTGAAAAGTTCATAGAATTCAAGAAAGAAGTTGAAAAGCAAACAGGAAAGAGTATTAAGATTCTAAGATCAGATCGAAGAGTAGAATACTTGAGTACTGAGTTTCTTGAATATGTCAAGAAACATGGCATCCTATGGACTCCACCTAGAATTCCACAATTTAATGGTGTCTTCGAAATTAGAAACCGAACATTGATGGACTTTGTCAGATCAATGATGAGTTATTCTGTTTTGCCAGTATCATTTTGGGATATGCACTTCAAACTGCAGCATAACTGCTAAACAGAGTACCTTCCAAATTCGTGCCCAAAACACCATATGAAATGTGGTTTGCGAGGAAGCCAAGTCTTAATCATCTTAAGATATGGGGTTGTCTGGCTTATGTCAAGAAGCATGATATTGACAAGTTAGACACTAGATCATAAATGTGTAGATTCATTGGATATCCAAAGGAAACTTTAGGATACTACTTCTACCATCCAAACGAACAAAAGGTGTTTATTGCGCCTGTGTGCAGAAGGTTGAGCTCAAGGAAGAGTCTAGAGAGCCTCATGAACCTGAAGTAGAGTTTGATCCAGTTGACGATCCGGTCTCTTTATCCATACTCACCCAACCTCCAGATAGGTCTAAAAAGATCAATAAAACACCTAATAGATATCTGGGCATACACCATGCTCTTCTCATGGGAAATGACATGGAAGATCCTGAAACCTACACGAATGCAATGTTGGACATTGACTCAAAGAAATGGTAGGAAGCCATGAAGTCTGAGATGGATTCTATGTATGCCAATCAAGTCTGGCCTCTGGTTGACGCTCCCGAAGGTATTGTACCAATAGGAAACAAATGGGTCTTCAAGGGGAAGAAAAGCTCAGATGGCAAATTCCCCCACACTTAGCTTCTGCTAGTCCCTAGCAGAACAAAGAAAACAAAACAAAACCTAAACCTTCCAACAATTGCCTCAGGGATTTCCAATGAAACATGACATGTTAAAAATCACTACTCACACAAATTTGAGCCATCCTTACCCTCGAGCTCATACTTAATCACAGTAAACACTCACTAGCTCACATTTAATCAATTAAAACAACATTTGAAAGTGGTAACATGCCTTAGAGAATTCACTCAATTCCTCACCCGATATACTCTCTATTTTCACACAGATTTTCTGACCACACTCCCTATACTAAGTATATGTGAGAAGATTGATGTAAATGTGTAGACTAGCACTCACATATGTTATAACAAAGAAAGCACTTTCTGGAATTATTAATACGAACATGTATATGATCTCATGAACAGAATGCTACTACTTAGAAGCGAGAACCAGGGATTCCATAAGCTCATACCAATTTCAAACTCCACATATTGAAACACATAACAATCAAGATAGAAGTCTAAGGGTTGTATTGGGGCTAAGGTATTGGCTAACAAAGAAAGGTTAAGGATAAACAAAGGTTCTTAAAGTAATAGTAAACAGAGCAATGAAATCAACACTTGGAATTCAACTTGTGATTGCAGCACCCAATTTTTAGCACAAAGGGGAGATTTATTCAGATTCACATATCCCTTCTTTTTTTTCTCTCTCTTTTTTTTTGTTTTTTTTTGTTTTTGTTTTTTTTTGTTTTTGGACAACACTAATCCAAAGGAACAAATCCTTCCCCCACACTTTGTTTTTTTTTTTTTTTTTTTTTTGCAAATCGTAAATCAAAAGGAATTCCCAACAAGTCATGCTTGACTATTCTTTAAGAACAAGGGTATGGATATTCTTATACTAGGATAGGTAGGGATAATGCAAGCTAACAAAGAAAATAAGCTAAATAAGGCTTCAAAATGGTTAAACCTACAATGCATATGCAAGGGATAAGGCTTTTTGGCTCTGATGGTAACTAAACAACTTCATCTTGTTATTTGTTACGCAATCAATTTGATGCTTTGAATGGAACGGGCATGAGTTCTAGTATTTGGAACTAAAGAGATGAAAAAGCATTCTAAGTAGCAACCAAGCAAAGAAATAATGAGATCATGCAACGACTTTAGAAAACAAGAATATCAAGATTAATAACTCTCCAAACAAAGAACAGGCTCAAGTCTCTCAGGGTTGCAGCGTTAGTTTGAGTTCCTTCCTTCCAGCATGTTACAAAATTATTTTTTTTTTTTTTTTTTTTTTTTTTTGTGAATTCGTAATTGACAACTATAACTAAGTATTAACCAAAGAGCATATCAGACTTCCACCCATGTTTGTAACTTTCTTTAAAAGTCATGCAATTAAAAACCAAATCCTCATCATTGTGTTGGAAGGTACCCTAAGACACAAATAAACAACAAAAACGACTCTTGACTCTTTTGGTTTTTTTTTTTAAAAAAATTTAAATAAAGCACAAAAACACTTTTTAAAACAGTGAATAACAACATTAGTAGTGATAGGTGGTGAATTTTGAAAATAAATCACAAAAAGCACTCTGTTTACCCCCCCACACTTAAACTAAACATTGTCCTCAATGTTTCAAAAGAAAACTTTAAACAAGAAAGCAATAAGAGACAACTAGCAAACAAGACAATTATAGCAAAGTAAAAATAATAAAGAGAAGAGTAAAAGAGAGCAAATCTGGTTGTAGAGCCCGGAGATTCCGTTGTCTTTCTATTTGAACACATGGGTTGCCTCCCAAGAAGCGCTTGCTTTAACGTCTTCCAGCCGGACGGTACCTCCCTTTAAGCTTCACTAGGGCCAATGGCATGGAGGGGTACATCCTCCACTACATGCTCCTCAAAAGACTCATAGTATGGCTTCAAACGGTGTCCATTCACTTTGAATTCATGTCCGTCTTAAAACTTTGAATTTGGACTGCACCATAGGGAAAAACATTAGTAACAACAAAAGGACCAATCCATTTAGAACGCAACTTACCCGGAAACAAACGAAGGCGAGAGTTGAAAAGAAACACTTTCTGCCCCACAGAAAACGTTTTACTACGAATCATCTTGTCATGGGCAGCCTTTGTTTTCTCCTTGTAAATATGAGCGTTCTCATAAGCTTCAGTCCGAATTTCCTCAAGCTCATTCAATTGCAATTTCCTATGAAGTCCAGCGGCATCAATGTTCATGTTGAAAGTCTTGACTGCCCAATGTGCACGATGCTCCAACTCAACTGGAAGATGGCATGGTTTCCCATAAATGAGCCGAAAAGGAGACATTCCAATTGGTGTTTTGTAGGCAGTACGATATGCCCACAATGCATCATTCAAACGCAAGCTCCAATCCTTTCGAGTTGGTCCAACTGTCTTTTCCAAGATCTGCTTGATTTCCCGGTTGGAAACTTCGGCTTGTCCACTTGTTTGGGGATGATAAGGTGTTGAAACCTTATGCGTGACATTATACTTCTTAAGTAGTGCCTCTATGGTCCGATTACAAAAGTGAGAGCCCCCATCACTTATAAGTACTCGTGGCATTCCAAATCTTGCAAATATGTTAGTTTTAATAAAATCTGCAACCACTTTGGAATCATTGGTACGGGTGGCTTTTGCTTCCACCCATTTTGAAACATAATCCACAGCAAGTAAGATATAATTAAAACCATGTGAAGAAGGAAAAGGGCCCATGAAATCAATACCCCAAACATCAAAAATCTCAACAGAAAAGATAGGGGTTTGCGGCATTTGATCTTTTGCACCTATATTGCCCGTTCTTTGACAACGATCACAAGTCATACAAAAAGTTCTAGCATCCTTAAAGATAGTAGGCCAATAAAATCCACATTCTAAACCTTAAGTGATGTGCGTTGTGTACCAAAGTGACCCCCACATGCATAAGTGTGACAGAAGGTTAAGATTGAATTAAACTCAGAATCATGCACACATCTACGAATAATTTGATCAAGGCAATTTTTTTAAGTTTATCGCGTTGGTGCCTAGTTATGGTGCTTGGAACTTGTTTAGACACAATATAATTCACAATATCAGCATACCATGGCTCACTTACCTCAATGGTCAGCAATTGTTCATCTGGGAATGCCTCTGGAATAGGTAGAAGGTCTTCTTCATGTACCAAACGGCTCAAGTGGTCAGCCACTACATTTTCACATCCTCTTTTGTCCCTAATTTCCACGTCAAACTCCTGAAGAAGAAGCATCCAGCGAATAAGCCTTGGTTTGGCTTCTTTCTTTGTGAGTAAGTACTTCAAAGCTGCATGGTCAGAGTAAATTATAACTTTAGTACCAAGTAAATAAGAACGAAACTTATCTAAAGCAAACACAACAGCAAGAAGTTCTTTTTCAGTGGTGGAGTAATTCAATTGAGCATCATTCAAGGTTCGGGATGCGTAGTAGATGACGTGTGGCTTCTTGTCTTTCCGTTGTCCCAAAACAGCCCCTAAAGCATAATCTGAAGCATCACACATAAGCTCAAACGGAAGGCTCCAATCTGGTGGAACAATGATAGGTGCCGAAGTTAACAATTCTTTGAGGTGATTGAACGCCTTCTCACATTTGTCATCAAACACAAACGGCACATCCTTTTGTAGAAGTCGGCACAAGGGTGTTGAAATCTTCGAGAAATCTTTGATAAAACGTCTATAGAATCCTGCATGTCCAAGGAAAGAACGAACCTCTCTCACCGAAGTGGGAGAGGGTAAGTGGCGTACAAGACCTATTTTTGATTTATCAACTTCAATTCCCTTTTCTGAAACTATATGTCCTAAAACTATGCCTTGTTTTACCATGAAGTGACATTTTTCCCAATTTAAAACAAGGTTGGTTTCAATGCAACGTTTTAATATCAACGTGAGATTAGTTAAACAGCCATCAAAAGAGTCACCAAAGACACTGAAATCATCCATGAAAACCTCAATAATCTTCTCAACGAAATCGGAAAAGATACTTACCATGCATCTTTGAAAGGTGGCTGGTGCATTACATAAACCAAATGGCATTCGTCGATAACCAAAAGTACCAAACGGACAAGTAAAAGTAGTCTTTTCTTGGTCATCTGGGGCTATAACAATCTGATTACATCCCGAATAGCCATCAAGAAAGCAATAAAAAGAATGACCAGCTAACCTTTCAAGCATTTGATCAATGAACGGCAAAGGGAAGTGATCTTTCCTTGTGGTGGCGTTGAGCTTCCTATAATCAATGCAAACTCTCCAACCTGTTTGGATACGAGTGGGGACAAGTTCATTCTCTTCATTTTTTACCACAGTGACTCCTGATTTCTTTGGTACAACTTGAACCGGTGAAACCCATCGACTATCCGAAATTGGATAAATGACCCCACAATCAAGAAGCTTAATGATCTCCTTTTTCACAACTTCCATCATTGGAGGGTTGAGTCGGCGTTGAGCCTCTCGAGTTGGTTTAGCCCCCTCCTCTAGAAGTATGCGATGCATGCATGTTGTAGGACTAAGTCCCTTGATGTCGGCTAAAGTCCATCCAATAGCTGTTTTGTACTCTTGCAACACCCGAACTAGTTTTTCCTCCTCCACTGCCGTGAGTGATGAAGAGATTATGACGGGCAAAGTCTCTTTATCTCCCAAGAAGACATACTTCAAATGATTCGGTAACGGTTTAAGCTCGAGAGTGGGTGCCTGAATCACCGAAGGTAACAACTTGTTAGTAGAAACGGGAATTGGGATTGGGATTGGAGACTTACCAAATATTGTGGCAGTGACTCAAGGGCAGCCACCATCTCGCCAATTTCTTCATGATTAGGTTCGGCCCCATTTTTGATGAGTTCAATTCCTTGAACAATGGTGGTTTCAAGGACATCCCTATCTAGGGATTCGAGATATTCCTGCCAAAGAATCAAATGCATCAATAGAGAAACATGAGTGATCATCAATAGGGTACCTTATAGCTTTAGAAATATTGAAATCAATGATATTGCTATCAAATTCCATTGTCAACGTCCCCTTGAACACATCGATCTTGGTTCGGGCTGTTTTCATGAAAGGTCGTCCAAGTAAGATTGGCAATGGTGTAGAATGGGCCGAATCCTCCATCTCAAGCACATAAAAATCTGCTGGAAATATCAAGTGGTTAACCTGCACCAAAACATCTTCCAAAACTCCTTTCGGATATGCATTAGAACGATCGGCTAATTGAATTATAAAGCCATCATTTTTAAGCTCTCCTAAGTTCATAGATGCATAAATAGAGTATGGCATGACATTAATGGAAGCACCTAAATCTAACATGGCATGTTCAAACTTGGTGTTACCAATAACACAAGGGATTGTGAAACTACCTGGATCTTTGCATTTAGGTGGCAGTTTTCGTTGCAAAACTGCGGAAACATTCTCACTTACCCTTACCACTTCTTTGTTTGAAATCCTCCTCCTTGTTGTACAAAGCTCTTTCAAGAATTTAGCATACCTTGGAACTTGCTTTATTGCGTCAAGAAGTGGGATATTAACTTGTACCTTCCTGAAAGTCTCTAAGATGTCTTTTTCATTCTCTTCTTTCTTAGATTGCATAAACCTGCGAGGAAAAGGCACATTTGGTGGGATAGGGTTAGAATGAGTTGAATTTGGAACAACCTTACCTGAGTTTGGTTGTGTAGGAGCTTTGGGGGACTGCAGCAAGGGTTGTTCCTCCCTTGCCGTGGCTTTGTCCACCTCCTTCTCTTTGAGCAGCAGCTTTTTGTTCTCTTTTGGGCTTTGTTTGGACATTTTGGGATTAGTTCCAATCTCTTTACCACTCCTCAAGATGATAGCTTTAGCCGTTTCAAAACCTCCTTTTGGATTGACAATGGTTGAGCTAGGTAGTTTGCCTTCTTCTCTAAACTGTCCCATGAATTCCGCCATCTGCCCAATTTGCTTCTTCACTTCGCTCATCTCTTTGGCTTGATTTTGTAAACCCTGAGTCAAAGAAGTTAGTACTTGAAGCATTTTATCATTATCCAATGGCGAACCTGAATTTGATTGGGCAATTTGTGGTTGAGGTTGTGCTGGTGCGAACGGCCTTTGATAGAGCCCCGGAGGTGGCTGTCTATATCCGCCTTGTTGTTGTTGAGGCTCCCTCCACTTCAAATTTGGATGATCTCTCCAGCCCGGATTGTAGGTGTTTGAAAATGGGTCATACCTAGGTTGATTTTGGCCTTGATAACCTACGGCATTGGCACTTTCCCATCCCCCATTCTCTATTAATTGAGGACATTGATCAGTGGGGTGTCCATGCATAGAGCACACGCTACAAGTGGCTGTACTTTGCACTTTGGATCCTTCAACAACCTGCTAGATAAGAGTAGAGAGATTAGCCATTTGAGATTGAAGTTCCGAAATAGCACTTACCTCATTAACTGGACTTGGCCGTGTATGATCTCTCCCTCCAACTCCTTCGTATTGTTGTGCATTCAAAGCTCGGTTTGCTATTAAGATCTTCGCAGCAACTGGTGTTTTGTCAACCAAAGCACCTCCCGCGGAAGCATCAAGCATTTGTCTCTCCAGTGGAAGTAGTCCTTCATAGAAATATTGAATTAAAAGCTCTTCCTTCATTTGATGTTGTGGGCAGGATGCAACTAACGTCTTAAAACGCTCATAGTACCCTGGAAAGGATTCTCCCGGGCCTTGTTGAATTCCACTAATTTTCTTCCTCAAAAGAATGACTCTTGAAGTTGGGAAGAATTTCTCTAAGAATGCTTTCTTCATACTTTCCCAAGAAGTAACGGTTCCAGGTGCTAGTTCATAGAGCCAATCTTTAGCCTTGTCCATAAGAGAGAATGGGAAGGCTTTCATCTTCAAAATATTCCCATCCACGTTAATGGGTGTCATGCTTGAACATACTACTTCAAATTCCTTCAAATGCTTGTTTGGATCTTCCATGGACAGCCCATGGTATTTGGGAATGTGATGTAGCAAACTCGACTTCAATTCAAACTCATCGGTCTTACCTACAGCTGCCCTAGGGTATTGAATGCAAAGAGGGACTGCAGTGTCCAATCCAGAGGCTGAAAGTTCCTTGATTGTTCGATTGTCTACAGCCATGTCTTGTTCCTCTTCAAAGTCCGTTTCAGCTTCAGATTCAGGTTCGGAACTAGAACTAGAGGGATTGAGTTCTGGCTGCTTCCTCTTCCTTCTCAAAGTTCGTTCGAAATCGTCGTCAAAGTCCAATATGTGCGCATGAACAGGGTGTGAACTTCGAGTCATAAACTAGTACCTAAAACAAAGAAAACAAAATAAAATCAGAAACACAAGAAAAACGAAAACAAACGGAAGATTAGCAATTTTGCTAATCCCCGGCAACGGCGCCAAAATTTGGCGTGAGAAATAACTAACGCACAAATTAAACCCTATAAATCATGCAATCGTAGTACGAGTAAGTAGGGATCGTTCTATTCCGGGGATTAGGAGGGATGCTAATCAACACAAATTAAACTTATTAAACTGGAAACTAAGTTAAGGGAACAATGATTGGGGGGAATTCTGACGATTTAGACTAAAGTAAGACTGACAGCAGCAAACAACTAAGTTGTGAATGAAATATGGATTAAGGGATAGCTAGAGGATTCTTCTCCACACATGGAACATATGCACACAAATCGATCTCCAGTTACTCTTTCTATAAAGTATGAATGACAAAGCCCCAAATTAATTGTGAATGCACTAATTAACTCTCAGATTTTCCTAAGTTCATTGAATTGGACTCAGCGACGCAATCAAATTATCCTTATCAAGTTCCCTATATGAACAGCATGATAGAGATACATATCAAAGATCATTAAGTTCTATGAAAATCATAAGCCTTGACAAGACAATTGTAACTATGAAAAGCATGATACTCCTGCCAAGAATTTACTTAACACAATCATGACTAGTGACTTTTACTACTTGTGAATATAAGTTCATAACGATTAGGTGAAATTCCCTTATATTCTAGCATCAAATCCCTGCATACAAACTAAGTATGCATCCTTAATAAACATGCAAGAATAAGTCCTCAATAAAACAGAAAAGTAAATCACATTCATACTTTATGAAACCATAACTGGAAGTAATCAATTCATGTAAAACATATGTCCATGGCTTCGAATTCACCTCTAACTAAGAAGAAATTCAGTTACACATGTTCATAATAATTGAAAAGCAATATAGAATAAACATTTGAACTAATCAAGGGAAGAACTCTGAAAAACCCAATGGATGCAGCAGGTTCCGGCTCCAAGTTCTTCTTCTCCCTTGATCCTTTCTTGCTACGGCACCAAAAGAACCCCCTTCTCCTGCGGCAACCCCTCCTTTATATATGTGGTAGATCTAGGGTAAAAGGGCCCAGCAGAAACCCACGAAATTAGGGTTTTGTTTGGAAGATTTCTTTGGGAATAATAGGGCCCAATAGAAACCCACGAAATTAGGGTTTTTAGGTTTCCTAATCTGAAATTAGGTCGAATAGGATTAGGATAAGGTAAAATAAAATAAAATCAGTTAGGGTTTTTTACTTCCCAGAAGCTGATTCTTGAATTAATTTCCCCATCTTTTTAGCACATTCCTAGCCTCTTCGAACTTCAAAAACGTCCATCCATCTTGGCCCATGCATATGCTACCCATTCCAAGTCCAAAAGTGCTCTAAAATGCTCCAAAATGCCCTTTCTTGCCAATCTTGCCATCTGGACCTACAATAGTACGAAAATAAGCTAAATCACTCTAATAAATGGGAATTAACTAAGTAAATGCAAAGAAATAAGATACCAAAGTCGCATAAATATGCTCCTATCAAAGGTGGAGACCTATAAAGCTAGATTAGTAGCTAAAGGCTACAAACAAAGAGAGGGAATTGACTATGAAGAAACTTTCTCTCTTGTAGCAATGATAAAATCCATCCGCATACTTCCCGCGATAACAACATATTTTGACAATGAGATATGGCAGATGGCTGTGAAACCTTTAGGAAGAAATCTCCATGGATCAACCTGAAGGATTCATATCTAAACATGAACAGAAGAAAGTATGCAAACTTCAAAGGTCCATCTATGGACTGAAAAATACATTATTCGTCACGCAAAGTCTAGTAAACACTACCTTGCGCGACACTGTTGTGTATTTGTCGCGTAAGATCGGTCAGACCCTTCACTGTCTTCCTCTCCCCCTGAACCCCAAATTTCGGCGGAATAACAACTTGCACGACGGAAAAATAAATTTTCGTCGCGCAAAGTCTATAAAACAATACCTTGTGCGACGCTGTTGTGTATTCGACGTGCAAGATCGGTCAAACCCTTCACTGTCTCTCTCTTTCCCTAAACCCTAAACCCCAAATTTTGGTGGAATAACAACCTTGCGCGACAGTTTGGTTTAATCGTCACGCAAGGGGACGAAAATTTTGGCGGAGTACCTGCCTTGTGCGATGGTTTCTTTTATTCGTCGCGCAATGTAATGAAAATTTGGGCAGAAAACATACCTTGAGCGACGTCATGATTTTGTTTCTGTCGCACAAGGTCCATTAAACATACCTGTCAGATGAAACACGATAGCCCAGACCCTTCTTCCTCACTTTCTCTCTCTGCCCTAAACCTTCTCTCTCTCCGCCGTCAACCGCCTCACCTCAGCCCACGACTCCTCCAGATATCTGGGCATACACCATGCTCTTCTCTCTCTCCGCCACAACCTTCAAAGCCAAGACCTTCCCCGCCGTCACCGTCGAGCCTGCCACTGGAATTGGGCCAGCTTTCACAGATTCTTCGCCGGCCTCGTTCTCTCTCCTCCGGCCACCAAATCCGACACCTGAGGTATGGTTTCTGGACTATTTTTGTGCTCTAGCTGATGTTTGGGTAGGATTTGATTAATTGTTAGTTTTGGTATCTTGAATTTAAACCCTAAGTTTGGCCAATTTTTGAATTTAAATTCCTGTCACTTCCAACCATTTTTTGGGGTAGGTTCGAGAACAAAAGTGGCTCCAATTGATGTTTTGAACCTAGGGTAGGAACCTTGGCCCCAATTTTTAGAATTTTCCGGTGATTGTTATCGCTTTGGATACCCACACGTTGCCGGCATGTGTGGTGGCACGTAGGTTATTGTAGCAATGGGGCATTGAGTCCCAGTGCAATCCCCTAGTTGTCACGAGTGCGTAGGTGTGCTTGGATTTCAATTTGGTTACCGTTTGAGTCTCGAACAGATTTCGCCTATTGTGTGATTTCCGAATTTAATATGTTTGAACCATTGGATCGAACTCGACGGATCGTGGATCGGAGTCCCGGATACTCCGAAATCGCAAACCCTAGGTCAAGATATGTTTTTAATTAATTAGTTAAGATTCTTAATGAAATTGTATGTGCTTAGAATTATATCTTCATAAACAAGATTAATTTGTATGTGTATTAATGAAATTGTGCAGATGTCGAACCTTATTAGAAGTCATAAGGCGGTGACGACTGCATAGAGTTCACCTCCCTTGGCTCAGCCGTCATCTGCTGCCATTGCTCCAACACTGATGGACCACTTGCCAGTTGGTCCCGACCCGCCAGGCATCATCACCGGCCCGCCAGCACCACCGACACGACATCGACAGACACTACTGGTGCGTCAGGGTCACAACTAGGTACAGATTTCCTTAAACTACAGTTGTTTTTTGTGTGTGTATTTTATAGTTGAATTTGTTATTTATTTAACGTTAATTTCATATTTCTTTGCAGCCAAGAACACCTGGGGGCCGTGTCGGCAGTTGAAGACGGCGAAGGTCACTCAAGTGACCAACAGTCGTATCAATATCGGATATGACGAGCGGCATCGGGCTACACCGACAGCAGAGTTGCATAGCTTATTGGCCCACAACATTGGCCACGTCGTTCGGACCCATTGCCCGATGCAATAGAAGTCTTGGAAGGTCATGCCTGATGAGATCAAGACGGAGGTGCGCTGACAGTTGTCGGTATGTATCCTACCTTTTAATTCTTTTTCCTTCAAACTTTATATATATTTCTATTACTTAATGTATGTAATTAATTTATTGCAGATGAACTACAACTTAGAGGAGCTCGACAATGAGTCGTTGGCGTACGTCAACAGACTCTTTGCTAAGAGGTACAAGCAGTGGAAGAGCGACTTGCACCACCATTTTCAGGCATTTGATGATCCGCAAGTCGCTCTTCAGGAGGGTTGCCCAAAGGAGCTTGAAGGGCGGAGGGATAGTTGGGCGTGGCTCTACGCTCATTTTCAGGGGCCCGATTATGTGGTATTTTTTAACATTGGAGATCTTCTACAGGCAAGTACAGCTACTCTTCTTCTTCATTTTTTATACTTCTTAAAATGGTGTAGGCTGTAGTAGTATATACTCTATTGTGGTTAGGCAATAATGTTCATGCAGTTGTTAAATCATGTTTGCCAACAAATGTGGATTGTTTCTGCATGCGTGACGAAGAGCATTTCGTCACGCAAAGTTATTTTGAGTCGCACAAATTTCAGCGCGACAGAAAATTCATCACGCACAATCCGTCGCTCAAAGAGCATGAAGAAAGACTTTGCGCGACCAAGTTTTTGCATTGGTCGTGCAAAACTGAGCGACGGTTAACCTTCGTTGCACAAAAGGTTTAGGGACAACACAATTGTTCGTCTCACAAACCTTTGCGCGACGAACGCATGTTCGTTGCGAGTACACGGTGCAACGAATAATATCCGTCGCGAAATTCGTGTCGCAACTGTTTGCGTGACGATTTGTATTCGTCGCGCGATTTGTGTCTCCAACATTTGCACAACGATTATTGTTGCGCGACGAAATCGTCGTCATCGCGCATTTCTTTTTCGCGAGACGAAAGTCTTCATCTCACAAGAATAAAATATATTTATTTAAAATGTAGTTTTACGTTTTTTTATTTTGTAAAATGTGAATTTGCGCGACGAAAAAAGTTTCGTTGAGCAAAATTAAAATATATATTATTTAAATTTATTTTTACGTTTTTTTAATTTTGTAAAAAAATAAATTTGGTTTTTTTTTTTGGGAATAAAATGAAATTGCAATAAAAAAAATGTAATGAAGAGAACAAAAAATTATATAAAATAATACAAATGTATACTACAAGAGAAATGTTTTAAAATATAATTATGAAAGTAAAAACACTAATCAAACAATGTTCCAAAATCTACTTGGTTGTCAGGCAGATGCAGTTCAAAGGTCTGGACATTGTCCACAGGGGCAGAGGTCTAGTAGCCATGCTCAGGGTGGACGAGCTTGGCGGTCGACAAGGGATCAATTTTAAAGAAACATTAGTAAGAAACATGTAATAATTTTGAAATTAATACTAAAAAATAACACATAATCAGGCGCCTAAAAATGAGCGCAGAGCCATGCCCAACTATCCTCCCACCCCTCAAGCTCCTTCGGGCAACCCTTCTAAAGAGTTGGAGCACAGTCGTTTGATGAAGTCGTTAAAGGTTATGGTTTTAGCTAAAATGAAGATGAACCTTGTGTGTACAAGAAAAACAGTGGGAGCACAGTCGTATTCCTCGTTCTATATGTAGATGACACATTAATGTTTGGAAACGATATAGACATATTGACATCTGTAAAACTATGGTTATCAAAGACCTTCTCAATGAAGGATTTGGGTAATGTATCTTACATAATTGGTATCAAGATCTATAGGGATAGATCGAGAAAACTAATTGGATTATCTCAATCCTTGTATGTGGACAAGGTATTTGGAAGATTCTAAATGGAACATTCCAAGAAGGGGTTTCTGCCAGTTAGACATGGTATTCACCTGTCTAAGAGCATGAGCCCTACAACCCAAGAAGCAGTGATACAGATGAGCAGGATCCCATATGCTTCCGCAATTGGGAGCCTAATGTATGCCATGTTGTGTATGATGCCTAATATCAGCTATGATGTGAGCATCACAAGAAGATATCAATCAAACCCAAGATTAGAACATTGGAGTGTTGTAAAGACTATGTTAAAGTACCTTAGAAGGACCAAGGATATGTTCATAGTCTATGGAGGAAACCCAGAATTACTGGTGGAATGATATGCAGACTCAAATTTCGAATCTAATGTTGATGATCGGAAATCCACTTTTGGATATGTGTTCACATTGAATGGAGGGCAAATCAGTTGGGGATGTTGCAAGCAAAGCACCACTGTGGACTCCACAATTGAAGCAAAGTACATAGCTACTTTGGAAGTAGCAAAGAAAGTGATCTGGATGAAGAAGTTCATTACTGAACTTGGAGTGGTTCCAAGCAGAGTCACCAGTCATTTTATATTGTGACAACAATGGGGCTATAGAGCACAAGCCAAGGAACCAAGGTCTCATCAAAGATCCAAGCACATTCAGGGGCGCTATCACTTAATCAGGGAATATGTTGCTGATGGAAATATTAGCGTGCTCAAGGTGGCTTCAGCAAAAAACATAGCAGATCTACTCACAAAGCATATGAGTCAGCTTTTGCTGGACCTACACATGGAGAAGATGGGTATTAGATACATGTCAGATTGGCTTTAAAGTGCAAGTGGGAGATTGTTAGAAATAGGCTTTGAAAACCAACTAATTATGTAATAGTTAGAGTTAAGGACATTTTTGATAGAAGACATATTATGTTATCAATGGGTAAGAAAGGTTGTTTTATACATTAAATCATCTTATATCATCTTTCAATATGTATAACAACCATAGTCCAAGGAACATACAAGTGGATATGAGAGCTATGTAATGAGATTGAATACATGGAGACTTCTCATCATCCCTAAATCCTGAATATGTTCATGGTAATAGGAATATTGATTGGGTGTCAATATTCCACAAAAACTACATAGTATCATCTCTATGCGTAGGGAATGGCAAGGTCTCAAGTTATTAAGTGTGGAGACACATCGATATGTGTGTTGGTGCTTGTAGAAGGATAAGTAGTTAATGCGATCCAACACATGAGGCATGGAAGTCTCTACTCACATATCAAGCTAGAACTCATAAATTGCAATTGTGCAAACTAATCCTTAAACCTAAGGCATCATAGATATTTTGTGGCTATGTTGTTAATTTTTAAGGGCACTATACGGTCATGCTGAATTAGGCATAGCTTAAAGGTGCTCATCAGGATCCTCAATAAAGTCATGGAAGCAAATGAATGTACAACAATGAATCTCTACTCTCAATAAAGGAGAGAGAATACTCCAAGATATGATTGGTCAAATTTATGCGTAGAGTAGTGGATAAGACTTGAAAGAAGAAGTCATTAAATCTTACCAGGATAATCATATAAAAGGAATAATTCACATTAGGATATTAACAATCGGATTCCATGATCTAATAATGTGAATAAGGAGTATGGACATAAGAGAAGGATTCAATTACACGGTCATTCCAATTTGAATAGGTTCTTTTACAATGTCTCATTTAGCTTGGATAACCGTGACTTGCTACTAGGTGACAACCATGGTTTGTGGATTTCCTAAAAGGTTTCAATTAACCTTTATTAATAAGAAGAATTAAATTGTGGAATTTAATTCGTATATCATTTCTGAGGAGTTAAGTCAACCCACTACCTTACTAAAGGGAACCTATGGATCTGCACACTCAAAGAATGTGATTAGAGGTATATATGAGGAGAAAGGAAATAAGGAGACACAGGTCAATGGTTGATAATCAAATGTCAAAGTCAATGGTCAAAAGTCAACATGTTGACCAGAGTAATTGACCAAAGTCAAATAGTCCGACTGGGTCAATTAAGTAAGACTATAATTATAATTTAATAGTTAAAATATAGTTAAAAGATTAATTATGGAATTAATATTGACATATAAAAATATTGGATTGGGCTTTTAAATATGATCTAAAAGGAAAGGGACAAAATAGCCCAAAAGGCTATTGGGCCTAAGGAATAAGTGGCATAAGTTGACATGACCCATGGGTCAAATGGAGCCCCAAATACCCATTCAATTGTCTTTTGTGTTGTCATATATAAGCTAAGTGTTGTATACAACCTAGCTACGGTTTTTGGTTTCTTACTTTGGTTGATGAGTGATCATCTTTGTATCTCATCTTCCATAAACCAAAAATGGGTCCAATCAAGAAGTAGACTAAGATCCATACTTCTTGATTGCCTTTTCTTCATCCCTAGGAGCATTTAGTGTGGTGAGGTAGAGGACTCCAATCTTGGAGCCTTCTGGTGAAGGAGTCAAAATCAAGAGAAACAAAAGGTCTTTCCAACAAAGTGTTCATTCTTGAGAAATGAAGAAAAGGTCATCAAGGGTAAAAGATCTATTCCTTTTTTCCCTTTTTTATTTGTGTTGAAAGATACTAGGCTAAGATACTTGGTTTAAAATTAAAAAGGTTAAGCTCAACTAGTATAAACAAAATGAATCCGCCATTTAGAATGTTTTTGTTGTATAGGTTGTGGCTAAAGTTCATTTCCTAAGCATTAGATGCATGTTTCCTTCCTTCTTACCCCAGCTTTGACCTTTGGTACCCTAGAAGTAGTGCCTGAAGTAGCAATTGCAGGGCCAGCTCTAGCAATAACAAAACCAAGAATCCAGCTATAGCTCATGAAGTTAGACCAAGAAACAGACACTTCGGTAAACCAGCTAATGGAGATCGAAGCAAAACCAATGAGCAAAAATTCATGCCAAATTAACATGGTATACATACTCTTAGCCTCCTATAGGTCAAGAGAAGGCCAACCATGTAGCATGGAAGGTGACAGTTTAATAGGAGATCATCCGACCGCGCTAATTGGGATAGTAAAAGACTGTAATGAAAAACCTGATATCTTGCGAATCAAGGATTCGGGCCCAATTACAAGATGCGTCGATGCCTCGGAAAAAGATGCTCGTTGGGTATTCTTTACGAAACGAAACCAACCAAGTCAATGACCAAACAATTAAGGCTCTTGTTCATCTCTGCTAGAATTAACGAAGTACCTTTCAAAGAGGTGTTAATTGATGGAGGAGCTGCGATTAATATCCTACTTTTCAAAAGGTTGGAATAGTTAGGAAAAAACAAGGCAGATCTCATTCCTACTGATTTGACCATATCTAACTTCGAGGGAGCCATTACTGCCACCCATTGCATCTTGATCGCAGAATTCGAAGTCGACTCCAAAAATCTAATGGTATCCTACCTGATAGTAGATAACACATCTTCTTATCATGCATTAATGGGCAGAGATTGGATACATCAAAGTATGTCCATACCCTTTTCCCTCCAACAGGAATTACTGATGTGGAAAGAAGAGATAGAAGATTATGAGATGATAAAAGTTGATCCAAAGCCATTCCTGCCATCTGTCAATAACGTCCACTCTCCAGTAGTGATGGCCCAGAATTTTCTCCAGAGAGGTCTTACCTTTTCAGCAGAAGAACGGGAAATACCTCAAATCTCTTTTACCAGTTTTCATGAATAAAGAAGGCCTGCAGAAAGAGGAGCCATCTCTAGTAGTCACATCCCTCGTGGATCAACTACAGATAGATGGGATAGAGGAACATACATTATGAATGAACTCAGCCAACTACGTGGCAGAATTCATCTCTGAAGATACTTGGACCGAACCACGAGAATTAGAAGAAGAAATTCAACTTGCACCAGCCAAGTTGAGCAAATCCCCTCTAGAAGTTCAAGACCCTCTCGAGGAAATCAATTTAGGCATTGAGGATGATCCAAGGCCAACATTCATAAGTGGCCTTTTGGATCAATCTATAAGAGAAGAACTGATTGCCTTGTTGCAAGAATTCAAGGATTGTTTTTCTTGGCATTACCACGAAATTAAAGGATGTCTGTCAAGACCGAATTAAAATTAAAGGAGGAGATTGAACACATGTTGAAGGCGGGATTCATCAGGCAGCCCGATATGTCGAGTGGTTAGCAAATATCGTCCTTGTCTTGAAGAAAGTCACTAAAGTTGTAAGAGTCTGTGTAGATTATAGAAATCTCAACGAAGCTACTCCAAATGAGTATCCTATGCCAATGGCTGACATGTTAATTGACGGAGCAGCTCATAACCAAATTTTATCTTTCATGTATGGTAACTTAGGGTATAACCAGATTATGGTTGCAGAAAAAGACATCCATAGAACAACATTCAGATGTCCAGGAGCAATAGGGACATATGAATACATTGTCATGCCATTCAGGCTAAAAAACGCAGGGGCCATATATCAAAGAGCGATGAATGCTATATTCCACGACATGATCGGACATACCCTTGAAGTATACATTGATGACGTAGTCATTAAATCATAGGAGAAAGCCGCACATGTTGAGGACCTCCGCAAGGTTTTCATCAGAATGAGACAACATCATCTGAAGATGAATCCAAAGAAATACACATTCAGTGTCCAGGATGGTAATTTCATGGGTTTTCTGGTACATCATAGAGGCATTGAAGTAGACAAGAATAAAGCTAAGGCAATCATCGATGCCCTAGTCTCTTGAAACAAGAAGGAACTGTAGAGTCTGGTAGGGAAAATCAACTTCCTACACCGGTTCATCGCTAGTTCAACAGGAAAGGTGCAGCCATTCTCATCTTTGTTGAAAATAAAGGAGGGTGACCCATCCGCATGGGGTCCGATTCAATCGAAAGCGTTCGATCAAATAAAGCAGTATCTAAGCAATCCATCAGTCCTCATGCCTCCAAAGAAAGGTTCAATCAAATCTGCTTCAAAAAATTCAATCGGTAGCTTACTGGGCCAAGACAATGACTAAGGCAAGGAACAAGCTACGTTTTATCTAAGTAGAATATTACAAGAAGTGGAGATTTGGTATTCAGCTATCGAAAAGCTTCGTTTGGCCCTTTACTTCCCTGCTGTAAAGCTGCGACACTTCATGATTCCTTTTATGGTCCATATCATAGCTAAAACTTATCCCATCAAATACATGCTGAATAGACTTGTGCTAAGAGGACGACTAGGAAAATGGCCCCTGGCTATATCTGAGTTCAGTTTCAAATACATTCCTCAAAAGGTAGTAAAAGGGCAGGCTATTATAGATTTTCTACCAGCCCACCTTGTGTCCAGATCAAAGACTTGAGCACCTGGAAATCGCTAATTTAGGATTTCCACCTCAGCAAAGAGCTCCGAAATTTGAATTCAAATACGTATCAAGAAATTGCAGAATGTACAAGGCCATGTTGTAATTTATGTCAAGACAATTCAAGTCAAACCGTGGAAGTTATTCTTTGACGAATCTAAATCATAATTGTCAGCTGGCACATGTATTGTCATTGAAGATCCTTTCAAAGCAAAATATGCATACTCTTTTCAGCTCGATTTCGACAGCACTAATAACAAGGCCGAATATGAAGCTCTGACCATCGGCCTGGAAATGATATTGGACTTCGGAGTCAAACACTTGGAAGTATTCGAAGATTCTTAGCTGGTAATCAAACAACTGACGAGCAAACACAAATACAAAGATCTGAATATGGTAGCCTATTATGTGGCAGCCCAAAACTTGAGTTCTATGTTCAAAGAAATCTCAGTTAAATATATACCAAGAGAGGAGAATATAGCTGCCAATGAGATGGCACAAATTGCTTCTAGTATCTAGATACAAGAAAATTAGTCCGAAAGGACTATCAAAGTTCAAAAAAAGTTCCTGCCTTTGATCATAAGCCGAGGGATGGATCTCGAGATAAATACCAACGAGGTGCAAGCAGGTGATTGGAGGAAACCATTGATCGACTACTTAACTAACCCATCTCCAAGGGTAAGTAGAAAGATCAAATATCAAGCGAATTATTCTGACGTTCTGTTGAAAGAGTTCTTCTGAGATGTCTCCAGCTAAGAGAATCGATGCTGGTCATGAGTGAAATTCATGAAGGATCTTATAGAGCCCGAAAAAAGATGGCTCATCATGACATATGGCTATTTTTTGTCAACCATGCAGAATGACTGTTTCAACTACGCTAGGGGATGGGCTATGGATTTTGTGGGAAAAATCGCACCTAGTTCCAGTAATGAGTACACTTTCATCATAGTTGTCATTGATTATTTCACCAAATGGGTGGAGGCTAAGGAATTAAAATCCATTTCTTCCGCTGCAGTGATCACTTTCATCAAGCAGCAGATTGTTCACAGGTTCGGAATTCCAAAAAAAATCACAAAAAACAGAGGTACCTCCTTCATTCCGAAGGAAATCCAGAATTTCACCGAAGAATACAACATCAAGTTCGTGCAATCCAGCCCTTATTTTCCACGAGCAAATGGTGAAGTTGAATCTACTAACAAGGTTTTGATCAACATCATCAAGAGACGACAATCCTAGGGATTGGCACAATAGGTTGTCCAAAGCTCTATGGGCAGGCCAAACCTCCAAGAAGACTGCTATGGCCACGATATAGTGTTGCTAATAGAAATCAATGTGCAATCCCTGAGATTGGAAAAACAACCAGGAATGAATGAGGCAGCCTATGCAGAAGCAATGATGCAAGACCTGGACCAATTAAGTTCAATTCAGACCAAAGCTTTGAACCATCTAATAGTTGGTAAGCAAGCCGTGTCTCGAGCCTACAATAAAAGAGTTCTTGAAAAGACTTTTGAAGAAGGAGAATTAGTATGGCGGGCTATGTTACCACTCGGAACTCACGTGGCAGGACTTGGGAAATAGAGTCCTACTTGGGATGGTCCGTTCGTGATCAACAAAATCCTAGGTAAAGGCTCCTATTTACTACAAGATAGAGATGGTACCGTGCATCAATATCTGATCAATGGACAATTGCTAAAGAAGTTCCTACATTCTTTGTGGAAAACAACATGCATTGACCTTAGTAAAGACTGAACTAAAATGTTATTAGATTTAAATATAGCTCGCATCATTTTTGTAACTAATTACCCGTGATAAGGGCAATTAAATGCAAGTAGCATATTTATATAAAGGCCAAATTATGGTTTTCCATTTCTAAGAGTTCATTGTCAAGGGTATAAAAACTAAATTGTTCAACAAAACTGAAAAACAAAGAGATGTCCAAATTAAACTTTTAAGAATTACAAAAGCAGATGTAGCAAGGTTTTTATCTTGTCCGAAAAGTGCAGAGTGTCTATGCGAAGTTTGTCAAGGCAAATTTGCTTCAACTTCCCACTCCACACCTCCAGCCCGACTTCCACATCAGCTTTATTCAGATTCTCTTGAGTCGAAGCCATACTTGTTAGCATGTGATCAACTGAATCTTGGAGCTATTTATTTTGTGCTAGCAGTTCCTGCAATTCGGCTTCTGAAGTTTTCAAATGCCAGCTCACTTGCCTCAGTAGAGCTTCATGATCAGCAAATACTTTATGTTGAGCTTCTATCTTTTCCTCTCTTGAGCTAACTCTGTCTCTAACTTCAGAAGAACTTTCGATTCTTAGGAAGAAGAGCCCTTCTTTTTAATTTTGTCAACCAACGCCTCCAGATCTTCTTTGGCACCTTCAAAAGATACTGCGAAGTATGGGTAGGACCGACAAAGAGAGCCCAGAGCTCCAAAGACTCGGACCTTCTGTTCTTCAATTACCCTTTCTTCCAAGGAAAGCGCTAACCATTTCTCTAGTACAATTTTAGCCCTAGCCTTGGATATGAAGTCACTGCATGAACTCTTAGATTGAGAAGCACTCAACCCATCTCCTTCCATAGGCCTGACTGGAGGTTTTGGAACAGGATTTGGTATTGTCGTTTCGGGCTCAGCTTCTTGAGACTAGGGGCCTCACCTCCATTCATTGGCATCTCATTGGCCTGAAATTCCCATGCATTACTCAAGGCCGATTCTACCACAGTTTTTATTTCAAAAAATAAGAAATTGAAGAAAAAACATACCACTTGAGCAGCAGCATAGAATCCCTCATTTTCGCAAACTGGTTCTGAAGGAGGGGCAACATCTTCTAGCAGTGTTTCTTCAAGAACTGGGGGGCAAGCAATTTCTCCTTGCAAAGGCGGTTGAGGAGTAAGCACTCCCAAATTTGGCCGCACTAAGCCAAACACAGTTAGTTCCCATGACCACTGAGGAGTTGATTTTATATTATATATTTAACCCTATTCTTAGTATATTTTTGTTAATATTTTGGAAGAATTTTGATACTTTGAAATATATTTCCAATATAGGACTTTCGACTTCCTCTAGAGCAAAACATAACAAAAAAGGACGAATTTTGGAGTAATTCCAGTTGGAGGATGTTCGTGAGTTACTTGGCTTGATCGTATTGAAATTTCAGACTTTTCTACCAAGCAATTATTTTCTGGCGATCAAATAAAGGAGCAGTGCGCGGTGCTGGAATAGTGACGTTTTGGGCTTTTATTGCGTTTTTGGAGCCCAAGATGACCTCGGATGGGTTCGTGGCCTTCTGGAGAAGTGTTCGGAATATTCTTTAAAACGAACTATCTTGGGCCAGATTTAGAGGAGATTTGAGACCAAAACGTGGCTGGGCAGATTATGGGCAGATTATCCTAATCCAATTTGGACTTTATTTTCTAGTCTTATTTTATTTTAACTTAGTTTCCTTGTGGGGATTGGGTAGCTAGGTTTTATGAGGTATTTAAGCTCCTTTTCACAGCAATTTAGGGACTCCCTTTTTACTTCTTTTTGGCTTTTGGAGCAATTGCTAGGGTTTTGGGTTTTGCGACTTTCAGGTGTTTTCATTCATTTTCTTCTTAATGATATTTTCTTGGATTTCAATTATGAATATGCATAACTAATTCCTTTTTCTAGGGCGAGGCCGTAAGCCTTAGCATGAATATGTAATTTTATTAATTTGCTTATGAATGGATGCATGTTTGCTTTGAATTACTAATCACTGCGTTTAAAACTATCTATCTATTTTAATGACTGATCACCATTAGGATATGTAGACAAGTAATTTGATGCAATTTCTGTTGGAACATCACCCTGAAATTGAGGATGGCTTCTTGTGATTAGTAGTTGTAAGTTCACTTAAGGCGAACATCACGCTCTTAAGGGTTGCATGGTTTTTCAAAGGGTTTTCACAAAGCTTAATGAGTCTTGCATGTTTATATTTGATCTGAACATCACAGACGGATTGCATGTTAGATATACGTTTTTGCTTGAACATCACAAGGAGGAAAATATGCATTAGGAAAACCTAACCTTCAAAGCATACGTGTGGAAATTCATAAGTAATTGATAGAATTGCATAGGATTGCAACGGTGATGGCTAAACCCTAGTTTTCTCTAAATTGTTAGTCTTTAAAAAAAAACGTTTTTCTTCTTTGCTGTTATTATCTCCCAACTTTCAGATTTCTTTTACTGTTAGTTTAATCTTTTCAAACTCATAAACCTCAAATCTTTGATAAAATCTATTTTAGTTATTAATTAAGAGTTAGTTTAATTACAAACTAGTCAAACAATCTTTGGGGACAACGATCTTGCATGAGCACTTATACTACAATTACCTTGTATTCTTGCAAGTATTTTAAGTGATTTTAACCCTATTGCGCAGGTACTAAAAGTCCTATCAACCACAAAGTGGACACATTTCATCATACCTCAGTCAAATTGTCTATCCCACATTCATTCTCTGCTTGAGGATTTTCATGCTGCCCTTCTCCTCCTTGGAATAATTCTGCCTTAGCGGCCTGGTAGAAAATTTTTGGTTATTAAAATTTTTATTTTTCATATGTATAAATAACCAAAAAAGGGTTATTTCTTACCTCAGCAGAAGGAGCTTCCCCTGAAACATAAACTCTTGTTAGAGCCATTCCAGAGGAAGGAGCCATCTCACCCATTCTAGCATTTTCTTCTCGAAGAATCTCCACAACTAAGACTGAAGCCGATACTGAAGCAATCGGAGGAGAAGAAAGAATAGGGACCTACAAACAACAAAGATAAGAGAAGGAAAAATCCATGTTCCCTTCTAAACATTTGGAATAGATTGGCAAGAAGATCACTTGGGGAGCAATCAGAGCAACCTCAAGAACCTCCACAGGGGAAATCCTAGCCCGCTTGCCTTGAGTCATTTTGGGCTGAACTTAAATCCCTTCACCACTCTCAGCCTCTTCTGGCAGAGATCTCTTCTTAGTGCTCGATTGACCAACTACATTAGTTGACAAATATATCAGAGCTGAGATAGTAGAGAAAAGAGAAACCCTCATAAACTACTTTTTCTTTTAGAATTAACTGAAGAAGAAGGAAAGGGCGGAACAATAGTCTCGGGCTCATTTTAAAGTTCTAATGGTCTTAGATATAGGAAAAACAGAGGTCCTTGTTTACACCAAATTCCGCCTCCTTTGAACAAAAATGGGAGCCTTTGATCCAATAGAGCCCGAACCTTCACCAACACCTTTGCTTTCCTAAGCCACCAATTGGATGGCTAAACAGAAAATCTGGTAACTGGTAAAAACTTATCAATAAATAGACAATTGGGAAGAAAAGGCAAAACACGAAAACTTAAAACAAAATGGTTATTACCAATAGTGACAACTTATTGTCATCTACAATATGTTCAAGAAGGACCTACCTATCCCTCTCACTAAGTTCCCGATGGAAAGGACAACCTTCAAAGACCCTTTTATACGCAGTATCTATGGCCCAAAATCTGGCATGGTAGTGGTCCCACCAAGACTGAAAAGATTGGGTACAGCAGCAATCAGGTTGATAGGTTTTAACTCCAAAGCGAGGGCAGAATTGGCATATTTATCCCGAATTCCCAAGAGATCTTCTCGGCTCAATCTGGGAAATCTGTAGGACGAGCCCTTGTTGATCAAAGAATAATTTAGTTCAGGAATGACCTGGGGGCATCCAATCTGTCTACTGAAGAATTGGGGATGTCCATATTTTTAAAAGCCATAGGATCATCAACACCCTTGGAACCCTGATAGACAAGCCTCTTCTTGAACCAGGAATAGCTTCTTTTCAAACTCATCATCCATTGAGACGCGTCTCTGGTCTTCCTGCCCATGAAGAAGGTAAAGCACTCCTCAGTTGTCTTCCCAGAAATAGGGCTTAGAATCAAATCTCTGAAGGGCACAACATCAGGAGCAACCCGCAATTTCCACCCCTCTCAATTCTGGGAACAACCATTGAAGCCAAACCTAGACCATCCACAAAGGTCCTTTCCCATTAAGATTAATGAGCTCAACGGTTGACTCTCTCAAAACTCTATAGATAGAAGCCAGAATCAGAGGACCAGTAGCAGTATCTCTATAGGATGCTAAGCCCTCGGCCACTGAAGCCACTCCATGGTAATGCAATTGGAAGCACTGGGGAAGATAAACCTATTCAACCAATACAACCAGAACATTACATGCTCTCCATGGGGGTAGTTAACCTTTCGATCCATGAACGTCCCCATAAAGGCCCTGTAGGCCCGATTGGAACTTATCAGACTAGAAAGAATTTTGAAGTTTTTCTTTCCTTTTCTTTAGAGGGATCTCCTTGGAAATCTCCAAGCCAGTTAGCACTTCATCCGTGAGGATGAAATCCAGAAACCTCGGCAAGGTCAAAGATGAAAATCGACATGGTCCCAACACTAAAATCAAAGGTAGTGGAGGCACTGTTCCAAAAAAGCAGGGCCGAACCCAAAAGTGGTCAAGCATGTAATGGCATGATAAATACCTTGATTAAGCCAAGAATTTTTGTATCGACGTTCCATTCTTTTCACCCAATCTACCCATTGGAGATCGACACTCGACACATATATTTTTGGGAAAAATCTAGGCAACATTTTATTCCAATTTGACCATCCAAGGCCTTCCAAACAGCAGACAGGAATAGGAGTCCGAATAGGATGAAGCTCATATGGAGCTGGTCGACTTTCTGCTCTAGATACTTGGGCCCCAAAATGCAATGACCATTCATAAAGCTAATGAGATCCTTGCAAAGTAGAAAAGGGATGCGACCAGCAGCAAATCATTCGACCCAACCATACAAAACGGTAGCGAATTTCTTCACTCCAATCCCAGAGAGAAAAGAGGACTCGAGGAAGCAGCCTCTGAGGAGGAAGATTCGGGAATGGTAGCAGGATTTTTCTTTGGCGCCATTTGCTCGGATTCACAAAAAATATGAAATTTGAAAAATGGAGGTTTTTTTCTATCTCAGAGAAGCTTTGGGATTTGTTTTTCTAAACATGACTGTGAGAAGATAGAAGGGTGAAGAGAGGGAGACGGTCACACATCCATTGTTTCAAGTTTGGTGGTCTTTTCAAGCTAGTCACCTGTCAAACGATTTTTATTACCTTCACCACATGGCCAAATCATAGGCTTTTTGCAGATCACAACTTCCTACAAAACCATACCTAAAGGCACATCTTGCATTGTGTGAAAAGCCTCCTTTATGAAAACGATCTTGCCCAAATAAAAACTTTAAGGGTTTTAAAACTTACCCACTTTATTCCTTAAAAACAAATATTGGTGCATATTCAATACTCATTAGAAATAAATAGCAGGTGCTTTGCTTCAATTTTGTCTTGGACATATTTAATAGAGCAATTAGTGGTTAGTTAAATATAACTACTAGAGACCAAAATATGGATATTAAATACCATAAACTGTCAGAATTTATACAAAACAAAATGATTGTTCATGGCCCAAAACAGGACCGAATGGGTGGAATTTCAAATTATAAAGTCTATAGATGAGATCTGTTAGATTGTCCATATCCAAATCAAGAGCGCGGCGCATTGAAGCCATCTTCTTACTGGCCAACCTTTCCCGAAAGTTGCGAGAGGTCAAGGCTTGAACAGCAGGTTCACTGGTAGAAATTCGGGCTTGAATTTCTTCTAACTTGGCCTCAAAATTTGCTTTCAAGGAGTGGTCAGCAGCAATATCAGCCCTCAAGCTAGCTTATTATCCTTCCAATTCTTCAAGCTTGTCGAGGATATCTTCAGTAGCCTCATTAAGTTCCAGAAAGTGGCTCTTACTTTCATCGTGGTACTCCAAAACCTCTTCATGATCCGTCATGGAGCGGAGAAACAGGAACTCTCCTACATTCCATTCTGGTAAAGTTAACAGCACGCTCTCTGGGCCGGAACACTCAGGAATACTCGAGCCTGGAAAAATAGAAATTCTCCTCCCAACAACCCCCTATTCTGCAGCTGCATTCGGGCCCGATTGCGACTCATAAGGTGGGAGATCTTCCCGTTCACCCGTTTTAAGTTTGCTCATGTGATGGAAGGGTGAATTTCCCCATTGCCTTGAAAACCATTGTCTGGATTAGTATCCATTCTTCTGGGCTTGTCCAGGATATCTTTAGTAGGACAACTGGTGCCTCAGGCAGAAGTGCCAGGGGCTGATCACGTGGGGCCATAGGTTGTGGGATAGGTGTAGGTTCTGGCTGATTCTGTTGGGCCCGAACTGTTGCAAGAACTTCTGGCCAGACTGGAGCCTCATGCTCTTGGATGGGAAGGGCTCCTCCACTCTGTCCAACTTGGATCCCTCCATTCTCCGGTACTCCAGTTATCTGTGCTATGAGAGGGGTTTTCCTGGTATGGCCATGCCAATCCTGGTGGAGGGCCATAAGGGAGGTCTAGCTACTGAACTACAATATCCGCCTCACGATCCTTCCTGAACTGCCTATTAACTTGCCATCGCATCATGGCTGTCATGTTGTTCAGGCTGTCCTGGCTTCTTTGTGCTGTGGCCTCCTATCGAAACACAGCTTCCTTTATCTGATTTAACCTCCTGGAGCCAGTCCTGGAACGTCTGCTCCCAGTACTACCGTGGGCTGATTGTCTGGCATCACTCTCTTCTGACTCCAATCTTTCTCGGAGAACTACTTGGGTCTCTCTCCATGGCGTAGCGAGGGTTCTGGCCAGAACTTCCAATATTCATATACTTGAGAAAATTTCTGTCGGAGTATGTATAGTGAGAAGTCCCACTGGGCATGCCAAATTGTTCACCCGTTTTAAGTTTGCCCCTGTGATGGAAGGGTAAAGTTTCCCATTGCCTTGAAAACCATTGTCTGGTCAACAAGACAACTTTCTTTGGTGTGCGAGTGTGCCACTGCTAGTAGTAAAAATCCTAGCAGACTTCTTCAAAATTAGATAACTTGCACCCCAAGTTACTGATTTCTAAACAAGCGATTGTGAATTTGGGTGAGGAATATCTCCCAAGTAAGTTCTTTTCCTGCCTTAGACTGGTGAGGACTTCATAATTTTTCACAGTATAATGTTGGTAGTTCTGGCCAGAATAAATAGTAAGAAAATGAACTGTTTTTAGGCGGAACTAACTTTTACAAAACTCTACATTGAAAATCAACTCTAGAAAGACAAAAAGAAGACTGGAATTCAATTTCTACCTGGATAAAAACTTCTGATTCGGGCTGGACTAGATATGCCTATGTTGGATTGGACTGTTCCCAACTTCAACTGCTAAGCTTCAGCTGTAAATTGATACCAAAGTTTGAGTTTGGCAGAGCTTTAATCTATTTCGAGCCCTGGGAAGGCTTTTTGAATAGGCAGAGCTTTAATCTATTTCGAGCCCTGGGCTGGACTTAAGGATTACTTAGCTGAAACTGCATTGTGGTACCTGTTCTTCTTGGTCAGGGCTTTTCATATTTGTGGAAACTCAAACTCTGCTTGTTTTGGCTTTTGCTGAATCAAATTTGGAACGAGAGGAATCTCGTTTTGAATGACTTATTTCTCTAAGCATGAACTTGGCAATTCTGATTTATCACTGGCTTCTTTTGTGGCTCAAATGAGCTTCTGTTTTTTTCAATTGGTTTGAAGGTTCTCAGAGATCAAGTGATCATTTTGAGTTTTTGTGTTTGGTTGATTTTTGGTTGTTTGATTGATTGTTGAATTAAGTGTCTTTTGCTCTGTTCACCCTCTCCTATATTTATAAGAAATGCTTTGGAGTAGGGTTTCTTTCTTTTAATAATGGGCGGCAAAATTCTCAAAAGGTTTTTCATTTTTTAAATGCAAAGAAATAGGGGTTTTATCAGTTCTGGCAAATAAGCCTTCAATGGTCAGTTCTTAAGACAAATCACTTCTCTGTTTTTTGAAAGAGAACCTAACCCCTCTTTAATTCCAACTGCCCGTTGTGAGAGCTCAAACCGTGATGGTTAGTTTGATTTTCCAGTTTGAACAACTCCCTGTTTTCCTGCTTATCTCTTTTTGAGAACATAGCCTGCGTATCCCTTGAAAAGATGGTGCCTCTTTTGGAGTAGAGATGTAACAACCCGGTCCTTAATTAATATTTAATTATTAATTTATTCCAATAAAAGACCATTATACCCTTAGAATATTTTAATGATTTAAAAGTTGACTTTTTGACCAGGAAGGAATTTGGGGATTTCAGTTGTACTGTTGCGTAGAGCGTGACGAAACGAGTCCGTAGACACGTAGTGGACTCAAATCGGAGTTGTAACGAAGGAGTTACGATTAAAAGAAGTTCAGTTGCATAACCGTAAATATTTCGAAGTTGAGTTCTTAAAAAACCTAGATTTCTCCTATGAGAGCAACTCGACCAGCCGACTTTAGGAGAGGATTTCTCTCAGCTCTGAGTACCAATTCGAGGAAGACCGGTGCCAAACGAACCACCTCACTCCCCTCTTTCAGTCTCAGCCCATCACAGCCTCGATCCGTCGTCGTGGTCACCGAAAACTGCCACGAAACAGGACGGTTTGGACAGTTTTTTACGGAATTTCAAGGAGCTCGTTCGGACACCTCCGGCCACCAAATCGGACAAGTGAGATATGGTTTTCTAGCTATTTTCCATGCTCTAGTTGCTGGTTGGGTAGGATTTCAAAGATTTGAAGCGTAGATCGTTCGATTTTTAAGTTAGGTTTCAGCAGACTTTTGGGTCACTGTTTCGGCCACTTCCGGCCAGTTTTTGGGGTAGGTCCAAGAACAAAAGTGGTTCCAAATAGGGTGTTTTACCTAGGATAGGAGTCTTGAGCCGAGATGTTGAGATTTTCTGGTGAAGCATTATTGCTTCGGGCAACCACGCGCTGCCAGCGCGTGGGCACTGTAGCCGTGAGGCATTGTGTCTCAATGTGATCCTCCTATTGTCACGAGCTCGTAGGAATTCGCGGATATCAATTCAGATAACGTTTGAACTCCGAACGGATCTCGCCTAGTGGGTGATTCCCGGGTTTAGCAGGTTTGAACCGTTGGATCGTAATCATGTTCAAGTATGATGATCTAGGTAATTTCAGGATCGTATAGCATTTGAAGGATCGTAAAATGGAGTCTCGGATACTCCAGAAATTTCAGCCCTAGAGTGAGGTTTACAGTAAAACAAACCAGTTGCAGGACAGGAACAGAGGAAAGAACTACGTGTGGCTTGATCCCTCAGAAAGGGTACGTAGGCAGCCTACAGTTATCAGGCGCAGCCACGAGTTAGGGGCTCAGGCTTTATGTTATTGTTTATCAGGGTATTTTGGTCTTTTACGACCCACGGTTACTAGGTGTCAGTTTTAAACAGGATTCGGGCCGGATTTCAAAGTGGAATTTGGGTCGGGTCGTTTCAAGAGACATTATCTCTGAATATATAAAAAGGGACTTGATCTTCTGGTGGCAGAGATTCAGAGATGTCTCTTCCTAGTTACCTGCTTTTATCAACTCCTTATCAACCCAGAGAGAAAAGATTCTCGTGCGTGTGTTTCTTTCTTGGGCTCATCCTTCTTTATTTTGAACATGTCAAACCCATTTTGGATTTCTTCGAAGCCCAAGTTTTTTTTCTCATGATGGGATAGGTTATGGGCTGGGCTTTTTTCCTTTTAATCATGTCAAGCCCAATTTCGAGTTGAACCATGGGCTGATTTCTTTCTTTTCTCCTTTTTCGAAGCCCAAGTTTTTATCTTTTGGATAGATCTTGGACTGGGGCCTTCAATGTTTGGGCTGAGTGTGTATTCTCGGCCCAATCTCAAAGGAATGTTGGTGGCTTGCCAAAAATTGGTATGGGCCTTGTGATTTTGGGCTGGGTGTGCCAAATTGAGTCCAAACAATGCCCCTTAAGTCTGAATTGTTTTTGAACGGTCCAGACTTAAATGACTTGGCCATTAATTTTCGCGCCAGTTTCTTCCTTTAGCCCACATCTGCCACGTCTGTCTACCATGAACTAGACTTCATGGGAAAGTGTTCAGTTACTAGCTAGTCATGATCAGGTGTCGCATCGTCTTCTTCTTTTCGACTTCGAGCCCTTTAAAAGAAATTCAAACTCAAAGTTCTTGTTCATTGGAAAACCTAGTTCTCAGACCTCGTTTTTCTCAGTTTTTTAGAATTCCCACTCTTTTCTTCGACCAGACTTTGCTTTCATTGCCCTTTTCCTTTATCCTTGCTCAAAACTTCTGAACATGCCTTCTCCCAAGACTTGTGCCCAGGGTTCGTCTTCCTCAGTTCCTCCTGATTACATTATTGGGACTGGGGTTGATAAACATGCTATCAAGGTTCGGAGTAAGCTCTACCCATTTGCCCAAAAAAATTTGGACGAAAATGTCCTCCATTTGTTTGAGAACACCCTGGTTCTAGGACCCCACTGTGTTTCCAAAGCACTTCTGCACTGGCCTCTCACTCCTGGGTCATCAAGAATCTGAGCCGCTCGTTTCCGCTTATTCCCCTCAAGTGAAGTGAGGAACAGTCCAACGAAGTGGGCTGACTGGATTGACAGGCTTCTTCCAAGATACGTAGCTCAGTGGAGGAGGGCTGGAATCTACGATGCCATTCTTCTGTTGAAGCAATCCGTCAACAGGGATGAGAATCTTCTGGATGATGCCCTCTGTTTCTGGAATTCTATCAGCAACACGTGTGACTTCCGTGTGGGTCCCATGGCTCCAACTCTACTAGACATGGCTCAGATCCTCGGATTCAGGCCCCATGCAAGACCTAGGAGGAAGAACTAGGAGAAATTGGCCAAACCATTTACCATGTCTCCAGATTCAATCAACCAGAACTGCTCATTTTCCAACTATCTGAGGAAATTCAGTGCTGAGAAGGATAAGGATCAGTAGCATATGCTATTCCTTCTGTATTGGCTGAACAGGTTCGTCTTTCCAAACTGTTCCTCAGCAGTTCTGCTTGAGTAAAGGCATCTGGCGGAGGCTCTGCACAATCATACTGATGTGGGGTTTGGACCAGTTCTGGCCACCCTGGAGAATCCCCTGAACCTATCGGTGCCTGGTGCATTCTGGATGATCCAGATCTGGCTGCAGGTTTACTTCCCAAAATTGAGGTTTCTAGACATAATTCTGCCTGAAAACCAAGTTCTGGCCCTCCCTCTGATTTCGACAAAAGTGCCGAAGCGTTCAATCGAGGATTACCTGATGTTTTTCGGGTATTGTACTAAGAGGTCAGTAGCTCAGTGGCAGGTGGTGATCAGAAGGACCTATCCTTGGTTCCGGCCTGGATACGGGCTGTTTGAGAAGGGGCCAGAAGAGGAAACAGCCAGAATTGACTTTAGGAAGAAGTTCCTGCATGTCACCCTGCCAAGAGATCTGCCCCATGGTGGTGGAAAGCCTCTAAATTATCATTTGGGGGCAGAAGTCTATCATCCCAACTTCTGTGCAAGACAACTTGGTTGCCCTCAGCTCATCCCACTCAAATCTTACAGGAGCTACAATCGGGCTACTTCCTGGAGAGGTGCAGATGATCTGAAAGTGCACAAGGATGCCAGATGTGCAGTAAATAAGATAAACAACAGCGCAAATGCTCTTTATCCAACTTGGGACCCAAATTCCTCCAGTTCTGCCGAGTTTGACGCTTGGTGGAAAGCCAGTTTTCAAGGCCTACCTGCCTCCTGCATTGCACTAAAGGTGCTTTTTGATGGCTAGGACTCCTGGGTTGTTCACGCAGGAGAGAAGACCCACAAATTCATGGTGCAGACCATCAAGGACATCAATGCTCAAGTTATAGAAGGTAGCCTCCCAATTCTGTCCATATTTTACTTATTTTGCCTTTGTGATGATGCCTAATATTTCTTGTTCTATCTGCATCAGACCCTTCCCTTACGAGGAACATAGGTGGACAGTCTGTCCAGGCTGGAGAAGTATTTGGTAAGCCTCCCACCTTTCCGTTTTTAATATTTTCTTGCTGGATTGACTTTTGACTTGTTTCGTTTTCTATGCAGTCACTTCTGTCATTGCTGTTGGAGACTTGGAGCTCCCTTCTGGAGATGAGGATGATGAAACTCTGGTAGAACAACCAGTTGTTGAGGTTACTCCCTTCTGGAAGTGGAAAGAAACTGCTCGTGCTCAGGACAGCGCTGCCCGGCCTGCAGTTTCTGGTAAGATTTTGACATTCCCAACCATATCCTTGAATTTGTTCTGTTTTGCCCTTTTTCTAACCTCTATTCCCTTGTTTCTATGCAGTTGAAAGTCCTCCTCCTCCTCCTCCTAATAGGTCAAAAAGGCTTAGAAAGAGGACTAGAGTCGAATCTGATGAGACCGAGGAGCCTGCAGCTGTTCCAACTGAGACTTCTGGGACTGATGATGAGCTGCGAGAGGCTTTTGAAGCTGTTGAGCAGGAAAAAGAAAAAGAAAAAGAAGGAGAAGAAGTTCCTGTGAAAGAAAAAGAAAAGGAGAAAGAGTTTGAGGAAGTGAGTTTCTATGTTGGCTGTGTGACTATTTCACATCTGTTTACTTATAGGAGGAGATTCCTGCTGAGGTAATAGCAGAAAGCATTGCCTTGGAACAAAACAACAAATCCCAAGGACGGAATTGACTAGCTCGGAGTTGGCCCTCTTTGAAGATGCAGAGGCAGAGCACTCTACTGCTGTTCTTGGATCTGAGGAGCAGGCAGCGCAGTCTGTATTAGAGCCTGTGGAGCAGGCAGAACTATCTGTTGTAGTCCCAGAGGCTGAGGTGGAAGTAATTGCTACCGTTCCTGGACATGTGGTAATTTTCATTTTAATTCTATCCACCTGTTTTCTGCAGTTCTATTCTGTCTTTTCTTTTTTAACTGTTAGTCTTTTCAGGTAAAAGTGCCTAGAACTGCTGGGGTCTTGGCTGTGATGACCAGTCCTTTCAAACCTCCCATTGTGGTTGTGAGTATTTTTGTGCCCTCCTTTTTTTCCTGTCCTGACTTTATCTGAAAATTGACTTGAATTTGTTTTACAGATGCCTATCCATTCTTTCCTTGGTTCGTCTACTACGGCTTCTTTTGCTGATACAGAATTGGCAGAGTTTGAAGCCATGGATCTCGACGCCCAGCTGGACAAATTGGAGAAGCTCAGCTCCACTCCTGGCAAGGCAAAATCCAAGGCAGTGGAGGAGGCCATGGAGAGGCTGAAAATCTGGAAATCCACTGAGGTGGAGCTCGATGAGGATAAGGAAGCTGTTGACCAATTGATGAAGGATCTAGACCTTCTGCACAGACAAAACATGGCTCCCAAACCTGTACTTGAGATGGGCCTTGGTTTGGCCAGAGATGTGCTCAACCTTCACAATCGTTATGAGGATCTCAAGCCTACCTTCAAGACCTCCGGGTTCTGCAAAGCCACTCATGAAGCCAACTTGGCTGATTATGCGAAACAGAAGGCAGAACTTGACCAGATGGTTGCAGGGTATAAGGAAGCCAAGGCCACTGCAGATAGGCTGGAGAAGCAGAGTGCATGGAGGTTCAGAGCAAGCTCAGGGCTGGACTGAGCTCCAAGACAAAGGCCACCTTCCTCGTATAGAGCATGGTTTCAGCTTCCAGGCCAGCATTGGAGATTGCATAGGCTTCAATTCACCAGGGGGTGCTGCTTCAAAAGGAACTTTTGATCAAGAAGACTAGTTTTGCAAGAAACCCTTAGGAAATTAGGGTTTTAAAAATTAAATCTAGACTTGTAATAAACAATTTAGCCATGAAAGTGGTTATATTTAAATAAAATTTATTTATTTTGTTGGAATTTTCTTTTGAAGGGGAACAGAAACAATTTTAAAATGTACTTAAGAAATAACAACAAAAGTAAATTCTAAACTAAACTTTAAACTACAGTTTCATTTTGCGGCCTGTCTATTCCTGGATCTGTTTGCACAGCCTGTGAATCCCACATTGTTGGATAAAATTTCTTCAACCATTTGCCATTGATTGAACATCTCCATCCCGATCATGTAATCTATATGCCCCTATTCCAAGGATTTTTTTAATTATGAAAGGACTTTCCCATGTATGTTCCAAGGGGCAGAACTGCTTTCCAAACTATCTCTCCTTCTTCAAAACTCTTGTTTTTAACTCTTTTATTGTAGGCCCTTGATACAGCTTGCTTTCTTGCTAAGAGTTTGTTGAGGGTATCAATCCTACTTGCATCCAATCCTTCCAGTTCTAGCAGCATGGCTTGAGAGTAGTCTTCTCCAATCAAATTGTGTTGATGAGTAATTCTAAGAGACTGGACTGCTATCTCCATAGGCAGAATTGCATCATGGCCATAAGTCAGAGCATAAGGGGTCATGCCAGTTGCCTCTCTTTTTGAAGTCCTGTATGACCATAGAGTTTCTGATAACTTCTCATGCCACTGCTTTGGATTTTTCTCAACCAGTTTTCTGATAATGTTGATGATCACCTTGTTACTTGATTCTGCCTGTCCATTAGTTTGAGCATAGTAAGGGGTGGATTGGAGTAGCTTAAATTTGAATGCCTCTGCCATATCTAGCATTTCTCCAGATATGAAAGAAGATCCCCTGTCAGTTGTGATTGATTCCGGAATGCCAAACCTTCGTATCATCTGCTCTTCTATGAAAGTGATGATCTCCTGAGATGTAGTGGATTTAACCACCCATTTGGTGAAATAGTCTATAGCTACAATGATAAAACAGTGTTGTTTGCTACTAGCTGGATAAATCTTACCAATAAGATCCATTGCCCATCCTCTGAAAGGCCATGACTTTACCACTAGATTCATGGGAAATGAAGGAGCCTGCTGGATTGGGCCGTGCCTTTGACAAGTCTCACATCCCTTGGAATAGTCAATGCAATCTTTCATCATGGTTGGCCAGAAGTAGCCATACCTTCTAATTAACCAGCATATCTTTCTTCCTCCTTGGTGAGCTCCACAGATTCCTTCATGAGTTTCTCTCATGACCTTCATGTATTATTTCTTTCCAAGGCACCTTAGAAGTACCTCATCTTTGATTTTTCGGACCAAATCTCCATTCCACATAAGGTAGTTCAAAGCCATGATTCTGACTCTTTTTTCAGAAGGTAAGGTTGGATATTGCAAGTAATTTATGATAGGATTTCTCCAAACATCTTCAGTGATTATGGCAGAATTGACATCTATTTCCATTCCTCTGGTCAGAATTGGTGGAAGACTTTTCTTTCCTACCATGATGATCTTTTGCACTCAGTCTTCAGGCATTTGTATACTTGTTGCTACCTGAGCCAGTTCGCTGGCTGCAAAGTTTTCTTCTCTTGGGACTAGATAGACAGCTAAAGAAGGACTTAGACACTTGTATTATGCAACGATCTTTTCCAACACAAGCATAGAATCTCCCAGGATTTCTACAGATTGGATAACTAATTCCACCAACATTTCTAGGCCAATGATTAAAGCCTCATATTCAGCCCTGTTGTTAGTGCACTTGAAATCTAGCTGGAAAGAATAACAGTGTCTGATCCTTAGTGGCTCCTCTAAAACAATCCCTGCCCCAGAAGCTACATCAGTCTTTGATCCATCAAAGTACAGTTTCCATGGTGTAAGGTGAACTGAATAGATGGGATTATTAAGGCAAGTATGAGCTCTAGTCAACAGATTTGCATTTGCTATGTCCAAAGAGTCCATATTTTCAATCAATTCTCCTGGATGATCTGCTAGGAAATCTACCACAACTTGTCCTTTGAGAGCTTTCTGAGGAACATATCTTAAAGCAAATTCTGTCAAAGCAAGGGTCCATTTTCCAATTCTGCCTCTCAACATTGGCCTTGTTAGCATGTATTTGATCAGTTCTGTCATGGCAATGATGTAGATGGTGAATGGCAGCATGTAGTGTCTGAGTTTTATGGGCAGTGAAGTATAAGGCTAAACAAAGCCTTTTGATTGCGGAATATTTCCTTTCTACTTCTGTCAGAGTTTTGCTCAGATAGTAGATTGCTTGTTCCTTCCCTTCCTTGTTATCTTGGACTAACAGACTCCCATTGGACACTTTTGATGTAGACACATAGAGTTTGAGTGGTCTACCTCTCTTTGGTGGTGACAGAACTGGTGGATTTGAGAGGTAATGCTTGATTTCCTCAAAAGCGTGTTGGTGTTGTTCTTCCCACTTGAATGTCTATTCCTGTTTCAACCTTAACAAGGAGGAGAAAGGCTGGATCTTTCCTGCAGAATTGGATTTGAATCTCCTTAAAAAATTAATCTTTCCTAGGAGACTCTGCAGTTCTTTCTTGTTCCGAGGTGGTAGAGCTTCTATGATGGACTTTGCTTTGTTTTTATCAGCAGAACTAATCCAGAAAATAGATCTCGAAACTTAATATTTTAGGCGTATCTGTTTTTAAATTTCTTTTCCCTCTGTATCTCCCTCTAATCATCTGCAGTGGAGCACATGCTTCAATAAAAAGAGGTAATTGGGTTTAAGAAAATCCAATCTATCAAGGCTCCAAACTCACTGGTTTTTAATTGAGGGCTAGGAGTAAGAATCAGAGTCTCCAAGGTACATACACTCTCTATGTTTCAGATAACAATCATCGATGTTCACTACTACAAAAAGGGAAAAAGACGACCAGAAAACAACGACGGTATAACAAAATATTGTCTTTGTGTTTAGAAAGACGGTGGTAACAGAAAACCGTCATGGATAAGTAACTTAAACACCTAAAAATTCGAGATCCATTTAGAAAGACGGCAGTAACAGAAAACCGTCATCTTATTAAATAGGTTTTCTTTAGACTTAAACTCTGACCCCAAAAACAACAACAACATGTATGAAGCCACCGACGTAGAAAGTAAAGACTACGGTTTACCAAAACAACCTCCGTGTTAACTCCTAGATAAACACAACCAACTATTCTTAATCAGTGTCGTATAATTTTAATGGACTTCATGTCGGTATATTACAAAACAACACCGCCATATACCATGACGGTAAAGATAAATTTATCAACGTAATATGTGAGAATGTCCTACGACGGTATCTATAAAACGATTGTCGTATTGAGTAGTAAAGGACCATGACACCAGAAGAGTAGATAACAACGTCTAAATTGAATAATATCCACATTGTATTTTTACTATATGAAGACGTATTAAATCAGTAAATGACAACGGTACGTATAAGTTAGTAATAACCACGTCGGTTTGTTGAATGAGCGTTGTATAATATTATTTTATCAAGTCGTTAAGTAAAAAGTACCATAGTATTTATTTAATTTATATGACTGCCCTTATCTGTAAATCGTCATATCAATTTTTGTTGCTTTTTAAGATATTTTCCTTGGATTTTGGTAGTCTATGACAATGGATCAACAAAATGGCAAGAATTGAGAAAAACCACAATGGTTTATATAGAAAACCGTTGTCACAGAGAAATTAAAATGACATCCCAAGAGATATAATCTTACCAGCTATGTTCCTCATCATAATCAAACCACCAATGTGAGAAAGACAATATTTTAGATGTTGATGACGTATGTGTCTTTGTGTCTTTGAGATACAAAAAGGCACATGCGCATCAAAATCCAAACTATTTGCCTCTAAACCAAGCCCGGCCTGAACTGACGAAGGCAAGCTTTGAGAAAGACAATTTTTTGAGAAAAAATTTGAGAAAAACAATTTTTTGAAAGTTAATGATGTGTATGTGTTGGTATCTTTGAGATACAAAAACACATACATCGTTAACATCCAAAATATTGCCTCTAGAGCGGTGAGAGAGAGTCAAGGCTTGAAGTGAGGACGGCAGGCAAGGGTCTGAACTGAAAATTTAGCCGTCAAGGGTCAGAAGAATGCGACTTTATTTCAAGTTGGAACCCTAAGTGAAAATTGAAAGTGCAAGAACGCGTGAAAAGTCCCAATTCATACAAATAATCATTATTAACCATAGCGGTCCTTTTATAAATTGCGTCGTCTAATATCAAAAATCCACGACCCTTATTTTTTATTAAGCACAGTATTAAACTAATATACCACGGCATCAAAAGGAAAATTTGACGAGTAAAATCGTAATCAACCACGTCGGTTTCTACTATCCAAGCATTGTTTTAAAGACATACTAGGGCGGTTATTTAGAATATAGGGATGGGTTGTTTCTACTAACCACGTCGGTTTCTTTAGTTTTAGCATCATTAACATTATGTTCTCACGTCATTAAGTGAACTATACCGCCGTTTATTTTTTTTTATACGATTGTCCTTTCTGACTACCGTCGTCTTAAACTTGTCTTGCTTTTTCAGATTTCATTTCTGGATTTTAGTAGCCTACGACGGTAGATCAACAAAATGACAAGTACAGAGCAAAACCACAACAGTTTGTGTAGAAAATCGTCGTATGTGTTATAATTTTAGGTTTTTCTACTAAATTAAATCTTGAGAGAAATGCAAACCCAAGAGATATGAAATGCTACCAATGGGAGCTATGTTCCTCATCACAATTGAACCACCAACATGAGAAAGACAATGTTTTGGAAGTAGATGATGTGTGTGTCATCAATATTTTGGACCTTTAGAGAGGTGAGAGAGACACACACACACACATGAACTTCCAAATTATTTCCTCCCACACATATATGTCTTCTTCTAAATCTCCAGTTAGGAAAGTTGTTTTGACATCATCTAGTGCAAATGAAAGTCAAAATGTGCTACAAGGTCCATGATAACCCTTAACGAATCTTTGATTGAGACTAGTGAGAAAGTCTCATTAAAATCTATTCCTTCTTTTGTGTAAATTCCTTGGCAACCAATCTTGCCTTGTTGATCAATGCATAATTCTGTATCATTTTGTAGTATTCTACCCTATTGTTTGGTTATGTTTTCAAGTAAAACTTGTGCTTTTAATCTATTTTGTGTTTGTCATTCAGTTCATTGAGCCTTAGGTAAAAATGGTGGCTTTGGATAGGAAAAGATGCTAAATGGTGCAAAAACGTGCAGACTGAGTTAGCAATTCATTTCGGCCTCAACTTCTTTTTCTGAACTTGGATTGGCCCAAATAACATGTGGTTGGAAAGATGAAAGTCTAAACTTTAAGAAGGACTACTCAAACGCATCAATTGATTAAGGCAAGCACATTTTGTGAGCCCATGAAGTTACACGTTCATTTTCTGGTGGGATTTGTTGGTGAAGTGCAGCAGCCAAGAAACTGATTTTCAACTCACCCAAACTCATCTCAGATGACTTCCTTAGATGTCATACATCCTTCTAGACGTGGGAAAGCTCTTGGAGAAGCATTAGACATGGAGAAGCACTTGGAGAAGCCTTGAACACCACAAGAACTTCAAAAAAGGGTTTTTTTCTACTCTTATTGCATTCATTATATTTTCTCATTTCTGTCTTAGTTTCTTTCCCATTATGAGAAGCTAAATCAATAGCTAGGGTTTCAATGTAACCTGACAAGACAATTTCAAATTTTCAAGTTAATGTTACCCTTTGTTGATTTCTTCTAATTTTTCGATCTCATTCACTTGTTCTTGGTTTAATCTTTATGCATGTTTAAATAGCTGGTCACTATTAACACATGCATGTTGGCTATCTAGTTCAAGTTTACATAAACACCATATGACTCTTGAACTGATTAGTGAATTAGTGGGTAATGCATTTAGGACAAACACCATGTTTAAATGTTTACTTGGTTCCTTAGTGTTCTTCTTAAACTTAATGGATTCAAATTCATAGTTTAGACTAAACACCATAGCTAAGTTGTGTATTTTGAGTACTTGGTGAAGTTGAACTCTAGTGCTTGTCTCCTTTGTCTCTAAATTTTCTAAACATCTACTTGCTAGTCATTTGCTATTTGCATTCCCTTTTAGTAGTTTTCATTCGAAACAAACTCAACTCAACCTCATTTAAATTCTGTTTAGTCTTAGGTTACTTGTGAGTCTAAGTACTAGTAATAAGTGTCTTTCATCCAAGTCTTTGTGGAACGACGTCGTTCTTGCATTCCTATACTATAATTGGTTCGTACACTTGCGAGAAATAAATAGAGTAAAATCTGTCCAACACTTGTACCTGTCTACTTGCCCTTCTGAGTCCAATTTCGTTTTATATACCCACTTGTAGCCAATTGGTTTGCAACCTTGGAGTAAAGTCACAAGCGTCCAAACTCCATTTTTCTCCATTGATTTTAGTCCTGATTTCATTGCTACAAACCAATTTTCTTCCTGTAAATACATGAAATAGGCATCTCCTAAGGCAGGTTTTCTTTGCCTTTGTGATCTTCTCAGTTCCAAGTTTGGTTTTGGATCTTTTACTTCTTGTGCTTGAGCCACATTTTGGTTTTCTGTTGGTAGTGCTTGATTATCATTCAATACCATTAGTTATGTAATTTCAAGTTCATTTGCATTGGTCTCCTCAATGTCTTCTAACTGAGCATTGCTCGAATCAAATTAAGATAATCTAACAATATCTTCATTAGAATTCTATGACATGTCATGGTTCTGTTTGTGCCTAATAAATCACGGTCATAAACTGATTGAAGGGACTTCCTCTCGGTCCTGGGACCTACCGTTTCGTTAGGAATTTCGCCTTCCTGAAAACAAAAGAAAAGATGCAAATGTAGAATCCTCTCGGCCTCGCAACCACAGTATTGTAGGCCGAAGCCGAAGGCCGTAAAAGACACGGCCAAAGACACTGTGGTTAAATCGCCACGTGGCCTTAGGGTCCCACGCCCCATTTAATGAAGTAATGCCTCTGACTATCGCAGCAAACCCACTAGTCGCAGGAAGCATTTAATGCACAAGGGAAGAAGGGAAGTGACTGAAGTCAGGATTTGGTGATGGAAATCAGAGTGGTTAGGCGCAAACATTCTCACAAGTAATCTTATAACTTGAGGTCAGATCACCAACCACCAGACCAGGGCATTAAATGCGTTCCCATGGCCAAGGGGGCAGAACCCACAATAAGGGCGGTGGCTGAGATTTATGGGGGTCACACCACCATGCTTCTCAATCCCAAACCACCATGCTTCACTATCCCAAATGCCGATTTGACTACCCACTTGCCCCGATCAAGCTCCACCACGCAGGTCTTTTCAGCCTCGATTGTCCCTCCAGGACTCCTCCTATAAATACTAAGCTCAGGCCTACATTCAAAGGGTTCAAACACCAAACCAAAAGCCTCCCACGGAGCAAATTATATTTTCCTGTAATGCACTTTCAATACCTTTATTTGCTTTCCTAGGAGTAGTGGTAGATTGTAAGGAAAATCCATTCATCAATATATCATACGACCCTTGATTTTCAAGGAGCCAGAGCACCATCTCTGTTATCATCTCATTCACCCCATATATCATACGATCGTCGCTCTCTGAGCAACGCACCGGAGCACCACCTAAAACCCGCCACCAACACCACCACTAAAAGGCCTTGTAGCTCAGGCCGTGAACCTGACGGCCAAGATCAGTTCCTCTCTCGGGCACAATCGTTTGATTAGGAGTCGAACGCAAAACAGGCGCATCATTTAACCATCTTCTACCCAAACCTCATCACCATCTCGACGAACGGTAGACCGTGCTGGCACGCCCGCGCACAACCGCACCGCATCTAAAAGAAGGACGTCACGTGTTGACGCACATCCCCTCGGCCCGGAGCACCAGGCCATGAGATTTGCGCAGCCAACAGGTTCAAGGTTGTTTCGTCAAAACTAAACTTTCTTCGTCATGTCTTTCTTGGTCAGTTTCTATAAATACTACTCTTGAGGCCTCTATAATTTGGTAGTGTGTTTGGGGCAATAAAATCTATATCGCTTTGTTCTCTCAGGGTAGCCAACAAAATAACCATTTATGCTCTTCGGATCCAACTTTTTTTATGCCGGATTGTAAGGTTTTGCTTCTGCTTTACAACCCCATACTCGCAGATGTTTAATGCTAGGCTTCCTTCCATTCCATACTTCATAGGGAATTCTATTTATGGTTTTGGTTGGAATTCGATTTAAAATATAGTTGGCTGTTTTTAAAAGCTTCTCCCTAAAGAAAAATTGGTAGGTTTGTACAGCTCATCATACTTCTTATCATGTCTTTCAAGGTCATGTTTCTCCTTTCTGAAATGCCATTTTGTTGAGTTATGTCTGGGTTGGTATACTAAGCTATGAATTCCTTTTTCTTGACGAAATTTAGCAAAGGGTCCAGGATTTCTTCCAGTCTCATCAAACCTTCCATAGTATTCTCCTCCTCTGTTTGATCTAACCACCTTTCCAGTCTCATCAAACCTTCCATAGTATTCTCCTCCTCTGTTTGATCTAACCACCTTTATTTTCACGTTTAATTGGTTTTCTACTTAAGCCTTTTATATTTTGAATTTGTCTAATGCCCTGGATTTCTCTTTAATAAGATAGATATGTCCATATCTTGAAAAATCATCTATAAAGGTTATAAAGTAGTTAAACCCCTCATGAGTTGGATTTGGAAAAGGTCCACATATGTCTATGTGAATGAGTTCCAGTAGGCCTTTGCTTCCTAATGCCCCTTTCTTTCTTAAGTTAGTTAATTTCCCTTTGATACATGGAATGCAAACTTCATCTGTGTTTTCGTGGATCAATGGTGGTAAGACTGATTCTTTGCACAGTTGTGTTATTCTTTCTTTTGAAACATGTCCAAGTCCCCTATGCCAGAATTTGAAAGAAATCTCATTGGTTTTGGTTTGCACAGTATTTATTTCCATTTCAGTTCTTAGTTTAATCGAAACATTCCATCAATGAGACTTGTTTTACCAACTAAATCTTTATTTATGAAAATAGAACAACCAGCTCCATCCAAATTCAAACTGAACTTTGATTTTACAAGTCTAGTAATTGAAATCAAACTCTTCTTCATAAAAGGAACATAAACTACTTCATTTAATTCTAAAACAGAACCAAATTCTAGCTTGATTCTAACTGTCCCTGTGTAACTAACTTGGACTTCTTCTCCATTTCCCATGAACACCTTCACTTCATCCTTGCTTGCCAGCTTCTTGTTTGTAAACTCCTGCAAAGAATTAGCCACATAAATAGAAGCACCATTGTCTAACCACCATGAATCACATGAGAAATTAACCAAATTAGATTCGAAAAAGACCAAAATCAGATTGCTGTTACCTTCTCCCTTATTCTTTTCCAACCACCTTTTATATTTCCTGCAGTCTCTCCTCATATGCCTTGCTTTCTTGCAAAAGAAACAATTCATTCTAGTTGCAGGTTTCAAAGCCTTTTCTACAATGCTCTCTTTCTCTTTCCCAGTTGCAGTCTTATACTTATTTTCCTTATTTTGTTTCGTCTGAATCATGTTGACCATCTTGGCTCCCCTTTCTCTTATGATGTAATGAGATCATTCAAAGTCCAGTTCTCTTTCTGAGCAATGTAGGTTTCCTTGAGAGATTTAAATTCCTTAGGTAATGAATTCAGTGCAAAATGGACCATCATATCCTCATCTACTATCATATCCAGTTCCTACAGTTTAGTCCCTATGTCGATCAAGTTGATGATATGAGCTCTTACACAACCTTGTCCATCATATTTCATATCAATCAATTGCAGAAGGGTGCTCTTAGCAGCTTTCTCGGATTCCTTAAACCTCTGTACAATTGCCTCATAGTATTGTTTTGCATTCTCAGATTTTGGAATGCTTCCTTTCACTGATGAAGCAATAGCCCTTTACATGATCAGCATAGCCATCTTGTTTGCTTTTTCCCATTTGGCAAAGTTCATCTTGGTTTCTACAGAAGCGTCTACAGCTAGCACTTGAGGAGGTTTCTCTTTAAACAAAAAATTGTAATCCAAAAAACCTAGATATATTTCCAAATCCTACTTCACTTGCTATAGTTTGATCCAGTCAAGGTTTCGATGGAGTTGTGATTCACCGTAGAATTTGCAATACAAATTAAATAAAACTATCCCTAAATCTTGATTTAAACGTGTCAACTTATACCTATGGCTTTAAGTTAGCATGTTCCAAAACCCTAAACAGTATACTACACAAGCTTCCTATGCAAGTAAACTCACATTGTGGATGTAGATACACTTGCTAGGCAGTGCAGTCGACTGTCCAGATTATTCCATCAATGTTGTGATCAATATGCATAATTTCCATATGTGGATGGAGAATCATATAGAAGGCTATAAGCAGTAATGAAAATTTCTGACCAAACTGTCAAATTTAAGAACTCTTACACAGCTTGAGCAGCTATGGCTCACTCATTCTGCATATCAGTTTTTAAATTATTGATCAAAACTTCATGAGCCGTAATCACCTTATGCTCTTAAATATCAGGATATGCATACAAACAAAAAAACTGCATATTTTTTTATAGCTTACAATCAAAACAGTTAGATTAAAGAACAAAAGCCTAGAGCTTTGATACCACATGTAAGTCTGTACTAAGCTTTTATACAATAATACTAACCTTGTTCAGCCATGGTAATGGTAGAGAGTCTTGGTTTATAGAGAGTCTTCTTCACCTATGCAACACTTTATTTTCTCTTGCCTCTTAGATTGGGTGAGTTATGAATTGAGAGTCCGTTTGCTGCAAGGGAAAGGACCACTATTTATAGATGCATCACTTTGAAAGCCTTGCCTATCAAGAAGCATTCGAGTGTTCTTTTTGCATTAGAATAGGTTTGTTTCAATCCATGTTATATTAGGAATCCTTTTAATACTTGTGTTTTACTTTAATAAGCTCTACACAAGTATTTATCTCATACGGTTGAGTTCTATTCCTTGATCAACCAAAATACTCGAGTCCTCTTAGGATTAGAAGATCATCCTTCATGGACTAAGACATTAAATCGTCCTATATGTGAGTCATCCAAGGTAGTTTCACTCTTCAAGAAGTACTAGAATGACCTTAAAAAAGGAGTCTTGATTGCCTTTGAGTTATTTGGTTATAAATTCTAGTACACCAAGGGGGATAACTTGGTTGATAAATGAGCTGCTAGACATACTCTCTCATCTCTGTAGGCGGTACACATGTAACATCAATTAACTAAATCTCACCTCTATTTCATAGGGCTGAATACCCCTACGTATTTTCTATCCTTGATTATGTGTTCTGTAAAATATTATGAAGATAGATATCACTACTACAAAAAGTGAAAAGGATGACAAAAAAAAACGACGGTTTAACGGAAAACCATCATTGTGTTTGAAAAGACAATGGTTTTATAAAACCGCCGTGTAATATTAACTTAAACCTAAAAAATAGAGATTCCAATGGATGTTTTTAAACAACGACACACCTAATTTAAAAAGCGACGTCTTATTGAAAAGGGTTTCCTCATAGTAAAATCTGAGCCCATAAACTACGGCAAAAAGTATGAATCAACCGTCGTAGAAAGTAAAGACGACGATTTAAATAACCAACCGCCATTTTTAAACCGTAAAAACCACGACCAAGTTTTTGTATCTGGCATCGCAGAATTTCAAAATATTCACGGCGGTCTATTACAAAGTAGCGTTGTCTTAAATAAATTTACAACGACGGTAAAGATAAATTTATCGACTTATTTCTTGTACAATACTACGACGGTATCTTTAACTCCAACCACATTGGTTTGTTCAATTAAAGCCGTATAATAAAATTTACCATGACATAAAGTTAAAATTACCGTCGTATTTATTTACTTTATACGTCCACCCTTATATCTAAACGGTCGTCTTAATTACATTATTTTCTACTATTTAGTTCTTGGATTTTGGTATCCTACGACGTTAGACCAACTTAACGACAAGAATTGAGAATAACCACGGCGGTTTATATAGAAAACGGCTGACAGAATAGATTTTCTGAGATCCAAGAGATACGAGTGAAGTTAAATTACCATCGTATTTGTGCACTTTATTCGTCCGACCTTATATCTAAACCATCGTCTTAGTTTTAATTTTTTTTTTAATTTTTATTACTTGGATTTTGTTATCCTATGTCTGTAGATCAACTTAATGACAAGAATTGAGAATAACCACAACGGTTTATATAGAAAACAGCCTAAGAATCAGATCTGAGATCCCAAGAGTTACGAAATCTTACCAGATGGAACTCTGTTCCTCATCATAATCAGACCACCAAAAGACAATATTTTAGAGGTTGATGACATGTGTGTCTTTGTGTCTTTGAGATACATAAAGGCACACAGACATCAACATCCAAAAATTTGCCTCTAAAATTTGACGACGGCAGCCACAGATTTGCATTTAGAGAGACAATATTTTAGAGATTAATGATGTATGTATATTTGTGTCTCAATTGAGACACAAATACACACACATCAACATCCAAAAATTTGCCTATAAAATTTGACGATGGCAGCCACAGATTTGCATTCAAATAGACAATTTTTTGAACGTTGGTGATGTGTGTATGTTTGTGAATCAGATACACAAACATACGCACTCACCAACATCCAAATAATTGCCTTCTAAGAGGTGAGACAGAAAGCAAGATGAAGTTGGAACCCTAATTGAAAACTGAAACTGGAAGAAATCGTGGAAAAAATCTCAATTTATAAATTAAAAAAAATCATATCCATGTCGGTTATATTTAATCTAACGCCGTCTAAAAAATAATCAACGTCGGTTCTTTAAACATAGATGACATATTAAACATAAAAACAACGTCGGTCCTAAACTAAAGGCAACGAGGTTTTAAAAAACCACGTCGGTTTCATATAAAAAAACGTGGAAACTTATAAAATCACTTATTCAAAAGTAAACTTTTGACGTGTAGTGCCCAACTAACCACGTCGTTTTCGGAATACAAAAAGTCAAAAGGATTTTTAATAACCACGTCGATGTATATTATTTTAATGTCGTGGTAACTACATACTAGGGCGGGTTTTCTGACCACCGACGTTGTATTTATCTTTGGGACACTATATAAACTTTTTGCTCGCCTGACCTAAACTTTTACGTTCTCTCTAAAATTTTCAGTTTTCTCTCAATTTCCCACTCATTTCCCAAAAGCTGCGTTTGTGATTCTCAGTTTCCCTCTCAACTTCTACGTTCTTCCTCATCTTCGTCTCCAAAATTTGATTCCGAAGAAAACTTTCTTTGCAAGCCAAAGGTTTGAAAACTTTCTAACCCCCTTTTTTTCTTCTTCACTTTCACTATCATTTGAAGTTTTTTTATTTAAAGAACTTCACTGATGTTTGAAAAAAGAGTCAGGTTTGAAAATTCCAACTCTTTCACTGTTTGCGCTCATAGGTCTTGTGAGGAAGACGGGTTTGACTCAAATTTGTCGCTTTGTTGACACAACACGACGGTTGTTCATAATAACCGATGTGGTGTGTTAATAAATACGACGATTGAAAGAGAAAACCGTCGTCTTATTTGAAACGAACGTGGGAAAGAGAAAAATGGGCGGTTATTTTATTTATGAATTTGTAATAAGACGACGATTGTATTTAATTACCACGTCGTGTTGGCTATAGATTAGCACGACGGGTATGTTTTGTTTCTGTCGTCTTTACTTTCATTTTACGTTTGTATTTCACCTAACCGTCGTTGTTCTTCTTGTAGATTTTATTTCTCCGTAAACATGGTTTCGAAATCTCAAAGTAAGGAGGCTCAAGCGTCAAATGGTCAAGGCAAGGACATGCCAGTTTCAAAGGCACAATTTGTCCCAAGCAATCCCTCAAAGAAGATGAGATTTACTTCATCTTCCGAGAAAGACCCAAGCTTTGCGACATTTGATGAAGTGATGAAATTGAGTTGCGGTATCAACACAATGAGCCATGTTGTGAAGAGGAAAATCCAGAAAATTAAGCCTGTGGTTGAGTACAATAAAAGTGGTAGACCACATGGCAAAGCTGCTATTGAGATGCAGAGTTACATTGGTGTTTTGGCATGCACCAGAGTCCTTCTTGTGGACAAGAAATGGACTCAATTGCCTAAGGACCTGAAAGAGCAAATTTGGGAAGCTATTCAAATGGCTTATGTTGTTGGGGAAGGGGCCAAGAAGATGGTGATGTCGTCTGCCGCAAAAAAATGGAAGGATTTTAAGTCTACCTTAACTAGGCAGTTTATCCTTCCATTCGCAAATGAGAATGAGAAGTTAAAAGAGCCCCCTCAGCTTTAGAACTTCATAGATAAATCTGAATGGGATGCCTTTGTAGCTTCAAGGTTATCCCCAGATTTTGAGGCTGTGCATTTTGAGCAGTTACAGAGAAGGGAGAAATGCGAGTACAACCATATGTTGTCTCGAAAAGGGTACGTTGGTTTGGAGGATCAATTGGAAGAAACCATGCCCGGTGAAGAAATCGATTGATCTCTACTATGGAAGAAGGCAAGAGAAGATAAACAGGGAACATCCATGATCCAAAGATTGCAGAGAAGGCAAAATTAATCGTAAGTTTCACTGACTCTGTTCTAAACTTGTAAAACAGAGGTTTTATTTTTCATTCAGACGTCAGTCTTTTTATCAACCATTGTTAGACATGAAACCCCACGACGGTTTTTAATCACCGCCTTTTAAAATATATATATAACGTCAGTATTTTTATAAACCTGCCGTCTTAATTTAATTGGTTTGTACACTATTTCTGGATTATTGAATAATTTGGTTAAGTGTTTTTATCTATGATGTCAAATAAACGACGGTTATTTCATGGACCGACGTTTTAATATACACAAAACAACGGTAGTTTTGTTACGACGTATTAAATTATTTTCTGCGTCTATTTTTAAAATAAACCATGTTATAACCTATTTATCACATCGGATCAATTTTAGTCTATGTTCACTCACTGACATTCTCTCCCTCACTTTTAGGATGATTTGAAAAAATAAGTCTCCGAGGGCTCTCTGATTGTCTCTAGGAGCAACGATGTTTTGACCTTGGCTTTGGGAACCCCTGAGCATGGTGGGAGGGTCAGAGGTGTTGGAGCTGGGGTTTCCCCAACTCAATTCTTCAATTTGCCGAGACAGCAGAGAGTAAAATTTGCTGATAAACTGAAGGAAAGTCTTATGGCAGCAGTGAGAGAGGAAACCAAAAATATTGAGGCCAGGGTCAAGGAAAGTGTTATGGAGGCAGTCAGAGCAGAGAGGGAAATTATGTTGAAACAATTCAGCCAACTAATTCCCAACTTTGATCCCAACATGCTCAGTAAAATTCCAACTACACCAATTACTCCAATTCTTCAAATTCCTGAAGAGCAAAGCCCAAAAAATCCAATGTCTGACAAAGCAAGCTACTCTAATGTGAGAGCCCCTGAATTGGATGAAGACAATCCTATGAATGATGCTGATGCTGGTGCTGATCCTGATGCTGCTGAAAACCGTCAAGATCAAACGGTAAAATCTCTGACATTTGCTTTTTCTGAAATTTAAATTTTAAATAGACATCGGTGTTTAATTTAAAAACCGTCGTCTAGTTTAACCTTGACCACATTTGTATTTCGTAGCGACGTTATAACGTCTACACAACGACTATTATGTATTTACCGTCTTCTATAACCTTTACCCCGTCAGTATGTTCTAGAAACCGTCGTTGATATTATATACCACGTAGGTTTTGTTGATTTGTTGGAGTCGTTTATTTTACTTCATGAACACACTAACTTTTATTTCTTTATTTATTTCTTGTTACAGGATCTCTCAAAGCTTGACATGCCAGCTCCTCTGTTAGCCCCATGCCAATATGTCGAGACCAAGTTGAAGCCTGCTAACAAGACAATTACTGTTCACATGCCTGAGGAAATGTTTGGCACTGATCATGATTCCTGGCTCTTGAGTGAAGACATTTTACAGTTTGCTTCCATGGTTGACATTGGAGCCACAGTGATTGCAGTATACATGAGGTAATTCTAGAAATCCAATTTTGTTTTTTTTTACATTTTCTTTCTTTTAAATTAAAATCTCATTTAATTGAATTTCATAAATTTAATTAGGTACCTATTTGACTATTTAAAAATGGCAAATATTGTAAACCTTGTTGGCCTCGTGGACCCTGGACAAGTCAGCTCTCAATTTGGAACGTTATCCCACTGCTCAAAACATCTCTCAAAAGCCTGAAAAAGGCAGATGGGGATCAATTTTACTTGGTGCCTTATAATCCAGGGTTAGTCCCCTTCTATACTTTGGTTCCTTGTAATATATTTTTTTTGTAGTATATTTAATATATATGGATAATTTTGTGTAGGGGTCATTGGGTGTTAATAATTGTGAGACCAGCTAAGGAGACTGTCTATTACATGAATTCATTGCCAAACCGCTCTATTGATGAGGACATGAGAAATATAGTGAATACGTAAGTTTATTAAACCCTAAACCTTAAAATTAACTTTGATTATACGTCGTTTTTCTTCGTCACCGACGTTAGAATGAAACACAACAATGGTTCTTATGTTTCCGACGTTTTAAATAAACTACAACGTCATTTGTTTTAACTAACCGTCATCTTCACTTATTTACCACGACGGTTAATAATTTTCATGCTGATTTTTAGTTTTGTCATTAACACTTTTTGTTTTCTTGAAACAGTTCAATCAAAATGTATAACTCTCACATAGGGAAATAATCATCATGTAAATCACCCATATGGAAAAATCTACAAGGCACTCCTAGACAACCAACAAATGTAGAGTGTGGCTATTACGTGATGCATTTCATGAGAGATATAATTCATGATCTAGGCCTAGCCTTTGAGAAGAAGGTAAAATTTAATATATAATTTCTTTATTTTAATTCCACGACGTTTGCTTTCAAAACCGTCGTTTTATTACTTGTAACATGTCAGTTTTTGTTCTGTATTTGTAGTTTGACAAGAAAAATCAACTAGTTGTGTATACTCAAGAACATATTGACGAAGTCAGCTGGAATGGGCAGAATTCGTGAACAAGCAATTAAAAAACAATAATTGATAATGTACATTTATTTAAAAAAATTTAGGTTTATTTTAATTTTTTGACAATGTATATAAACATATTTTTAGTAATTATTTGAACATTCATCAAAAAAGTCAAATGAAATATAATGTTGTTTCTATTTGTTTTTTATTTATTTATAAAATTTAAATGTGGTAAAATGAAAATAAATCATAAAAATGTAAATTAATTCCCAAAATCCAACGACATGTTCATCTTTATACGTCTCTTATATATAAACCACCGCCGTCTTGTTATAGTGGGAAACAAAACATCAACGGCATTTCTCAAAAACGACATTTGAGGCTTGTATACACGTCGGTTACTTAAAAAAACTGAAATCTACGAAAAATTTTGTAGAGACATACAATGTCCGTTACAGGTTAAATGGTGACGTTGTATCCATAAACAACGTCGTAATAAGAATAGTAATCAAAGTTGGAAATTACTAAACACGACGGTTATTACATTGCGACGTTTAATGTTAAATAGGACGTCGGTATGCGTTACTTTACATCGTTGTAAATTGATGCAACGTCGGTTGTGGACATTTGTATTCAATTTTTTTTTATGACTTTTATATTTTGTTCCTAATATTCATAATAATTTCAATACAAATTCCATAAAATAAACTAACAACTACTATGCACTCATTGGAAGATTTTATCTCCCCTAAATCTTTAAAAAATTTAGTGTTAAAATTATTTTTATTTGTATTTAATTACTAATATTCAAAAAATATTCAAAAAATATCCGGAAAATAAACCGACAAATTATATGCACTCATTGAGACAATATCTACCCCCTACATGCCTTAAAATTTTTATTTTAGATTTCAAAATTATAAGTGATAACAAAAGTCAAAATGATTTAGAGACAAAGCACAATAGTCATACTTTCCATAACATAACCCTAAGGTTTATGTGATCCATTGGTGGTCATAAAATTTAAAATTCTTTAACATAGATTTTAGCTTAATAATATAGAAGGTATTGTTGTAAGGAGTCCATAGCAATTTTCAGTTCATTTTTCTCATACTTGTGTATTTTTGTATCATTATTGTAAAATTTAGGGTTTGGGGTTTAGGGTTTAGGGTTTAGGGTTTAAGTTTTATTGAAACAACGCTGGTTTGCTCTCGCTCTTTTTGGTCAATACGCGCGATTGAATCCCAGGAAACGCACACCAAAGCTAATTTTTTAATATTTTAGATGTTGGTTTTTGTATGGGCGACATCAAAACACAATAAAACGTCGTAAATGTAATAGAACCGTCGTTGTAAATCTACAATTAAACGACTACTGGGTTGTATTTATTGTCGTCTTCCTGTGAGGCATGCCCTTGATGTTATGCACATCGAGAAAAATGTTTGCGATAGTATCATTGGTACGTTGTTGGAGATCCTTGGAAAAAAATAAAGATGGGATTACTGCTCGTTTGGATTTATTGAACATGTGGGTCAAGAGTGATTTGCAACCTGAGTATGGAGAAAGACGTACTCGCTTGCCTCCAAGGCCTAGGAATTTGTCAAGAGCAGAGAAGAGAGCGGTTTGCAATTCTTTTTATGGTATGAAGGTCCTTGAAGGTTATTATTCAAATATAAAAAATCTTGTATCTCTAAAAGATTCAAGACTTCTTGGACTTAAATCTCATGATTGTCATACCTTGATGCAACAATTGCTCCCTGTGGCAATTCGTTCTGTTTTGGAGAAGTCTGCAAGGTATGCAATAACTTGATTGTGCTTCTTCTTCAATACTATATGTGCAAAGACTGTTGATGTTTCCAAGCTAGATAAGTTGGAAGAAGATGTAGTAGTTACTTTGTGTTTGCTTGAGAAGTACTTTCCCCCTTCATTCTTTGATATCATGGTTCATCTAGTAGTACATCTTGTCAGAGAAGTTCGTCTATGTGGCCCAGTATATTTTAGATGGATGTATCCATTTGAAAGGTATATGAAAGTGCTAAAAGGGTATGTTCAAAACCGTACTCGACCGAAAGGTTGCATTGTTGAGCGGTATATAGCTAAAGAAGCTGTAGAGTTTTGCACCGAGCATTTATCTTATGTTAATACAGTTGGAGTGCCTTCAAGCCAAAAGATGGGAGTTTCGAAGCCATTATCAAGTTGCACAGTAAGCTTAGTTGATCGGGACTTGTTAAACCAGGCACATTTATATGTCTTGGAGAATACGGAGGAAGTCCTACCTTATATCGAGTACGTTTGACTTTTATTTTTCATATGGAGCCATTTTAAATATTATTATTCCTTATGTTTATCTTATATACAAGGAATCATAATGCTTGATTTTTTCGTGTCAATGTAGGGAACATATGATCCACATCAAGACCACTTATCCAAAATTTAGAAAGAGAACAAAGTGGCTGCAAGATAAGCACAATAGCACTTTCATTCAATGGCTCCACTTTAAGGTATATATATGTTATTGAATGACATGCATATTCAACTTTTAATTTTCTTCCATTCTATATGTTAGATTGAATTAAGGTATATATGATTAATTTTGCAGGTTCAAAGTGAACTTAATGGGGAGGAGCATAATGGTGTATCAGAAAATTTGAGGTGGCTAGTAGCTGATCCAAGCATGGCAGTGCCATCATATAGGAGCTATCTTATTAATGGTGTTAAATTTAACACCAAGGCACAAGATGATGTGCAAACTGTCCAAAATAGTGGAGTTTATTTACTTGCACATACTATGCAAGTTGCTAGTGCCAAGGATAAACACCCTATTGTCTCCAATATGGGTTTTTATGGTGTTATTCAAGAAATTTGGGACCTTGACTACCAAAAGTTTAGAATCCCAGTCTTGAGATGTGATTGGATAGATAACACTTCGGGCCTTGTAGTCGACGAACTTGGATTTACCCTTGTAGATCTGAGTAAAATTGGACATAGGAATGACCAACTAGTTATGGCTTCTCAAGTCAAACAAGTATTTTATGTTGACGACCCAATGCATCGTGGTTGGTCGGTAGTGTTATCAATGCCTAATAGGGAATATAATGATGTTATTGGTGATGATGTGCTAGGTGATACTAGAATTGAGTGTGAGCCATTTACTAGAGGGATACCAAATGTTGACACATTTGATGACCTAGTGGGTGAGTTTGGGAATGAAAATATTAGAGATGGGTGTGAAGATATATGGATTGATTGATTGTTGTGATGTATGACCTTGGGCACGACAAATAAAAAATTAAAAAAGCTGGGTTAAAGCTGTAAAATACGACGGTCAGGGAAAAAAATTGGAAGCACAGACGTCTAAGATAAAAACAGCATCGGGTTTTAAAAAGGTAACATACCTTAAAACCAAAAACAGACATCTGAAAAAGAAATCAAGATGGTTTGCTTAAAATAAACCTTCGTTTAAAGCTTAAAATAAAGGCCAATCAGTTCCATTAACTGTCGTGACAGATGTTCTGCACGTTGGCTAGTCTAAAACAACTGACGTCGAAGCGCATACATACGTCAAGGCATGTCAAACAAGCGACTTTTAAAAGGGAAACCACGTCATTATTTTAAAAAAAAACTGACGTGGTAAGCCATTACAACGTCAAGCAAGTGGATCTCCGGACGTAGTGAAGTAAATAACCACGTCATTTATTTTGAAGACACGTTGAATCTATAATCCACGTCGGTTATGTTCTTATCCACGCCTTTAATACTATTTATAATGTCAGCCTTTGACATAAACTGACGCGGGAGTGAGTTTTGTACGTCGATATTGAGTAATACTCTGTCATTTAAAAAAATTTAGACGTCAGTGATTTTAAAAAAGTGACGTCTAACTTTGTCAAAGGGCCTTCTTTGTTTGATTTAAACGACGAGTCTCTCAAAAAACAGATGTGGAAATAGGTAAACACAACGGTTTTTATTATAGTTTGCGACGTGGATAAATACATAAGCGTCGGTGATGCCTGGTGTAGGAAGTGGTTATGTTATTAAAAGAAAAATGTACATGTTTAAATACGTCTTTAATGTTTGGTCCGTTTGGTTTTGTCGTGTTTATGTTCGTCGTCGTTATGGTTTTTAGTAAAAATTAACTACGACGGTTTCTAGCTTATCCAAGTCTTTTTCCTTCATTTAGGGACGTGGATAATTATTTGTACGTCGGTTTTTCTTTGATCGTGACATGTAACAAGCTTTAGACGTCTCTGTTTTCACAGAACCGTCGTCTAATGTTGTCGGAGATTTCATTTTAGGCTAATTATATTGTAACTACACGTCGATTAGTAATAAATATGGACGTTGAATTCCTTAACAACGTCGGGTATTAACCGTCCTTGTTGTTAGTACAAAAGATGGCGGTCGATTTCACGACGGTTGGAAAACCTTCTACACGACGGTGGTTTCCCATCATCTATTCCGATTTTTGTAGTAGTGTATGTTGTATCAGTGTTGTTAGACCAGCAAAACTTTGCATTGTGTCAAACTGTGAATGAAATATTGTCTATGGAGTCGGTTTTATCTTGTCTAACCATTTGTCTACTTGAGCCACGCCCTTAATTTTCAATGATTCTAATAGAATTGACTGTAAGATTGTCATGAGGGTGGTTTGGAATGACTAGATTAAATTTTAGGAGCATGTGCTGATGTGGATGTGAACTATGGACGGTTGTTACTCATATATCCAAATGGAATCAGGGGAAAAACTAAGGGTATTAGAACATTGTTAGTGGTCGTTACAATAATGGAACCCCATTCAAACCATCACACTGATATTTCTTGCAGACATTATTCTATATATATATATATATATATATATATTTTACTATAGTCTGGAAGATGGAGATATATTGAGCTTTAAAAGTTTACCATCTTATGCCATTGTTCACATAAGGGATGAGAAGTATGCATTGTATATGGTGAAATCTTTAAACTCCTTGCAGGGGAAGACTTTTTAAGTGATTGAGATTCATATGGCAATATTGGGTGGTCCACTCTATTTATTTGTCAACCTAAATCATTTAAGAAATTTAGATGGTGATGAAGGTTGGAAAATTTGATTTATGGATGCGACTTTTCCTGCAAAACATCGTATGAAATAACTATTAGAAAATTTTAATTTACATTGATAGAGTAGATTAAATAAAATCAATGAAATTACAGCAAAATACTTATCTTTTGGGATGTAGAACTTAGTCTCCCTTGATACTTTAGTAGAATAATAGTTTTAGGTTAGAGCGTGTAGTCACTGTCCTTAAGAGTAGATTTCGCCCCTCGGAGACAATGTCTCAGTGTAGCAAGGTTGTATGGTGGTCTACCCTCCAGGATACAACAACCTATAACCCTCAACAACTCAAATCTTTCCCTCAAGGTATATGAATGAAAAAAAAAAAAAAAAAAAAAAAAAAAAAAAAAAAATATATCATTTCCTACTAAAGAGAATGGGCTTAATATATAGTTAGTCGCCTCAACAAGAAGCTAAGGCATTAAAAGAAATAGTAATAAAAACACATAATTGTCTGCCCGTTTTCACACACTTACTCCCTTCACTACTACAAATATTCAAAAAGACAACGCCGAATACACAACCGTTGGCTCCAAAACCATTGTAGTTGTTTCTTCCACAACGGTTTTTATGTAACCGTTGTGTTTGGGGGTGGTAGGAATTCACCCGGGCACTACTAGACAACACGGGCTGTTGGGTTCTTGGAATTGCGGATGGGCTAGAGCTGGAAGTGCAGCCAGATTTTTCTGCTGGGCCTGGCCAGGATTGGAAGAGTTCACGGGCGAGATTGTTGAAATTTCGACCAGGTATTGAGTGGTTGTTGCGATTGAATCTTTTGGGCTGGAGACCAGTAGTTTTGGCGGTCAAAATCTGGGAGTGATGAGGTCGGGTTTTGTTGGGCTGAAGCTTCGATGGCGGCTGAGATTTGGAGCGCCTAGTATTTTGGGCTTATTGGCGGCCGAGTATTTGGAAAGCTATGAGCAGACCAGAGCCCTAATTTTTTGCTAGAGATTGCGATTAGGTTGCTTTTGGTTTTAAGAAAATAGGGCACATGAATAGTGGCGGCTGGAGCATTTGATATTCTTGTGAATTGGGCTGCAGGCTTTTTGGGATGGAATCCAATTATCTCATTACATTCACATATATTTATTGAATGCAAGTGGCAGCATTACATTCATATATATATATATATATATATATGAATGAATAATGTAAGATGCGGCTGGAACTTTTTACAAATGTGTGTTTTTGAGTGTTAGCCTTCTTACATTATTTTAAGTTTATCTAATATACATATAATTTATATATATGTGTATTTATATATATAAATGAAAGAGTGAGAGTGGGTAGCCGGGCTGGAGAGTTTAAGTTCTCGTTATATTATTTTATATAATATGTGTAATAAAATGAGTGGCATTTTAAGGAAGCCCAGTTCACCAATTTCGAGCCTAGGATTTTCGAAGGATTACATGCACGTGATGAAGGCCTCACAAGGAAAGAAATCAAGGGTTGATAATAATTCAAAATGTTCCAAAACAAGGAAGAATCAAGCATGTCAGAATATCTTCTTCAATACAATCCCACGGATTTAGGGGGGCTTTGAAAGGAATTTTTTAAGAAGAGTTGACATTTGGCCATTCAATGGCTAGCCCATGGGCTGACGAGTGCCCTATATAAACCTTGCTCGATGAAGACATCGGACACACAACATCAGACAAACAAATTTATGTTTTGTCTTGTACTTTTCTTTTCCTAGACTTAGGATTTTACTTTTCAAGCACGTAGTGTAGTGAGTTCTTCCTTTCTCTAGTGTAAGTTTATATTTTCTCGTCATTTAAATTCTTGTTCGATTTATATTTCTTGTCATTTCAATTCAAGTTTATTTTGATTCCTTTAAATTTCATTGTTATCGCACTTCAATTAAGTTTAATTTCAACTTTATTTCATTTTATCGTTCTTATCGTTCTTATCGCTTTCATTTCATTCTTGCTTTGTTTATCGCTTTGATTTATTTTATCGCACTTCAATTCTTGCCTTTACGTTTATACGCATATTTAGTTTAATCGCATTATTTTTACGTAAAACCCTAAAAATCACAAAAACATCCGTACGAAACCTAACCATCCTCGAGCCCAAGGAAGTGAAAGAATCTAGGCCAAGAGGAGGTTCCTTGCTTGGCCGATCAATCGTTTGGTCAAAAGTTAGAAGTGCAACACATCCATCTATTCACATTCCATTCAAGCCCAAATTCGGGGCTTGGTGGTGGCACGCCCCGCATCCAAAAGAAGGACACAACTATTAAAGTAGTTGAAGATTCTGATATCATGAACCAGAAGTTCATTGACCGAATAACTTTTATGTTGTGGCATGACTATCTTGGCAATCCATGTTCCACAATGATACCTAAGATTGTTATAAATTTGTAAGGACATCGTTTAAAGACTCAAAATACTGTCTTGTCCAACAAATATCATTACAAAGAATGCTCACAAATAAAAGCTGTCATAAGATCATCTCAGTCAAAAATTGACTTTGAGCCCTCTTCCCTAAAATAATTCAAGGGGATATTTGTGAGCCTATACAACATTTAATTATGGATCACTTCACCAGTTTTATTGAATGTGCCTACTAAAATGGTTACATATTTGTCCCTTGTCAAGACGCTTACAAGCACTACTCCCACATTATCCAATCTAGTATGGTGAGTTTATTTTCCTACATTTTGAGACAATTTTCTCGCCATTAGGGGGAGAAATGACAGTTCCTGAATAATGTCGTGAAATAGTGTTGAATCGGTCCACTTTTGTCTTATCGAGATAATGCCTATATAAAGTTATGAATATGCAAGCATGGATTGATATTCATGTATCACAATCCATTAACATGACAATAAGTGACTATGAGCATGACAAAAATACAGGTTCTAAAAACTTAACTCCCTAGAAGTGGAGATTATTTGAAAAATTCAAGCCCTATAAAAAATAACGCTCTATATGAGGTTATGATCCACATATTCTAATTAATTCATCGTAAAAGAGATGTGTGTCCCATAAGTGACAACATCAGGCCCTGAAGAGGCATTGGTACCCCAAGGCAATGAGATGCTTATAAATTATGCATGCACATGCACATGAGAATTGTGGGATCATGAATTAATGATACATTTGGTTTATTAGTAGCTACTATCGCCTTATGAATGTCGACAAGTTAAGTGATTGGCCAAAATGGAATTATGGAAATAGGCAATTCCATTTATCACTAAATATGAAGTGTGAGATATTGAACCTATAGCCTAAACACCAAATTACAAATGTTAAGTATGACGGTTATGAATTGGTGTTTGTGAAGTGAAATAAGATCACTAATATGACATAAAGTTTCCTGGGAGAGACATGGTTTTAGGCTCCCATCTCATCGTAGATGCATCCACATTTCTATAAGCGCAATTGTTATTTTAACGCGAAACTTATAACATGTGTTAAATGCATAAGACTGTATGGTACATGGAGATCCTCAAAGCTCATGAAATATTTGAGGTATATCGGATGAAGCGACCTCTTGAAGGATATAAAGTACCACAATATTCTTAATTAAGAGTTAACACTAAGAGTTTGAGTATTTTGAATTCAAATTTGATATTGTTGTAACATATTCTAACCATTAAATTAGTTGTTGATGCTCCTAAAGATTTCAATCATTTGAAAAGTGAAAAGCAGGTCGAATAGTGTGATAGACGATCATGTATGAAGATAATGTTGCTTGTATTGCTCAAATCAGAGAAGGGGAGATATTAATCAGGGGGAGATATCAATCAGGGGGAGCATCGCAATTCTACTACATACAGGACATATGCGTGTTGTACTCTTTTTCCCTTCGGCTAGGTTTTTGTCCCACTGGGTTTTTTCTAGTAAGGTTTTAACGAGGCAACATAAGCGCATCCAATACCATATCAATGATCTAGAAGAAAGTTTCACTCTTTTTCCCTTCGCTTTGGTTTTGTCCCACTCGGTTTTCCAAGCAAGTTTTTTAATGAGAGAACTATGTCATTGTATGGATATATCAATGTCGTTGTGGTTTACGGTATTTGGTTTTCTAATTTTATTCCACAACTTTCTACAACCGGTTTTCGTTTCAACCGTTGTAATTGAAGCTTTTAAAAAAAAGGGAAATAGCTTAAAATGCCACCCTTTTCATAATTTTAACTAAAAATACCACCCCTTCCCAATTTTTTTTTACAACTATCACCTATAAATATATAATTATTGTCCACTTATTGCTGATTTTTCACATGTTCAGAAATTTTGTTCTCTCTTAGCTCACTCAGCTCTCTCTCTCTCTCTGGCACAGCTCTCTTTCTCTTTGGTATTTGTCTATCGCAACTCTCTGTGTCTCTCTTGGCTCCCTCTCTCTCTTGGCTCTCTCTCTCTCTCTCTTTGCTCTCTTTCTCTAGCGCAGCTCTTTCTATCTCTAGCTTTGTTCTGTCTCTTTCTCCCCCTATTCGCTCTCTTGCTCTCTTTTTGGAATCGTGAACCCCTCCCTTGACCCCATATTTTAGGTATGTCTTCTAAATAGCTGCTTGCAACCTTGAAGCTCTAGTGGATTGCCAACCTCGAAAAGGTAGTGTTGATGGTTGAAATGGGTTATATTTTGATTGCTTGGGTTTGTGTTAAATTCGTTTTGGCTTAAATTGCTTTGGGTTAGGTTTTGTTGAATATTCATGCTCATTCATTTGGGTTTGTACCAATTGCATTTAGATTGGTCTGGATATGTGAATCTTGAAACTTAGGATTTTCCATTGGATGTAGTAGATCTGTATAGTGTGATTATGATGAATTCTTGTGCACTACTGTGTTAGTGGTGTACTGCTGTTGTGTTCCTGTTATTTTACTGTCGTATTGCTGTTATGTTGCTATTATATTGCCATTATATTGCTGTGATATTGCCATTGTATTGCCTTGTTATTGTGGTTATATTGTGTTAATGAAATGTTGTTTTATCATGGTTAGAAATGGAGACAATTGTTATTCTCGTGTGCTACAATGGAAAATGGGTCACCTCGAAGAAGATGTGCAAATACGAAGGGGGTGACTCAAAAGGCTTAATAGTTCCATGGACCATCAAATTTTCTGAACTGTTGGACCGTGTGCATCAGATTGGTAATACAAACAGTAGGGAAGACAAGGTTTGCTTAAAGTTCTCACGGAATGTGGGATATTCCTAAAGATGTTCGAAGTTGAGTTGTGCTGCCTCCCAAGGCAAGGGTCATGCCGGGCAGACGAAAGAAGATAAGAATTCCCTCGCAATGAGAGGGCACCATTACAAGAAAGTGCTCAAGCTGCGGTTCCGCAGGCCACAATAAAAGCACCAGTAAAAACAATATTCCATTGCGCAATGTATCTTAGACAATATGATTTGTGTTGCTTTGGTAGGTCATGTAAACTTTACTTTTATTTGTGGTGGGTTTCATGTTATGTTGAATGGGAATTCTTTTAAACTTGCATAATTTGGGTTGCATTGCTATACAGCATGCTGTATTGCTTCCAGATTGCTATTATATTGTACTGTTGTTGTACTGGTATTGCTTCTAGATTGCTATTATAATTTGAGTGCGAAATTAAAGGGCCTACAATGTAATTCCAAATGGATTCAAAACATTAAAGTTCTTAGAATTCCTTTATTACACAGTTACCGTGATACTCCGACTATACCTTTTTTTCTGATTACAAATTAGGCCAATGCATGGGCCAGATGTGGGGCAAATACAAGGTGAAATGTCCTATGTATTTGACTACGTATAGTTGTTGAAGGAGCATTACGAATGTTAACCCCAATAGATTTCTCATGTCTTGCCAAGAACACTCTTGAATTTATGCAATGTGCCTAAGCCAATCCCAAAGCTGGACTCACCCATCTGCCTGATGTGTCTAGGGACTCCAAGTTTCCCAACCTCACCCCATTCACTCCATCATGTGGCCCAATAAAATCCACCACTTCGTTGGTGACAACCACCACCAACCCAAACTTATTTGCTAAACCCTTCAATGTCCCAGATATGTTGAAGAACATTTCAGACCGCCGTTTCAAATCTGCTAGTGTTGTCTGATACTGTGATCGGAACAATGTAGTGCGGGTGTGATCAATGGCAATAAGTGCTTGTATGTCTCCAAGGACATGGATGAGTTGTTGAGCATCATGAATGCCATGAACATATATGTCTTCCAATGGCTCCAACCTTATTAAGTTGGGGTATGATGCATGATAAAGGTTGCCTAGTTGTTGCAATCGACCAAATGAGAAGTTGAATTCTGTGAATATGTAGACGGAGGAGCCTCCTAGTCCGCCATGTGAGGGTGGGAGCTGAGCTCGTACCGTAAGTTGGAGACAAAGCTGTGTCTTCCCGAAACCACTCTCCCCTACTAATTCTGTTATGGAGTTACAGGGTATCCCACCCCGAAGCAATCATCTAGTATTGCGCATCCGATGGATAATTTAGGGGTTGAAAGAGGAAGGAACACGAGGTTTTGGGGTGTCATGTTTCTGTAATTTAGGGGAGGATGTGATGGTGCTAGAAGGCATGCATTATACATATATATAGTTCATTTTGAAGGTCTGTAATGTAGGCCATATGTCTTTTAAGGGATGTATACTTCATCCTTTTTCCAGTTTTTAATTACTTTTTTGTTTATTTATTTGTATTTTTTTTAACAAATAATTTAAAAAACATTCTGATGCAATATGTACTGTAATACAATCATATTGTAACTCTATTATTACTCTATTGTGCTCTTATTGATATAATATCGCCATTATACGCATTTTTATTGTATAGTTATTGTACTATATCGCCACTGAACTAGACATTGATAAACTGTATACGCACAAATACAAAAAGAGGCATCATCATTCCATAAAATCCAATTTCCAAACTTACATAATACAACAATAGGCCACCCTATCGTTACATAATACAAAAAGAGGCCACCTCATAGTTCCATTTCCCTGCTGTTGACAAATTCGAAGTTGCATACTCTTCATTTGCGGCGACTGCGACCCATGAAATTTATGACCCCGGCCACAATGATGTTGCCCCAGTTTTCTACCGGATCCACTATTTTTGCAAACTTACGAAATAGTTCGAATTCGCTTTCCACTTGTTGTTGCTTCAACTTGACCATTTCTTTTGATTCCTTGAATACCATATTTGCAGTGGCAAGGGCAATTTCAATTTTTGCTTCCATTGCCTTTATATGTAGGAGATGCAAGTGGGCATGATAACAAGAGAGAATTGTGCGCTTACAATTTTTGAAACTATGTCTGCATGGAGATTTTTCCAAAACATGGTATTGCCTCGACATTGCTGCATGCCATGGACCAAGTCTGTAGTGAGTGAATTAGGTGACTTGGCTTGTGTTTCAGTCTCCCCTCCTTCAGTAATTGAAAGCGTTGGGGTTTGGTGTGAGGTTATGGTCCATGGTCTTCGATATTTATTTCCAATTTTGCTATTTTCCAAGTTGCCTTATTTCCTATTTTTCAATTATCCAGTTATCCAATAGTCCAATTTTCCAATTATCCAATTTTCAATTTTTCAAGTTGCGAATTTACCTATTTTCCAAGGGTCTCTTTTTCCTATTTCCTATTTTGAATTTTCCAATTTTCCTATTATCCAATTTTCCTTTTTTCCAATTTTCATGTTTTCAGAGTTTCCTTTTTTACCTATTTTCCAAGTTTCCTTTTGTTCAATTTCCAATTTTCCAATTTTCCAAGTTGCTTTATTTTCCAATTACCCAATTTTCCAATTTTCCAATTTTCCAATTTCCCTATTATCCAATTTTCCTCTTTTCGAAGTATCCTTTTTTTCCTATTTCGTACTTTCCAATTTTCCAATTTTCCTATTTTCCAAGTTGCTTAATTTTCCAATTTCCCAAGTTTGCCAAGCGTCCTTTTTTTCCTATTTCCTAGTTTCCTATTTCCAATTTTCCTATTTTCCAAGTGTCCTTTTATCCTATTTCCTAGTTTCCTCTTTCCAACTTTCCTTTGTTCCTATTTCCAATTTTCCAATTTCCCAAATTTCCAAGTTTCCATTTTTTCGTATTTCCGATTTTCCAATTTTCCTTTTGTTCTATTTCCAATTTTCCAATTTTCTTTTCTCAAATTCACAATAAATGCTTAGTTACATAGTCCTTTTTTGGGTTGAAATCCACAATTTCCAATTTCCCATTAAGGTTCGCTTTTTTTCGTTTATAAGCCAATTTTATTGTTGTTAATGTAATGCTCTGCTGCTGTAAATTACAGCCAAGGAGTTAATGGTATAGTTTGCTATCCCATCAATTGAATGCACCAACTAAATACCCAATATACTTCATTAAGTTCCTACATATAACTGAAGTTTCCTATATATAACTACAACATAGGCACCTTCTTAACGGGAAAGGTAATTAGTCTTACTCAAAGGCAAACATTCTCCACTAAAGCTAACCATATTGTTGTTTACAACTAGAGACTGAATGTACCTTTATTTGTTTTGTTGCAGTCGGCAACTGTGAATTGTCCCCAGCAATACTTAAAGATGTCGGATGTACGCCCTCTAAACGAGCATGTCAGTTACTCGGGGGACCAGCCGTGGCATGTGCCATTCCCATCTCCACCTCTGACTCCCAATCACGATCCCACTTCATCTGGAAGTGAGGCTGAGAGCAATGATTCGCTTGACAAAATCTCCGCCGTTAACCACGACCTCCAATATTTATCTAAGGCAACATATTGGTGGGAGAGTAAATGTGATATTCATGGCCAAGTTATGAGAAACTTGGCCAACAAGTTGAACAAAGCATATGCTGGAGAAGTGAAGCAAACTCTAAAATCAAAAAGTCGGAGGAAAGAGTTAGAGTCCCTGAAGTTAAAATTGGAAGAGACAAAGAAATATGCCGTAGAAAAACTCACAAAATCTGAAGAATATAACCATGAAATGGTTGAATGTTTCAACAACGGCTTCGAAATGTTCCGAGATTATGCTTCGGTCATCTCACCAGACTACAATTGGAGTGAAATTGATGTAGCTGATGTCTGGGAGGTGCTGAATATGGGTGCAGAGGGAATGGTGCATGCAGCGAGGAGGAAGGACAAAGACATGGATCTTTTGATGGACCTCTAGTAAGGGTGAGTGCTACTTCAGTTCATCTCACCCGATTACATGGATCTTTTGTTGCCTTCCTTTTCCCTTTGCGGTATAGTATTGTTATGGTTCGGTGGTGATTTATTTTGCATGTGTAAAATGTTGTCTGTAATGGATGTGTGTTTATTGTATGTAGATTCACTTAATATTGATGTTCTATTGTATGTATATAGCCCTAATATTGCCTTAAATTTGTATTGATAGATAGTGTATGCATATTGCTACCCTATTAGATGTATATTGTAGTACTATTGCTATCGTATTGTGGTTATATTGCTCTAATATTGCCTCTATAGTGTACGTATATTGGCCTAATATTGCTATTATATCGTATGTCAATGGCCATTTGGTCTAATAACAGAGTCTCTACTTCGTTGAAAGTAATCCTGAAATCAAATCTCACGAACACGACAATTGTTGTCCATCCTTATATTAGCATGAATTGATGTTGACCTTTCAAATGATAGTTGGAGTTGCACATCGATTCATATTCAAAAGGAAAGTAATTCTCTCCCTCAATGAATCTTCATTCAAACGAAGGCAGCTATCAAATACTGGGTACAAAAATGCAAGATCCACGGTAAATTAATTGGGCATAAATCACATATTACAAAACCAGGATGATTTTTGGCATGCTTGAAAAGAGAAGGGCCAAATACAACGGAAAAGAAATCCATTCAAGCTTCTCACTAAACATGGCTCAAGCACTCGACCATGGTTTCAATCCAAACTTACCCAACAAGGGCATACCACGTCCCCATCGTAACAGAAGAGTGGCATTTACAAAGCATGAACTGCAATATGTTTCTTTTTCTCCTAAACAAAATTGTTACTAAAATGGAACAAAAGATCCCTAACATAGAGCAATACAAGCAAAGATAGTCAATTGTCATACACACAAAATTAGTCCTCATCCATCCCTGTAGGCTAATCTCTCTAACTAGGGCCACCTGCTGGTTTTGCCATTATAATCTGCAAGATAGTCAAAGCACTGTCAACAACCTTTTTTTAATGAATGTATTAAACATTAAATAGGCTGCAATCAGATAGATTCATCATTTCTCACACACTTTTAGCTAGCCAGAAAACCCCCAGCATATAGATTTTCTATTTACTATCTAGCCTTCTGCACTGAAGCCATATTCATTATAAAAGTTCAACATTTCCCAAAAGTAACTTTCAATTTTATTTTATTTTTCTAAGTTAAAAACTAACATTTGCGACCGTTCTTTTGAGTTATAAAGGAGTTTGTGTTCTGAGCACACACGTACATGCATCTGTGCCAAGTTAAGGGAACTTTGAAAAAAAAAACCAGAGAAAAAAACTTCACAAAAAGTATAAAAGTATAAAATTAAATAAATAAATAAAAAGAAGAGTCAACTAATTCATAAAGCCTCGACTATTATTATTATTTTTAAAGTGTATGTAGTTTAGCATTTTTTCTGCTTTGGCCTCAAAGATGCAATTAGGGATTCAAAGATGTAGTTCATACCAAATTTGGGTACTTCAAAATTAGGAAAACCATTGACAAATACGTAGTTACTAGTTACCTGATCTACCCGTAGAACAGTGCAGGCAGCATCTGCAGCATACTTGAGAGCAAAGAACCTGTAACAAACAGCCCAAGAAAGAAGATTGATACCTATATCTCATATAAAACAACTTCCTGACCAACTTAAACATATTGATTTCAATAAATTAATGAAACAAAACTACCTAAAGTTCATAAAATTCCCAAAATGTTTGAAGCCGAGATGTTTCCAAGTTACTATTTATCAGTTATCCAAAGAAATCCTCACTTATTCCCGAATGCTATAATTCGTAAAAATCCTAAATGCAAACCATCAATACTATTTGTAAAACAAATAAAAAATAAAAAGGTTAGCACTGTCACTCTGTTATTCTCTAGAAACCAAACATTTACTAAAAAAGAAAGATAACAAGCCTTTCGTAGTGGATATGTGGCTTAACTATTTACACAAATGAAATATAATAAAGAAAATAACTGAATGACTGGGTCCCATGGTGAATAAAGGCTTTCAGCACAAAGATATAGTTGTTAGACCACCAAATCATGAACTAAATTTTATACATCATATATGCATAACCTCGTAGCCCTATTAGCCGGTCAATGGAGTTCAAAATGCACCACAATCCTCAAAACACCAATGCCAGTAAGTCACAATTTGATACAGAAAATCAACAGAAAGGATACCAATAAGATGAACCATTAATGTACGCAATAGGAACTAATTGGCTATCAAAACCACCAAAAATGGGATTACTAATAAAAGCTTCCTCTACAAACAAATTCTAGATCCAAAATTAATAAAAGGTTCAAAACCAAAATTGCATCAAACATCACAGCTATAACAACATTCAATGTATTAAGAACTTTCACATAAAAGCATGAATTGTTACAAGACAAAGAACAGCTTACTTAGTTATGTGGAGGTCCCAAATATTAAGAGTTGACACATCTTTGCAACTGCCTTCCTCCAAGTCGAGGCCAAATTTGGTATTTCCTGGTGCATGTTCAACATATAGAGAAGATATGATCTCCATTGCATTAAGCCCAACATTTTCAGCTAGCGTTTTAGGCACCATCTCGAAGCTTTCGGAAAATTTTGCTATTGCACTACTGATCCAACCTGCAAAACCATTGTTTCTTTAGTAGGTTATTGCACTACTGCCCAATCAGAAATCTATGACTGGGAAAATGGTTACAAAATCAAGTTCCAATAGTTGGTCTAGACAACATCTTGAGAAAATAATAATTCACGCCATTTACCCCGTTTCTGTAAAAGAGAATTCCTTTACTCTCTTAGCTAACTCAATTTCAGTAGCTGCTTCTCCAGGAACAATGCGGCTATCCTTGCACATTGCATGAAAATGAAATGCATTACGACAGTAAGATATTAATTCCAACGTTTTGGACATCTGATTAAACAATTTATTCATAAGTTCCAGATAACCATATGCTAACAATGATTGAAGAGGTAAAACAAAACCAACCTAACAAGAGCATACAAAATTCTGAATGTTTCTTGTAAATTACCTTGTAGGTGTTCACTCCATCATCAACTGCTCTTTCCAGGTCATCTAATATACTGTAAGTACTCCCTCATTGAAGTACAGTAGATACAGAGTTACCACCTTCTTCATTCTTCACAACAGTGACCTACACAAATCATTGGACATGTTCAAAAGAAATAGGGGAAAACAAATGGGGCAAGAATAAGCAAATTGATCGACAAAATACTATGTAAATCACTGTTTTATACTTGCTTATTAGGAGCCATGTGAGACATAAAACCTAACTTTGCAAACACATTATGGAAACAGAAAGGCAAAGGCATTTTCTATATCCAAGACAAGCAAGTTAGGAAAATCAAAAGTAATATGCACAAAACTTTAATACACAAAGACTACAGTAACAGGCATCAAATATGATACTACCAACCCAAGACAAAGAAAAGGTCAAAACAGTTAAGAATAAAACATACTAGGATCATTACAAAAAAACCTGAGAGTTTAAAAACTCATCCAATATGAACAGTTAACACTTCTCAAAGATAACTGCAATCCAAAAGGGATATTTTTTTTTTTAAAAAGTACCTGATCAGCAGTATGAATTAGGACAGTTCCTTTGGTCTCAGTTGCAGAGGTATCAACACCACTAGCAAACACAGCAACCTGAAAAGGTGTAAACAAATATACAAAGCTTAGAAACCCAAACCCATGAACCATACATTTACACCACATAAAAAGCTCGAAAGCTTTTATCATAAAGAAAACAGCAACTGGATCGCATAACGAAAATAAGTATGACCAAGTATAAAGAATTAGTGGCTCAAAATACAAACATTAACAATAATTTTAACTAACCAAACCCAACCTACTTTTATAATTCAACAATCTACAAAAGAAACATTTAACATACTTTTGAAAGAATCAAAGTGCAACTCAATGCTAAAGAACAAAAATTACTAAAAGGACAACTGAAAGCAATCACTGAATGAGTAAATCTGTCAGAATTAATAATAGACCATGATCAAACACAACACTTCATTACATATATATGTTAAGCAAAAATCAAAATACCTATAAACAAATTTTTCAAAACAGAAGTGTGCTAACCTTGGCCTTCTCCATTCGCTTTATACTCCCCACAACATCAATTTTCAACACCATACCTCGAACTACTGTACAGTTATGCAAACCCCCACCCACAATCTTTGCAACACATACGTTATCCACATTAAAGTTTGCTGGGTTCTTGGGGCATACTTGTATGCATGCCTATGTTGCCCAATAAAAAATCTACCATCAGAACTTTCTTAGTAACACATTATTGTTCTTTCTTTTCCTTTTCTTTTTCTTTTCTCCTAAATAGTTGAGCAGCTGACATAGAAATTAAGCAATAACAAATAAGGGCATGCAAGTTATACTTACATCGGCAACAAGTGAGGATAAGATATGTTCTTGTCCAAACTGCTTGCTGGCAACAGCTGCCTTCATTCTAGAAACCACTTCTTCTTTGTTACAGACATCCATATTCTCAGAACCTGGCTCTACCAGTTCATCTAGGATTTCGATCGTCAGAAATATTCCAACAAGGAAGTAAATAATCAGAACGGAAGAATTCTAATAACCCAAATGAGTAACCAATCAGCATATCATTGGCAAACCTTTTTTATGGCTTTATTGCACCCATTGATGTTCTCGCTTGGGTGCAGGCCCATCCTTATAAGCTCCTCTGCATTTTGCAGGAACTCCCCAGCAGTATGAAATGGTCATGTGGGTAAAGTATATCTTAACCATTTCTAAATAGTATCAGGTTCCAAATTCCAATAACAACATAATGCTAAGCAGAAAAGTATAATTGCTGCAGAAATTATTTAAAAGGAACTAAGGCAAAACTAAATTGAGAAATCTTAAGAAAGCTGTATGCTTCACTAAGTCCACTAACAGATTCCCAGTGCAAGAAATGAAATATACCTATATCACATAACTTGTAAACAAAACCACAAAGACAAAATGTGAACAATGGCTACAAAAATGACCAGATATTGCAAACTATTATACCATGTAAGGCAAGCCTCCATAAAGAGCAACTATATTTATATATGGAGGTGTACAAAATAGTTAACCTTCAAAATCAAAACAGGGTGTGTGCCATGTAAGGCAATTAGCCACTGCTTCTAGACTGTACAATATTACACCTCACAATATACAACAGGGCCGAAGACCCGGGAAATGATTTCACCTTGGAACACATAATACCTAAACCAACTAGCTCTAGCAAAATGGCAGGATTACCTTGAGCAAAGCATATACGTCTACATCTTCATATAAAGGAGTTCCTGACATAATTAATGAGCACAGTGAATTCTCAAGTCATAAGTCCAGACTGAACTCAATTCACAGACATTAAGACATTTACCTCATAAATATGCCTCCCCCTTTAAACCCTTTATTGCAAGCTTGAGTCAGTAATATTTGGTCTTCAAAGGGTCAACTTTATCCAACGAAATCCCAGCACTGAGATGCTCGATGAATTTTACAGTCATGATTCCGCAAGACATACTGTCAGGCCAATAAGTTGGGAAATTAGAACTGCAGTTCTGTAAAATTTCGATCAATTGTACTAAATTCACAAAGCTTACCCATCTCGTTGTTGTGGCACATCTCCAATACTGCAAACTGAGAATGGCGTAAACCTCAACATCTTCAGCCCCTTTTACTTAACCTCTTCAACCTCAGAAGCTTCATAAAGGTGCATATTGTATAGCACTTAGGGTTTGGTTTGTTTGTTTGTGTGCTTGTGAAGGTGATGGCGTTGAAATGGATCTTGAAGGAGCTGAAGGACCTCCAGAAAGATCCTCCTACTTCATGTAGCACTGGTATTTTCCATTTCCAAACCCGATCTGTTTCCTTTTCTTTTTCATTTTGATTTTGCTAAAGTTTTAATTTTGTGTTTTTGGGTAAGAATTGATGTACGAGTTTGTTGATTGCCTCCTCTTTGGAGATTTGGCTCATGTGTACCATCTGATTTGAGCTTCCATCTTTGCTTATTTTTAGAAATTTGCTATTTTTTACTAACCCAGACTAGGAAATCTGTGCAAAGCTGCAGTCTTGCACCCATTTCCCTGCCCCAATTAAATGGCAATAATTTAATTTATTGAAAGTGCTGAAGTCATTGAGTGTTTTTTAAATTATAAAAGGATGGTTGTTTTTCTTCGACTTAGTATTATACCACTTCTTACCAAATAACGGTTATATGTTTCTTGATATTGCAGCGAGTTCCAAGACATATTCGTTGTGGATCATTTCATCACATCCTTGAGAGATGAAGTTCGCATATTGAAAGAGTTGCCTCCGAGGGTTAAGAGGAGAGTGGAACTAGGAATGATTTATACCATGCCACCAATTAGTTGGTCTGACATGTCTTATTATCATAATCATGTCAGTCCCTTTCGTTGTTCTTTATAACTTGACAAGAAGTTTTCCGTGTTGCAACATGTAAACATTCTTAAACCTCATCATATTCCTTATTCCTTCTCTCAAACACTATATGCTACTCTTATGTTTCGTACAGATTCTTCCTCTGATACAAAAATACAAAGTGGTACATCTAAATAGAAATTATGCCCGACTATCCAATAATGGACAACCTTTGGATATTCAGAGACTTCGATGCCGAGTAAATTTTAGTGCTCTGATGTTTACTTCTCAGATAGAGGAGTTGGGTAAAAGGGTTATCAGGCTTCTAAGGCAAAATGGTCCTTTCCTAATGCTTCATCTTAGATGTTGATGCCCTTTTTGGGAGGTCAACTTAGAGAGCAGTGGATTGTCTTCAGCAGGGGCGGAGCCTGCAGAAGACCAAGTAGGAGAAGCAGTCGTTAAGCTTCGGACATCGGTGTGGTGCCGGCCGAAGGCTCTCCGATGCTTAAGTCAACTAAGGGGGGTAAAATTGGCAGAGGAACAGTAAAAGTGAGAGAGAAGTTACCCTTTTTACTTGGGTACTGTTCCCTATTTATAGGGAAGTGAAAGTGAGATGTTTGCACAAAGTTTCAATGTGTGGCTTTGTGCAAGTCGCTGTGATGGTGACACGTGTCTTGGAGATTAGGTTCGGCAATTGGGAGCTTCGGCAGGTGTCTGGCACCTTGGAAGAGTGTCTGCCTTCGGCAGGGGAGAAGGCATGTCTACCTTGGTGCTAGTTGTTTTGAGGCTAGATATGCTTGGTTGATTATGGTATAAACATTAGATATTAAATGGACATGTTGGCATTTTCTGGTTGTACTCAAGGTTGTAACACCGAGGAGGTGGAAGAATTGACAAGAATGAGGTAAGTTATACTTGACAATCAATGGATTCCATGGAATAGAAGAATTAATTTCACTGTCCTATACTTTCACTTGTTTGGCAGATATGCTTATCCCTGGTGGAAAGAGAAAATAATCAATTCCGACCTGAAAAGGAAAGATGGTTTGTGTCCTCTGACACTTGAAGAAACCGCTCTTACACTGAGCGCACTTGACATTGATCGCGATATTCAGATTTATGTTGCAGCTGGTGAAATATATGGAGCAAAGAGGAGAATGGCAAGTCTTGCAAAGGCTTATCCCAAATTGGTGAGTAGATGACAGTTGAAGCAACCTTCTGTATTTTGTATATGCTTACTTTTTGTGTTCTATTTTTACAAGTTGCCATTGGAGTCGTTCAAACAGGTCAGAAAGGCGACATTGTTGGAACCGTCAAACCTTAGGTTCTTTCAAAACCACTCATCCCAAATGGCAGCACTGGCACTATGACAAATTTCACTTTCCGCAACACTCCATTTCAGAATTAACTTCGTACGAACCTGAATTGTCCAATTTTGTGGACCAATGGATATCGGATTGAGTCCAAAACTTGGGGAACATCATAATATGGAGGGAGGAGTCTTTTGGAGAGTTGTGAGTGAAATCAAATGGATAAAACTATGCAATACACCAACCACTCCATTTCAGAACGAACTTCGTACGAACCTGAATTGTCCAATTTCGTGGACCAATCAATATCGGATTGAGTCCAAAACTTGGGGAACATCATAATATGGTGGGAGGAGTCATTTGGTGTGTTTTGAGTGAAATCCAATGGATAAAACTATGCAATACACCAACCACTCCATTTCAGAACGAACTTCGTACGAACCTGAATTGTCCAATTTCACGGACCAATCGATATCGGATTGAGTCCAAAACTTGGGGAACATCATAATATGGTGGGAGGAGTCATTTGGTGTGTTTTGAGTGAAATCCAATGGATAAAACTATGCAATACACCAACCACTCCATTTCAGAACGAACTTCGTACGAACCTGAATCGTCCAATTTCATGGACCAATCGATATCGGATTGAGTCCAAAACTTGGGGAACATCATAATATGGTGGGAGGAGTCATTTGGTGTGTTTTGAGTGAAATCCAATGGATAAAACTAGGCAATACACCAAACACTCCATTTCAGAACGAACTACGTACGAACCTGAATTGTTCAAGGACCAATCGATATCGGATTGAGTCCAAAACTTGGGGAACATCATAATATGGTGGGAGGAGTAATTTGGTGTTTTGAGTGAAATCCAATGGATAAAACTACGCAATACACCAACCACTCCATTTCAGAACGAACTTCGTACGAACCTGAATCGTCCAATTTCACGGACCAATCGATATCGGATTGAGTCCAAAACTTGGGGAACATCATAATATGGTGGGAGGAGTCTTTTGGTGTGTTTTGAGTGAAATCCAATGGAAAAAACTATGCAATACACCAACCACTCCATTTCAGAACGAACTTCGTACGAACCTGAATTGTCCAATTTCACGGACCAATCGATATCGGATTGAGTCCAAAACTTGGGGAACATTATAATATGGAAGGAGGAGTCTTTTGGAGAGTTGTGAGTGAAATCCAAAGGATAAAACTATGTTAGGAGGAGTCTCTTGGAGAGTTGTGCGTGAAATCTAATGGATAAAACTATGCAATGAACCAACCACTCCATTTCAGGACTAACTACGTATGAACTTCAATTTTCTAATTTCGGGGACCAATCGATATCGGATTGAGTCCAAGACTTGAGGAACATCATAAGATAGAGGGAGGAATAATTTGGTGAGTTTTTAGTGAAATCCAATGGATAAAACTATGCAATAAACCAACCGCTCCATTTCAGAACGAATTACGTACGAACCTGAATTGTCTAATTTCACGGACCAATCGATATCGGATTGAGTCCGAAACTTGGGGAACAAAATAATATGGAGGGAGGAGTCTTTTGGAGAGTTGTGAGTGAAATCTAATAGAAAAAACTATGCAATATGCCAACCACTCCATTTCAGAACGAACTTCGCAAGAACCTAAATTGTCCAATTTCGTGGACCAATCGATATCGGATTGAATCCAAAACTTGGGGAACAACATAATATGGAGGGAGGAGTCTTTTGGAGAGTTGTGAGTGAAATCACAATTCTTGGACCAATCGATGTCGGATTGAGTCCAACACCTGGGGAACATCATAATATGGTGGGAGGAGTCATTTGGTGAGTTTCGAGGGAAATCCAATGGATAAAACTATGTAATACACCAACCACACCATTTCTTAACAAATTACGTACGAACCTGAATTGTCCAATTTCACAGACCAATCGATATCGGATTGAGTCCAAAATTTCGGGAACATCATAATATGGAGGGAGGAGTCTTTTGGTGAGTTGTGAGTGAAATCCAATGGATAAAACTATGCAATACACCAACCACTCCATTTCAGAACGAACTTCATACGAACCTGAATTGTCCAATTTCGTGGACCAATCGATATCATATTGAGTCCAAAACTTGGGGAACATCACAATATAGGGGGAGGAGTAATTTGGTGAGTTTTGAGTGAAATCCAAAGGATAAAACTATGCAATACACCAACCACTCCATTTCAGAACGAACTTCGTACGAACCCGAATTGTCCAATTTCGTAGACCAATCGATATCGGATTGAGTCCAAAACATGGGGAACAACGTAATATAGAGGGAGAAGTAATTTGGTGAGTTTTGAGTGAAATCCAATGGATAAAACTGTGCAATACACCAACCACTCCATTTCAGAACAAACTTCGTACGAACCGGAATTGTCCAATTTCGTGGACCAATCGATATTGTATTGAGTCCAAAATGTGGGGAACATCACAATATAGAGGGAGGAGTAATTTGGTGAGTTGTGAGTGAAATCCAATGGATAAAACTATGCAATACACCAACCACTCCATTTCAGAACGAATTACGTACAAACCTGAATTGTCCAATTTCAGGGACCAATCAATTTCGTATTGAGACTAAAACTTGGGGAACATCATAATATGGAGGGAGGAGTCTTTTGGAGAGTTGTGAGTGAAATCCAATGGATAAAACTATGCAATACACCAACCACTCCATTTATAACGAACTTCGTACGAACCGGAATTGTCCAATTTCGTGGACCAATCGATATCGGATTGAGTCCAAAACTTGGGGAACATCATAATATGGAGGGAGGAGTAATTTGGTGTGTTTTGAGTGAAATCCAATGGATAAAACTATGCAATACACCACCCACCCCATTTCAGAACGAACTTCGTACGAACCTGAATTGTCCAATTTCAGGGACCAATCGATATCGGATTGAGTCCAAAACATGGGGAACATCATAATATGGTGGGAGGAGTCATTTGGTGTGTTTTGAGTGAAATCCAATGGATAAAACTATGCCATACACCAACCACTCCATTTCAGAACGAACTTCGTACGAACCTAAATTGTCCAATTTCGTGGACCAATCGATATCGGATTGAGTCCAAAACTTGGGGAACATCATAATATAGTGGGAGGAGTCATTTGGTGTTTTGAGTGAAATCCAATGGATAAAACTATGCAATACACCAACCACTCCATTTCAGAACGAACTTCGTACGAACCTGAATCGTCCAATTTCACGGACCAATCGATATCGGATTGAGTCCAAAACTTGGGGAACATCATAATATGGTGGGAGGAGTCATTTGGTGTGTTTTGAGTGAAATCCAATAGATAAAACTATGCAATACACCAACCACTCCATTTCAGAACGAACTTCGTACGAACCTGAATCGTCCAATTTCACGGACCAATCGATATCGGATTGAGTCCAAAACTTGGGGAACATCATAATATGGTGGGAGGAGTCATTTGGTGTGTTTTGAGTGAAATCCAATGGATAAAACTATGCAATACACCAACCACTCCATTTCAGAACGAACTTCGTACGAACCTGAATTGTCCAATTTCACGGACCAATCGATATCGGATTGAGCCCAAAACTTGGGGAACATCATAATATGGTGGGAGGAGTCATTTGGTGTGTTTTGAGTGAAATCCAATGGATAAAACTATGCAATACACCAACCACTCCATTTCAGAACGAACTTCGTACGAACCTGAATTGTCCAATTTCACGGACCAATCGATATCGGATTGAGTCCAAAACTTGGGGAACATCATAATATGGTGGGAGGAGTCATTTGGTGTGTTTTGAGTGAAATCCAATGGATAAAACTATGCAATACACCAACCACTCCATTTCAGAACGAACTTTCGTACGAACCTGAATTGTCCAATTTCGAGGACCAATCGATATCGGATTGAGTCCAAAACTTGGGGAACATCATAATATGGTGGGAGGAGTCATTTGGTGTGTTTTGAGTGAAATCCAATGGATAAAACTATGAAATACACCAACCACTCCATTTCAGAACGAACTTCGTACGAACCTGAATTGTCCAATTTCACGGACCAATCGATATCGGATTGAGTCCAAAACTTGGGGAACATCATAATATGGTGGGAGGAGTCATTTGGTGTGTTTTGAGTGAAATCCAATGGATAAAACTATGCAATACACCAACCACTCCATTTTAGAACAAACTTCGTACGAACCTGAATTGTCCAATTTCAAGGACCAATCGATATCAGATTGAGTCCAAAACTTGGGGAACATCATAATATGGTGGGAGGAGTCATTTGGTGTGTTTTGAGTGAAATCCAATTGATAAAACTATGCAATACACCAACCACTCCATTTCAGAACGAACTTCGTACGAACCTGAATTGTCCAATTTCAGGGACCAATCGATATCGGATTGAGTCCAAAACTTGGGGAACATCATAATATGGTGGGAGGAGTCATTTGGTGTGTTTTGAGTGAAATCCAATGGATAAAACTATGCAATACACCAACCACTCCATTTCAGAACGAACTTCGTACGAACCTGAATTGTCCAATTTCGTGGACCAATCGATATCGGATTGAGTCCAAAACTTGGGGAACATCATAATATGGGGGGAGTCATTTGGTTGTTTTGAGTGAAATCCAATGGATAAAACTATGCAATACACCAACCACTCATCAGAGCGAACTTAGTACCTGAATCTCCAATTTGGGACCAATCGATATCGGATTGAGTCCAAAACTTGGGGAACATCATAATATGGTGGGAGGAGTCATTTGGTGTGTTTTGAGTGAAATCCAATGGATAAAACTATGCAATACACCAACCACTCCATTTCAGAACGAACTTCGTACGAACCTGAATTGTCCAATTTCACGGACCAATCGATATCGGATTGAGTCCAAAACTTGGGGAACATCATAATATGGTGGGAGGAGTCATTTGGTGTGTTTTGAGTGAAATCCAATGGATAAACTATGCAATACACCAACCACTCCATTTCATAACGAACTTCGTACGAACATGAATTGTCCA